AAAACTAGAATAACAAATCAAGATAATAATGAACATGTGTCATTCCTCAAAGATGAAACTTATAATAATTCATGAATATTCATAATAATTCATGAATATTCATATAATTCATGAACATTCATATAATTTATGAATATTCATATAATTCAAAAATATTCATGAACCAAATGCAGGAAGCTGAATTTGTCAATTTGTCAATAATTCGCAAATATTTCATTCTATGTGGGAAATAACTTTGTCCATCTTTTAATTATTTTTGTATGGTGAACATGTAGTGCCTAAAATCTGAACATAAAAATGAAAAATATTTGTTTTACTATTATATGGTCTATATCATTAAAGACATTCCTTCTGATAACATGACTCTGAGTGCAATATCATTAAGGACATGACTCTGATTGCAATATCATTAAGGACATTCCTTATGATGACATGACTCTGAGAGCAACATCATTAAGGACATTCCTTTTGATAACATGACTCTGAGTGCAATGTCATTAAGGACATTCTTTCTGATAACATGACTCTAAGTGCAATATCATTAAGGACATTCCTTATGATAACATAACTCCGAGTGCAATGTCATTAAGGACATTCCTTATGATGACATGACTCTGAGTGCAATGTCATTAAGGACATTCCTTATGATAACATGACTCTGACTGCAATATCATTAAGGACATTCCTTATGATGACATAACTCTGAGTGCAATGTCATTAATGACATTCCTTATGATAACATAACTCTGAGTGCAATGTCATTAAGGACATTCCTTCTGATAACATGACTCTGATTATAATATCATTAAGGATATTCCTTCTGATAACATGACTCTGATTGCAATATCATTAAGGACATTCCTTATGATGACATGACTCTGAGTGCAATATCATTAAGGATATTCCTTATAATAGCATGACTCTGAGTGCAATATCATTAAGGACATTCCTTATGATAACATGACTCTGAGTGCAATGTCATTAGGGACATTCCTTATGATAACATGACTCTGAGTGCAATGTCATTAGGGACATTCCTTATGATAACATGACTCTGAGTGCAATATCATTAAGGACATTCCTTATGAAAACATGACTCTGAGTGCTATATCATTAAGGACATTCCTTATGATAACATGACTCTGAGTGCAATGTCATAAAGGACATTCCTTATGATAACATGACTCTGAGTGCAATATCATTAAGCACATTCCTTATAATAACATGACTCTGAGTGCAATATCATTAAGGACATTCCTTATGATAACATGACTCGGAGTGCAATATCGTTAAGGACATTCCTTATGATAACATGACTCTGAGTGCAATATCATTAAGGACATTCCTTCTGATAACATGACTCTAAGTGCAATGTCATTAAGGACATTCCTTATGATAACATGACTCTGAGTGCAATGTCATTAAGGACATTCCTTATGATAACATGACTCTGAGTGCAATGTCATTAGGGACATTCCTTATGATGTATTTTACCAATTGGTAGTACATAACCTATCAAAATGCTGGAATTCTAGCAAAGATGTGATGATATCTAACCCCAAGATGAAGAAATAGACCAAGAGAAATTTATGTTCATATATGCAACATTAACAAGTATCTCTCTTGAGCGTTAACATCAGCTGCCCCTAGTCAGATCGACTAACAAAACAACTTTTTTTGGGGTTGTCGAGTTGGCCGAGAGGGCTTAGGCGCCAGCACGTTCAGGCTAGGCGATTGGGTGCCGTAACCACGAGGTTGCGAGTTCGAGACGTGGTGTGCTCCATGGGTTTATTCACCTCAACAGTATAGTTCTTTCATGTTTTAATTGACAGGACAATTCCAGTGATATTGAACTTTCACTTGATATTCTATTGAAATAGACCAAAGGGAAATTCATGTTCATATATGCAACATTAACAACTATCTCTCAACAGTATACTTCTTTCATGTTTTAATTGACACGACAATTCCAGTGATATTGAACTTTCACTTGATATTCTATTGAAATAGACCAAAGGGAAATTCATGTTCATATATGCAACATTAAAAACAGTATAGTTCTTTCATATTTTAATTGCCAGGACAATTCCAGTGATATTGAACATTCATTTGACATTCTATTGAAATAACTAGCTCAATGAGAGATAAGTCAATGTCTACATGCCATCCCAACATATTTCATGAGTACATTTCAGAATGACTGACCTCCCCTTCATCTTTCTAAATGTAATTTAACATTGAACTCTGGGACTATGAAAAATGTTCCACTAGCAGAGGTGTTTTACATATAGAGGTTCATTTAACATTAAGTCAATTGGCTCTGGGGCTCTGAAAAGTGTTCCACTCACATAGTTGTTCCACTTTACAGGTGTTCCACTGAACATGTTTCACTGTATCAAGATCGGGAAACAAAATGCAATAGACTTTCCACAATATTTCAATGTAATCAACGAGAAAATCAGCAACTTAATTGAGTGGTCAATCCCATTAAACAAAACATATTTCATCAATCAAATAACTCCTCATTTTCATTTCAAGATAGAAATGCCAAGGCATTTGTACTGTTTCATTTTCATCTCCTCTCTATCATGACTTAAAATCCAGACAAATTGGGGATGTAATATAGATTGGGGATGTAATATAAATTGGGGATGTAATATCCAAGTTATGGTCAACTTTTCATGAAAAAATGCCAGCACTTTCATTTGAGAAACTTTTCTGAATAAATGTCTTACTAAGATGGATGAATGGACAAACAGACTGACAAAGGGCTTAGCTATATCCCTACCAAACTTCATTTGCTGGGATAATAAGGTGCACAATATATAGACATTCATATTCATCAACTGTTGTCAGCAATTTAGAAAAAATTTAGTCAAAATGTACATCTTTTATTTAGAGCTCTTTAGAAAACTTTGCATTTGTAATCATGTTTCAAGACAATTGATGCTTCAGAATATTAAATATTTTACCAATGTGATTGCATAGAATATTGTACATTGACCCAAGTGATGATTTAGAACGTTGAGTATTTTACCAATGTAATTGTTTAGAATATTGTACATTGACCAATGTGATGATTTAGAACATTGAATATTTTACCAATGTGATTGTTTAGAATATTGTATATTGACCCAAGTGATGATTTAGAACATTGAGTATTTTACCAATGTGATTGTTTAGAGTATTGTATATTGACCCATGTGGTGTTTTAGAACATTGAGTATTTTAACAAAGTGATTGTTTAGAATATTGTATATTGACCCAAGTGATGGTTCAATACATTGAATATTTTACCAATGTGATTGCTTAGAATATTGTATATTGACCCAAGTGATGATTTAGAACATTGAGTATTTACCAATGGGATTGTTTAGAATATTGTATATTGACCAAAGTGATGGTTTGGAATATTGAATATTTTACCAATGTGATTGCTTAGAATATTGTATATTGACACATGTGATGGTTTAGAACATTGAGTATTTTACCAATTTGATTGTTTAGAATATTGTATATTGACCCAAGTGATGGTTCAATACATTGAATATTTTACCAATGTGATTGTTAAAAATACTGTACATTGACCATAGTGATGGTATAGAACATTGAATATTTTACCAAAGTGATTGTTTAGAATATTGTATATTGACTCAAGTGATGATTTAGAGCATTGAGTATTTTACCAAAGTGATTGTTTAGAATATTGTACATTGACCCAAATGATGCTTTAGAACATTGAATATTTTACCAATGTGATTGTTTAGAATATTGTATATTGACCAAAGTGATGGTTCAGAATATTGAATACTAGTATTTAACCAATGTTTTGTGAATTTAAATACATTAGCTTTGAATTATGTAATACAACAAAAAATATATCTAATGTGATTATGACCTCTGCTTCATGCATAAAATATATATAATATCCACTCTTTCTTAATTGTGACTGTAATGTAGGATATTATGTACTGGAATGATACATACTGGTATACGTCTCATTTTACTATTGCAAACGAACAATGTTTTAACGAATCAATATCTGATAAATCACCACAGTCACAATGTAAGACAGTAAAAAGCATACATTTCAGAAAATTATTTGCAATTTTTACAGCTTGAAAGCAAAATTTAGAGGTCGATAAAATGTTAAGGTTTTAAAAATGTTAAGGTTTTAATAATGTTAAAGTTTTAATAATAATCTAGAATGCTGTTGACACACTCTGTTGGGTATTGTTCAGTACATATACTTGTCCATATATTATCCATATATCTAATCTTTGTATCATAACCTGTAAATAACTAAGTTTAGCTAAAATATAGTTTATATGAAATATTTTTATGTGTTTTGGAGTTTACTAGGTTAATCGGGTTTGTTCATGTAAAATTAATTTCTTATGAAATGGTAAATGGTAGATGTTTAGGTAAGTTAAGAGGAGGGAAAACCCCTGAGCTTTAGCGATGAAAGACATATTACTTCTCTTGCGTACCACCTTTGTTTGCGAAAATTCTCACCCCTTAGTATTTGAATATATCACGTCATTGTGATGTTTTAATCCATGTAAGCATATTCCTTATAATTTCTTTATCTTGATGTGAAATGACAAGCTATAATGATATTAGTTAACACGCCAGATATGAAGCGTTATTAGAAAATTTTGAATCCACCATTTTTGTTTGTCAAATTGGACCAACTAGGACAGTGGGTCATCTCAATACAGATTTACATAATAGATATACATCATTTTTTAACCCTGGGGGTTCTCCTTCTCTTGGTTAATTTATTATGGTCACATGCTTGGCAGTAAAATGGTCACATGACAGGTTGACAGGATGTGACTCCCTTTGAGAATGACAGACAGGAAAAGACCTTAACCAGCCACCCATGCACCACCACAAAACTATACAGTGATCTCCCAAGGATTTTTTCTCAGGTGGGTGCAAAATTCTCATTTTCACAATTCAGAATTCGTTTACTGGTATCTGGGTTATCAAAGATTACATTTTTAACGGCAAATGGTGGCCATTTTGATAAATGTCAGCCATTTTTGAGTTATAAAAGATTACAGTTTTTTATGAAAAATGGTGGCCATTTTCAAATTTCTTCTCTAGCAGAGCTCCTTTGTCACTCGGCATCAGTACATAAAATTTGAACCAAATCTGTCCTCTGATATTTGAGTTATCAAAGATTACATTTTTACGAAAAATGGTGGCCATTTTTAAATTCAGTGGCCATCTTGAAAACCTCTTCTTAAAGCAAAGCTCCTCTTTCTCTAGGCATCAGCATATAAAATTTGAACCAAATCTGCGGACTAGTATTTGATTTGAGTGGCCATCTTGATAACTTCTTCTCGAGCAGAGGTTCTACACCCAGAAGGCATAAACCAATAAAATTTGAATCAAATCCATCAACTAGTACTGTATTTGAGTTATCGCCTGGCCAGATGAACAAACAAATGGCTTCTCTGTATTCCCCTTGAACTTCGTTCTTTGGGACAATAATATGAAGCTTAAAACATGTTTTAGTCCAAGACTAGAACTTACCTGTCTGTGGATCCAATATCGCAACGTAAGGCCAATCTAAGACTTTATAGAACTGCCTGTACTTTCTCCCCTCTTCACTATCTTGATAAACCTGGAGAAAGATAAACCATTAAATGTTTGTTAAATAAAGTCAATAATGTAATTCTTACCCAGGGCAGTCCTCCTATTATGTCAAATATTGGTAAACATAATTATGCAAATAAATAACTCAGCTTTAAAAAAAGTGTTAAATATAATGACAAATTTTCCAGACAGCCGAGCCATGCCAGTGCTTCAAAATTATAAATAATCTTTGAATTATGAACTTCATGCTTTTTGCACTCTTAAGACACAAGCAAAAATAGTCATTTTAAATTGTTTCCTTTAACTGGTTTGAAAAAGTTGGGTTCAGATGAAATAAGGAAGTTTCTATATGGCTGAATAAAGCTGATATACGGTAATAGATGTCACCCTTGTATACCACATACCTGCCAGAATATAAAGTGAGTTTCTATGATTGTTTTAACAGCATGGTTGTTCCAGATATCCCGATTTAACACCTGGCATGAAAATTCCTGGACATTTTGGATGTTCACCATCAGCCATTTATTGGTACTGCTGCCTTGTTCTCGAGCCTAAATTAAAAAATTACAAATATATAGAATCAGCACTGTTATACACATTCAAGATATACAGATAAATAGTTGTTTTCATGTGTCCAAAAATCATTAACAGATGGAAGGATGAATCAAGTATGTGTGTGTGATTTCGAAAATGCAAAATGTCACCACCTGCCATTTGTTACAGATGTTGCCCTGTTGCAGATGTCGAACAAAACCGCCGAGACAAAAGAGTTGGAGACAGTTACAATTTGTCACCTAGGGTGGTGACGAAGAAAAATCAAGATTTTTCAAAAATATCATAGGTAGTCCTACATCAAGCAATTATGTGCCCCCCCCCCTTCACACCCCTAAATGAACTGAAATAGAAATTAAGACAGGAGGACTTCACAGAATGGATGGTGACCATAAAAGAGAATTTTCTTGCCTAAAGTACATTATATTTTAGTCAAAAAGGCATTTAAATGCAAAATGTCACCACCAGCCATTTGTTACAGATACCAAATGCTACAACAATATGTCACCACTTCTGTTGATGACATAAAATTAGCCTCAGTCAAAAAGACCCCTCCATTTTTTCAATAAAGCGCCTCTAAAAGACACCCTCCATTTTTTCTATTAAGCACCTCTAAAAGACCCCCTCAATTTTTTCAATTAAACACCTCTAAAAAAACTTTTTTCAATTAAGCGCCTCTAAAAGACACCCTCCATTTTTTCAATAAGTGCCTCGAAAAGACCCCCTCCATTTTTTCAATTAAGCGCCTCTAAACCCCCCCTTCTTTTATCAATTAAGCACCTCTAAAAACACATCCTTTCTTCAATAAAGCACCTCTAAAAAAGCCCCACCATTTTTTCAATTAAGCGCCTCTAAAATACCCCATCCATTTTTTCAATAAGCGCCTCTAAATTAAGCTGGCAAAGATACTCACCGAATGGAATGATCCTTTGAACATGAGATCAATTGGTGGCCTGAATAAATCTTCCAAAGTTTTTTTCTTTGAGCTCTTTAAAAATACAGGGTCTGAGCTGCTACCACTGGCACTGGGAGTGACAAAACCTAGAGACTCTTCTTGTTGTCCTGGAAATAATAACAACAGTAACTAACAGTAACCATAGCAATAGTCTCAGTACAGAATGAATATCCTTGTCCTGGAAACGACAAAAGTAACCACAGCAAGAGTCTTAGTACAAAATCAGTGCTTTTGATGCAGGTACTGATAGTGACAAAGCCTAGAGACTATTGTTCTCCTGAAAACAACAACAGTCACCAAGTTACCATGGTTACTATAGCAGCGATTGTGATCTAGCCAGCCAATATTCAATGAAATTTTACCATCAGAAAAAACATTATACTTAATTTTCTATCTCCTAGTAACTTACATTAATTTCACATTTAAGCTCCCATAAAAGGCAATAAGAGCAACACTGAGTTTGTTAAGGACGTATGTAGAATAGTATTTTTGCATTAGAGGGTTCTTAGAATAACTGATTACTGATAAGAAAACAGTGTAAATGATAACATAGCCTATGACTTACGAGCCTCAGCTTGGAAGTCTCTAAATCCATCAAAGACAGATTTGGCGATACGTCTCCTGCCTCTGTTGCCTATAAAACAAAACAGTGGGTTATATCAATCAAGGAAAAATTGTTGTTTGATGATATACAAAGGCAATCTTCAACAATACCATACAGTACTGTTTTGGCTGTGGTAATGTATGGTATGGTAAAATATGGGACCATTATAGTACCATGAACACTGTACGACTCCATACTCCAATCATACCATACATTACCATAATTTCAGAGCGCACTGTCTAATCAAATATCCCAAAAATGTGAAATTTTGAGGAGATAGCTTTTATATTTTGCACCAAATGACACCAGAAAATACATATATTTACTCACCAAATGAAAATGTGTAATCATCCACAAGCTTTTCAGTTTTCTGTGGAATGGGTGCCCTGACGCCATCAGCACCGAGAGAACTATAAGCAAAATAACAAATTCTAAACTGATCTCAAAAGAAGGTAAGAAACTTAGATTGGAATTTGAAAAAATCTTATAAAAACAATCAACATGAAACACAGGTCCATCCAAGAATTATGTGTTTACGCGGCATGTTTTAATTTTGCATAATTTTGAATTTCTAGAAATGCCACATAATTCATTCACTAGCACATTATAATCTACTGGTCTCTATAAAAGATAAGTGACTTCGATTGGAATTTGAAAAAATCTTATAAGCAAAGTCCCCCTGGCCAAAATTTTGAGCAAAATCATGCAGTTTTTCACCATTCTCAGCAATTTTCATGTGATTTTGAGCCAAAGTTGTCAAACTGTGACTCTACAATTAGAGAAAATTATATCATCAAGCCCATTTCAAATCAGAATATTAAAGTTACATAGGTTAGTGTGTGCTTTGGGAATTTAAGTTCTACCCTGAGTTCTACTTACTTATCATCATCCAGCATGATAGGGGACCCTGCTCTTTTCCTAGATTCTGCCCTCTGATTGGTTGAGGCCTGGGGGAGTGCCACTATATCATCATTCTGATTGGTCGATGTTCCATCAACATGCATCCCTATTGCCATCTGAAGGTCATTGTTACAAGCCTCAAGCATGCTAACTGCCACTGCACGACCTTCACCTTAAATGAAATAGAGATCATTCTGTTGATTTCATTCACCATGTTTGGTGATTATTGTACATATTCTAGGTGCTATATCTAGTCTAGTACAAGTGGGGGCTTTATATCAGTCAGGCCCGTAGCCAGGATTTGTCAAGGGGGGTTCAGTTTTCAAAACTTTTCAGGGGGGGTTCACATTTGACAATTTTGGCCCAAATACATGTACGGCTAAAATAACTTGAGAAGTGCTAACAATCTTGAAAAACTGAATGATTTTGAAAGAATTTTTGGCCAGGGGGGGGGCGAACCCCCCTGGCTACAGGCCTGTCAGTCTTATGCAAATAAATCCATGTACTTCCACAAATGTGAGGGTACATCCCCCCCTCCTAGACTATTTCCTTTACAGAGCCCTTTAGCCTAGTTCTGACAGTTTTAAGGGGGGGGTCAACGGAACTCCCCATGGCCAATAATTCTTTCAAAATCTTAGGAGTTTCTCACCATTCTGCGCACTTTTCAAGTGATTTTGGCCATATCTGAGTCAAAAATTGTCTGAAATGACCCTCCCCCCCTACGGCATGATGATATCTATAAAAATAATGCATTGGTATATTACAAAACTGTAAATCTTGATTTTCAAATACAACCACCCCCCCCCCCCCCCAGAGTCTTATAATTTTGTAGACCACTTCAACACTTGCACTTGTTGGGAAATAAAAGGGAACCTGTCAGAGGTATAGCACAAGATAACTATATATGTGTGTTATAATCTTGATCACAATTGCGCATAAAGTTTAATTAATGTATGAACTACATGATGTTTTATCTATATTAAAATCGTTCGAACAGAATACCTGTAATTGCACAGAATTGATCAGCCAGAGCTTCAAATCCATTATTTGAAGATGCCATTTTGAAGACCCCTTAGAAATATCAATTTATTTGTATGATTTTTTCGCTACCTCCCAAAAAATGAATTATCAATCAATTTCTATGATTGTATCCTTTTCATGAGAAATAAAAATAATTATTGAATATATGAAATGAAATATTGAAATGCTGGGATTATAAATTCAATCGAACAATTTGTTTAGAAGGAGTCTTTCAATCTAAAAGTTTTGATGTTCACCAGCATTACTTTTAATTAATTCAAATCGATAGAATATTTTCTATACTCATTAGATATTTTGATTTCTACAGGTATCATACTTAGAAAGACAGAATAATGTATACAAAATATGCTAGTTGATATAATGTAAAACATATTTTGATTAAATATTCAATCCAATGTTGTTACACATCGTAAATCATCCTTCAAAATCTAGAAAAGTCAAAAAATAGTTTTTACTTCCTAAATTCCATGATATCAGCTACTAAGGTGAGTGTTTTGCAAATACATTATTATAACTTCAAATTTGAAAGCATACTCTGTCATTGTAACTTCAAAATTAGATACATTCGGTGACTTGACTCCATCGGGAACTTGAAAGCTGTCAAAAATCTCTCACCTCAATAGATTCTACCATATACAGTTGGGGACATAAATAAATGACAGGTGGATTTGCTGAAGTGAGGATTTCCCATGTTAAAAATAAGAGAATTTACAAGAGGCCATAAATCAGTGGATGAGATTATACAAAATGTAAAATATACAAATTTTAAGGGATATGTATCTAGACAATATTGGAAATTATGGGCTTTCAGACCACCATAATTAGGAAATGGTGATCGAAAATCGACCTGTCATTTATTTTTGTCCCCAACTGTAGCAGCTGGTGAACATCTAGATAGGGCTATACTCCAGAGGCCTCTGAGCCTGTAAAGCTCCACAATCAGGCCCGTAGCCAGGGGGGTTCGAAGGGTTCGGGCGAACCCCCCCCCCTGGCCAAAAATTCTTTCAAAATCATGCAGTTTTTCACCATTTTGAGCACTTCTCAAGTAATTTTAGCTACATTTGGGCCAAAATTGTCAAATGTGAACCCCCCCTGGAAATTTTTGAAAACTGAACCCCCCCTTGGCAAATCCTGGCTACGGGCCTGACAATATTGGATAAATCAGGCCGTAGCCAGAGGATGAAGCTTAGTCTTTAAAGGCATAGCCAGGGGGGTGATGGGTGCGAATTACCTTGTATTACCAAGTATTAGTGAAGTACAAGTGATATTATAGTACACAGTGAAACCAATGTATCTAGTGACCAAAGGCAGCATTAAAGTGCCATCGTGTTAAAGTAAACTAACACGTAAATAGGATAAAGAAGAAGAAGAATGTCTTCTATTAATTAAAGATAAATTCCTCCATGAACAACTGGTCATGTCATAATCATAAAACTTGAAATCATATGTCCGCCATTTTTCCACATCACAATTTGAATTGAGAGTGTTGGTCTTACCTCACCAAAAATTCCAAAACACACATAAAGTGATCAGTGTATTAGTTCACATCGCTAACTTAGAATATACAGCCAGTTACTAATGTCAGACGTTAACGACATTTCATCCAGTTTTCAAACATCACCATTTTTCTTGGAGCCATTTTGTTTTAATTTTAGACAAAATCCTGATGAAATCATGTCATATCTCATCAAGGAGCTGAGCGGGTTCCGTTTTAATTAATGATTTATCTGGCGATTTTTAAAATATTCAATGAATTTATGACACGGCGGCGAGCTTTTTTTCAAATGGAGTTCACAGTATTCCAGTTGAAATCACCTCTAGCCAATACTTGGCTCGAGACTCGAGTAAGGTGCGAACAACCCCCTCATTACTAAAAATAGGACCATTAAAATGAACTACATATACCAGATGCCGAATTTAGAACTATACCGACGACATATTAAAACTCAGAATTTATATCAATCATGGACATAGTACAGGCCCGTAGCCAGGGGGGGTTCGCAGGGTCCGGACGAACCCCCCTGGCCAAAAATTCTTTCAAAATCATGCAGTTTTTCACCATTTTGAGCACTTCTCGAGTGATTTTAGCCATATTTGGGCCAAAATTGTCAAATGTGAACCCCCCCTGGAAATTTTTGAAAACTGAACCCCCCCCTTGGCAAATCCTGGCTACGGGCCTGTAGTATTTACATTGCCTTATGCCTTATTGAAACAAAGTTGAGTGAGCTATATGGGGTTTGTTTTTCTTGACTGGTATGCACTTAGAGTTTGCTTTTGCTTGCTAAGTTCCATTACAACTTTTGGTCCTTTCCCTTTGGCACATGTGCTTAGATATTGATGCAGTTACAATATTGGGATTATATTGTCAATGTTTAAATTAAATTATATTTATTTCTTGACTCAAGTAATATCTATTTATAATAAAAACAGTACACATAAATATTTCTATCTATTCATATATTGCTTTGCATCCTGTATACTATATTTGCTTAATGGTTGTGACAGATGGAAATTGAATCTAACTGACTGAACTGTTTCAGAATCTAATGTAGTCGCCACTGAGGCCGACATATGAACCTGTTACGACTCGTTCATCCCGATGGGAAGAAACAAAAAGAGTCTGAAACTTTCAAGAAGCTGCGAGAAGAATGTAAAGAACAAACAGGAAAATGCGAAGTGAAATTTTCGAAGGAAGAATTGAAAGAGAGGCTAACGCCATTACAGTACAGGGTTACTCAAGAGAAAGGAACAGAGAGGTAATGGGTGACGCAAATTGATTTTACATTTATGTTCGATATCCTTGGCTAGATAGGGAGGGTGCAGCGGGATATTTAGGAAAAGGAGACTCGGTATATTCCTGGTAACCAACAAGGAGGGGGGCCAAAATATCAAGTCTGAAAAAATTTTTTTTGGCCCCTTGAACCAAAAAGTGGGCCCAAATTTTGAAAATGTAAGGCCCATTTTCTTGATAATTTGGCCTACAATTCAAAAATGAGGCCTTAAAAGGCCCAGTAATGTTCAAAAAGGCCCATTTATTAGGCTCCCACCTGGGCCCCCTACCCAGATCCGCCAGTGTTATGTAATCAGTGGTGTACATTTTTAGTAAAACTTACCACATGGTTGCCTTCACTGTGGTATTACATTACCACCCAAATGTGAACAAAATGTGACTCTTAAACAGTCTCATTGCCAGCTTTTGCCAAGGGGGTTCAGTTTTCAATGAATTCAGGGAGGTTCAAATTGACAATTTTGGCTATGATTTTGAAAGGGGGTTTGAGTGACTCCCACCCCCTGGCTATGAGCCTGCTGTTGAAAAAGCATGTGAAAAACTGCATGATTTCGAAAGATTATTTGTCTAGTGGGTTTAAGTGATTCCCCTCTACATAGGCCTGCTGTTGATACCCATACCCATACAGAATGATTAAAGCTTAACCAGGTGCACATTGAAATCCCAGAGATCAAGGTTTTAAAAGGGGATAATGTTTGCATAATATGGATAATTTTTGTATCTGTTTGTTTCATTTTATGCATAGCATATAATCTTAATGTTTAACCTTATACACTAACATAGAGTGCATGGTAGAAATAAAGAATAGATACAATACAGAATGATTTGGCTTTTTTGCTCTGAACGCATTAACTGATTTACAACTGTTGTTATTATAATTTTCATTTCCTCTTCCTGATGTTATAGATCGTTCCGATAAATCCTGCCATCTTTTGATATAGTAGGAAAACCAGGCCCATAGCCAAGGGGGTTAGCAGAGTTCGAGCGAACCTCCCTTGGCCAAAAATTCTTTCAAAATCATGCAGTTTTTCACCATTTTGAGCACTTCTCAAGTGATTTTAGCCATATTAATGTGCCAAAATTGTCAAATGTGAACCTCCCCTGGAAATTTTTGAAAACTGAACCCCCCTTGGAAAATCCTGGCTACGGGCCTGAAAACTATGACATCTTGGGTAAATTGATGATGTCACTGGTTGTAGGTAGAAATCTGACGATGAAAAAACTTGATTTACTTATTGCTAATTTTAGAAGATGCAACCTATGACATCATCAAGCTAGCCAACATGGTGGTAGGATTTAACGGAGAAATCTGTTCCACTTGATAACAAGATGATAACTTTTTCAGGCCATGGTCGGGGAAATATGTCCGCATGACGGACTACGGTGTATTTCAGTGCATAGTTTGTAGCGAGCATTTGTTCCACTCGGATGAAAAGTTCACCTGCAGTTCTGGTTGGCCCTCATTCAGTGATGTCATAGAACGTGGGAAAGTGTCGCTTAGTGACGACACAACAAATGGTAAATAACTTCACCAAGATAAATTGGTACTATACGCATTGAATTATGTTTCTGTTCAGTTAGTCTTGCATCATCCCCTGTGATAGCCTCACCCTGAAAGGAGAGAGAGGAGAGGGGGAGGTCCAAAGCAGACTAGACTAGATTTAAAAATTGGTATTATAGATCTCATACATGTCATAAGGTTTCTCTGAAATTGGTCTTGCCTCATATACATAGACTTATTCCATCATAACATGTTTACAAAAAAAAAAAAAAAATTCATATTCCATCCCTCCCATTAAATAACCTCTATTTATGAGCTATGTTTTCGTCAATTTAGGTATTTCACTGAATGTTATTTTGAAAAATAAATTGTACTGAACTGTCCTTACCATATTTCATATTGCAGGCATGGTTCGTATCGAGGCCAAATGTGCTAAATGTGGGGCCCACCTTGGTCATGTCTTTGATGACGGGAAAAAAGGTGCTAAAGAGACGGGTGTTAGATATTGCGTCAATTCCGCAAGTTTAGATTTTAGAAAACATACTATAGTGTGATATATTTATTAAACACATGGAGTGTTACTGTAAGTGTCATATTGGATGGAGCCAACAGGATTCATTGGATGGAGCTTAGAGGTTTCATTGTGTGGAGCTGACAATATTTATTGTATGGAGCCAACAGATTTCATTGGATGGAGCCAACAAGTTTCATTGTATGGAGCTGACATTTTCATTGTATGGAGCCAACAGATTTCAATGTATGGAGCTTAGAGGTTTCGTTGTATGGAGTTGACAATTTTCATTGGATGGAGCTTAGAGGTCTCATTGTATGGAGCTGATATGTTTACGCATACCAATATATCAGAAAATTCTGGCTTATAGCAACTGTAGTGGTACATTCACAGTTGGTTGATAATAAGTTACATGGAAATCCATAATGAAAATCGCCTAAAGAATACAATGGGGCTGAGAATATTAATATTGGAACAAAATGTTTTGATTAATTGAAAAATATTGTAAGTGAGTCTTAAAACAATCATCTTGGATAAATATCAGGTATAAGGGCTTATATGCAAAATATGTGTGACATCCATCAATTATATTTTTCTTTTATCAAGTTTATGCTTTGGTGGACTATGGAAGTCACACTTTAGTCCACTTTTTGCTGTATTTGTTTCTATGGCTCTCCCAAATTTCTAAGATGTTCTTTGATTTTTTTTAGTTGTTCTTTTCTGTGTTTTTCTCCGTCAGGATGCATATCAAAGTTTTCAGAGTCCAGTTTTCTTGCAAAAGATCAAAATTTTGAACTGACCCCTAAGGCATGAGCCAACCTACAAGAATGTGAATATACCTTGTTTCTATCAGCACTCCATGTCAAAATATGGTACCACGTCGTCTCATTATTCTACATTGAGTCTTTCAAATATGTATGATTATGAGTTCCAATCCAGCTTTTTGAGTTGAATAAGTCCTGAATTTTTGAGTTGAATGGACCCTAGTCTTAGTCCCTGTTTGTCCTTTGAAATAAGTCCCATTCTGGCTTTTTGAGTTGAATAAGTCCTGACTTTTTGAATTAAATGGACCTTAGTCTTAGTCCCTGTTTTTCCTTTGAAATAAGTCCCAATCTGGCTTTTTGAGTTGAATGAGTCCTGACTTTTTGAGTTGAATGGACCTTAGTCTTAGTCCCAGTTTGTCCTTTGAAATAAGTCCCAATCTGGCATTTTGAAATGAATTAGTCTCAGTTTGGCTTCTTGTGTTGAGCAAGTCCAAGTTAATGCCTTGTATTGTAATTGTATAAGAGATTTTACAGACTTTAAAATGTTCGCAGATCTTTTGCCTGACATGCCTGGTGACATCTATAGCTTTGGTTAAATTATGAAATGTTAATATGTGTCAGTCAATGAGTAGGGAATCTTCATGCTCAGTCATAGTCTAATAGTATGTACAGTAAAACCTGTATATCCATATCTGAACATCTCTCTAATCTGAACACCTCTCTAATCCGAACACCTCTCCAATCCGAACACCTCTCTATTCCGATCACCTCTCTAATCTGAACACCTCTCTAATCCGAACACCTCTCTATTCCGAACACCTCTCTAATCTGAAAACCTCTCAATTTGAACACTTTTTCTCAGATCCAATTTTGAGCAAACATATGAGCAAACCTCGAATTGCAAACACTTGCTCATCTGAACATTTTTGATTGACCTCAGATGTGTTCCGATTAGGCATGTACACCGTATGGTGTAAATTGGGGTGAAAATAACAGCTGAATTCCTGCATAAGTGTACATATATATATGTGTATTTAATGTATTTATATACATCTTTAATGTATTTATGTACATCTTTAATGTATTTATGTACATAGTTATGTAGATATATCATGATGCAGTGTCCAGAAGAAAGTAGTAAAAGTTAATGCTTATAACATAGATAGGGATTGTTGAACGCACAATAATATGAAAGTGTATGTACAATGAATGTGAACAATGAATCTATATGTACAACAATGAATGTGTACTATGAATTTTATGTACTACATTGACTTTGTGTGTATAACTGTGAATGTGTACTATGAATTTTATGTACTACAATGACTTTGAGTATACAACAATGAATGTGTACTATGAATTTTATGTACTACAGTGACTTTCTGTGTACTACAATGAATGTGAACAGTGAATTTGAATGTAATGCAATATATGGATACAGCGAATTGGTGTGCAAAGGAATTAGTACAATAAAATTCTATGTAAAATAAAAGTAAATGATGAATTTGTATATACAATGAATGTGTACCATGAATTAGCATGTACAATGAATTTGTATTTCTAATAAATGTGTACAATTTGTATATACAATGACTGTATACAATGCATTTGTATGTACAATAAATGTGTTCATTGAATTTTAATTAAAATGAATGTGTATGTATGATCCATTCTACGTCTTCATAGTTTAAAGGGGGTTCATAAGAAATTCAATCCCCAGTAATTCCTTGCATACTGTTGTTACACTTAATTTGGTTCCTGTTTTAATTTGGCAGATTGAAAAATTCTGCCAAATTAAAATCCGCTAACTTTCAGTTGTATTTTGGAAAATTCCAAATCACCGAAACTCAACTTCGACTTCAGTTGTGTAGGTACAAATGTATACCTATTTGGAATTCAGTGCAATACTATAAGTTATTGAATGATTTGAAGTGCAATACAGGATATATTCTGCTCGAGAAATTCCGTATTGGAACGAGACGAAGTCGAGTGCCAATACAGAATATCGAGACAGAATATATCCTGTATTGCACTTCAAATCATTCAATAACGTTTTTATCGTGTTATCCTCAGTATTGCTACTGAGATTGTCCCCTCCGTACTAATATTTTCTGTATTGCGACGGAGATGATCAACGGGGACAATCTCAGTAGCAATACAGATTAGTACAGCACAAGAACTGACCAATCAGAAGGCTTCATTTTACAGATCATACGATAATAAGACTTACTGTAAGAAGTACACATGACTCTGAAATGTTTATTTCCAAATCAAAATTAAATAGCAGCAAATATATGAAATTGCAAATCAGCCAAATTAAGTAGCAACAAATTAAGTGTATCAGTACAGTATAGAAAAGTCCATAATTGATGGGATTTGTATTTAACTGAAACCAAATAAAAAGAAATTAAAAGTTAATTATTGTATATATTATACTAATACTGTAAAATAGAAAAAAAATTATGATGGGGTTTGGGCATGAGAGTATAGACATCGATGTTTAGGTTATTTTTATTGTTGAATTGGATCTTCTGGACATGGGGTTAAATTTTTTGACATTTTGTTTTTTATTTTGACATTTTCTTAACTGTCAAATATGTACAAGAAAATGTCTGAATTTTACATTTAGACATACTTATACACTGCCTTTTTATGATTTGTGACCACACCACAAAATGTCACTGCTATCTCAAAACATGTATCAGCTTTATTTTTAAAAATTATAAATGCAATCTCGAGAAACCCATGATTTTTTTTATAAGTTATAGTATGAACTAGGTATTATATATACTCATATGTATATTTTGACTTTATATAATTTATTATGTACAGTAAAACCAGTTAAGTGGAACACCCCTGTAAGTGAATTCATTTGTAAGAATGTGGGACACTTTTAGGTCCGTGTCTTTCACTTAAACATGTTTTACTGTGTATGGATTGTTATCTGCTTAAAATGTATGCTTCCCAGGCCCATAGTCAGCTTTTGCCAGGGGGGGGGGGGGCAGTTTTTTAAAATTTTCAAAATGGTGAAAAATGGCATGATTTTGAAAGAATGGGCTTAACCCCCCACCCCCTACCCCTCTCTGACTATGGGCCTGCTATCACATTATCAAAAAATGAGATTGGGTCAATTTATCAATGTCCAAGTAAACTCTGAATAGGTTAGACAATTTAGCAGCTTAGCCCCCCACTACCATCTTCGCACGCTCAGTCTTCACTGCGTTCATCGACGGACGGTAGCCGAGTGGACGAAGATGCCCCACTACCATGTGATTGGCTTTATTAATGTAAGAGGGGAGGGGTAAAATGATTTTATTATTTGATGAACATTGATATTTCACCAATCTCCTTACTATATTTAGTTATTATGATAGTGAATGAAATCCTAACTCACGTGCAATTAACATTTAAAGGTCCTATGTAGAGTTTACACCACTTTTGCTGATTTATTGTACATTGCAATATTTTGCACAGGGCCTTTAAGACTTTATATACATATGTAATTGTATATTATATTATACCACATTTTTGTATGATAACATCATATTGTAGATGATTGACCACAAATATAAAGAATTAAATTATAGCAATAATGCAAGCTATTTCTTTTGTACATTATTAAGGTTGGCATATTAGTACACGATTAAGGTAGACACATTTTGTGTGGAGTTGGAGGTGGGCATATTATGTACATTATTAAGGTGGGCATATTTTTCTTGATTAAGGCAGGCATATTTTGTACATCACTAAGGAGGGCATAGTTTGTACATTATTTAGATGGGCGTACTGTACATACATTATTAGGTGAGCTTATTTTGAACATTTTTAAGGTGGGCATATTTTTATACATTATTAAGGTGGGCATATTTTATACATTATTTAGGTGGGCATATTTTGAACATTATTAAAGTGGAAAATTTTTGCATATGTTTAAGGTTTGCACATTTGGTACATAATTAAGGATGGCATATTATTTACATTATTCAGGTGGGAATATTTTGATCTTTATTAAGGTGGGCATATTTTTCATGATTAGGGCAGGCATCATTAAGGAGGACATAGTTTGTACATTATTTAGATTGGCATACTGTGCATACATTATTAGGTGGGCTTGTTTTGAATATTATTAAGGTGGGCATATTTGTGCATTATTAAGGTGGGCATATTTGTGCATTATTAAGGCGCGCATATTTTGTACATTATTTAGGTGGGCTTATTTTGAACATTATTAAAGTGGAAAAATTTTGTATATGTTTGAGGTTTGCATATTTGGTACATAATTAAGGAGGGGATATTATTTACATTATTCAGGTGAGAATATTTTGATCTTTATTAAGGTGGGCATATTTTTTCTTGATTAAGGCAGGCATATTTTGTACATCATTAAGGAGGGTTAATTTGTACATTATTTAGATTTGCATACTGTACAGACATTATTAAGGTGGGCTTATTTTGAATATTATTAAGGTGGGCATATTTTGTGCATTATTAAGGTGGGCATATTTTGTGCATTATTAAGGTGGGCATATTTTGTACATTATTTAGGTGGGCTTATTTTGAACATTATTAAAGTGGAAACATTTTGTATATGTTTAAGATTTGTATATTTGGTACATAATTAAAGATGGCATATTATTTATATTATTCAGGTGAGAATATTTTGATCTTTATTAAGGTGGGCATATTTTTTTCTTGATTAAGGCAGGCATATTTTGTACATAATTAAGGAGGGCATAGTTTGTACATTATTTAGATTGGCATACTGTACAGACATTATTAAGGTGGGCTTATTTTGAATATTATTAAGGTTGGTATATTTTGTACTTTATCAAGGTTGGCATATTTTATACATTTCAAAGTTGGCATTTTTGTACATTATTAAGGTGGGCATATTTTTCATGATTAAGACAGGCATCTTTTGTACATAATTAGGGAGAGTATAGTTTGTACATTATTCAGATGGACATACTGTACATACATTACTAAGGTGGGGAACATTTTTGCCACCTTTTCACATTTTACTACATACTTATACAACTTAAGATGCTCAACTAAAATTAGACAGCAGAGATCATTTCTACACATTTTAAAACAATTTTTCTGTAAATTGGATGAAAATTGTTGAAATAAGAGCAATTTTAGTGAAACATTTTGTGACAGATTTTCTCGTCACTCTGCATGGGTTTCAAAGTCATTTCTGAGGTTAAGAGAAACCTCGTCACTCCAGGTAGTTAAGGTTATGTTGACATATTTTGTACATGATGAGGGTTGGAATATTTTTTTATTAACATTATTAAGGTGGGCATATTTTAAGCATTGTTCAGGTGAACATAGTTTGCACATAATAAGGTAGGTATATTTTGTAAATGATTAGATTGGATTTTTTTTACATTATTAAGGTGGGCATAAATTGTAACTTATTAAGGTGGGCATATTTTTGTACATTATTTAGGAATAGTTTGCATATTGATAAGGTGTGTATTTATTTTGTGCATGATTAAGGTGGGCATTTTTGTACATTATTTAGATAGGTTTATTTTGAACATAGTCAAGGTGGACACATTTTGTACATTATAAGGTGGGCATAATTTGAACAATATTAGATGGACATATTTTTAACATTATAAGGTGGGCATATTTTGTACAAAAAAATTCTCCATAGGATTGTAAGCTTTGATGTGACCTTTTACATTTGACCTTGACCTATGACCTTGTTTGACCCACCTCTGGCCTAACCCAGGGGATACCTCTACTAGTTCAATTCAGAGACCTTGTGACAGCGTAATTAATTAATTGTCTGTGATATATATCATATTATTGCTTGAAAATAGTTCTTAATTGTTTTAATTGAAGCAATCAAAGTAAACAAAGGTGCTAGGAACCTAAACTCGCATGCGTGAGAATGTAGGTCACATGGTAAAATTGAGCCAATCAGCTTTCAGAATTTATTGTCACCGCCAAGCTCATTTTTAGAAGGGAATCAAATTTTTCTTACGTTTGGAGTGTAATCTCTCTCTATAGCATTACCAAAGTGACACAAATATGCACCCAAGATGTAGCAAATGAGTCAGGGATTATCCTAGGACGTGGAAATGACTTTTGACCATCTCATTCGTCCGATTTGCAGCTTCAAAAGCCGGCGTCGTCTTTGAATGGTCGCCATCTTGAAGTTGGATTTTAAATTTTAGTAAGCATAGGAAAACCCGTTGACTCTCGGCATCCCATGGATTAGCATCTCATAAATACTACCAACGATTTAAATTATATATTTATTTATATTGTTGAACAGCTATGTCGACAGCAAACACGACGTTATCTAGTTTATGGATAGAAGATGGTGAGTTTTTTCTCTAAAAAATCAAATCAAAAATGCCATGCCAACTGCAAGCTTTCTGAGCCGAGATTTACATAATCCCACAGTGTTATCACTATACCAGAGGATATTGCAAAACTGACAATGTTCACAAAAACTGACTACTTTTACAATCACTTATTCTCAAAGTTGTCTTTCCCTCAGTGCATTTCATTTTGGGCTTATTTTGAAGAAAGAAAGAATATGATCTAAAGAATCTCAAGTTTTGCTAGGGCGAAGGGGTGTAACGTCGACACCGTTTTGGGGTAACTTCGACATGTGGGGTAACTTCGACACCTTGTTGTTTATTTGCTCTAATTTCCGATCTAGGGGGAAGCCATGTTTTTTTTCTCGCATGGATCGAGATCTCGCGAGATTTTAATTTTTTCAGAAATCAAACATGGCGGAAAACGGAAATTCTACTTCTAATACGTAAGTGTCGAAGTTACTCCGTCTATTATGTCGACATTACCCCACACGTCGACATTACACCCCTTCGCCCTAGAACTTAAAACTTTAGGGCACTTCTTCAATTCCATTATAATGTCACAGTACTGGAGTCATGTATTTTGATCGTAAAATAGTGTACTCTGGGTATCTTTTTGATTTCTTGGCCCTGCAATGGTTACACTTTTGAGGTCCATCGTACTTCATAACGTAATAGACAGGATACATTTGAATTCACTGATTATCATACTAGGGCAAAGGAGTGTGTAACGTCAACATGTGTTGTGATGTTGACATGAGAAAAATGTCCTTTCGGCATTTCCTTATTAGAACTTAGCATTTCAGTTTTCTGCCATGTTTTATTTAGGAATAAGTAAAAACCTCGTGAGATCTTGAATCTTGATCCATGCGCGAAGGTTTCTCTAGATCGAAAATTAGAGCAACTAGGTGTCAACGTAACCCCATATGTCAAAGTTACCGTAAATTGAAACAAAATGGCATAAATGTTATATATACTTTTGCCTTATAATATTTTATCGATATGGAAGTACCAGATGTATACATTATTTTTAGAGTCCTAACTCTTGTATATTTTAAAAACAGTCTGTATCAGTTATTATAATGTGCAAAAAAACCTTGGCTTCTTGTAATTTTGAGAGTACATTGTATCTGTTGGATCATTTTGAGGCCATGCTTTAATATGTACATGGTAGAAAGGTATCTGAATACAATCTGAGGTAACATATTTATTAAGCCTAACCACAAACAATCCATATAGAATATAAAAGTGCTTGCAAATAATAGGGGAAGTGGTCCTAATTATCGCATGGTCCTAATTATCGCACGATTGTCCTAAATAGCTAAAATATGCACCCACCATCTTTTAAACCAGTGTTACGAAAAACAGTTCAACACCATTACTCCCAATCTTCATGATTTATTCATATATTTAGAAATATCTCTTCATTTTTTAAGAATTGTTTACTTCCGCCATTGTCATAAATGCTTTTGCGCAAGAAGTAAAATTCGTCTGACAAATTTTGACCCCCTCCAAATAAAGACAGAAAAGTATGTGTATAATGTATATTTTGTTGATATTTTGCACTAAAACTGATAGAAAAATGATTACAGCATATGTATGTTTATTCCATAGTTAGCATGATATTCATAGGATAACATGTGAAAATAAAAACGGTATTTTTGTAATTAGTGGTAAAATATGATATTTTTGACAAATTTTCACTTAACCATAACATACGGTTTTTTAACCATGACATACGACGTCGTATGCGATGGTTTATGGATTTTTGCTACTTCAGACTCAAAACGAGGCTAAGTGTCAACATCGCTGGATCGTTTGGAAATTCGAATTAAATAACTTAATTTCCGACGATTCTGATGATGACTTTAACTATGGAATAAAAAGAACATCCTATGATTTACTCGTGATATGATTTTAATCCACTCATGGATATTGATATCTGCACTCTCTCGCTACGCTCGCTCGTGCAGATATCATATCCATTCGTGGATAAAAATCATATCACTCATAAATCATAGGATATCCTCTATATCTGTTATAAACAGAGAAATGTATACAGTATCGTGAAATAACATCTGAAACATAACTGTGCGATAATTAGGACGACTGTGCGATAATTAGGACCACCGCACATGCAAGTCTAAGGGGTCTTAAAGTGTTAGCGTTCGGAGATTGAGAAATGTCAAACACTACTTAGATTTTAGAGGAAAGGTTGATCTTTCATCTCATATTCTCAAAGTAAGTTGAAGTTATCATATTTGAAATCGTCAGTAGTTTCCCTGAGTACCCGTGCGATGATAGGACGGCTTCCCCTATGCGTTTGTATTTTTCAATATGATGTTGCATTGTACATGTTACTGATTTCACATTTTCCGGAAAGAAATATATACTACCTTAATCAATTTTTATTGTTGTTTTATCTATGATTGAAGACATGAAAATTTTGCATGAAAATTTTTTTTATCAATATGGGTTTCACATTTTATTTTGAAATATGAATAAATTATCATGAAAAATGACCAAAATACCTCCTCCTGTGAGATGCTATCGGTGTTTGAGCTAAGGGGTGGTCTACCGGTCATTGCCAGGTTACTTTTGAAACAGACCAATCAATCGTTTTTTCTCACTAGATATAAGAAAATAACTTGGCAACTGGTCCATAATCCCATTCTGACCAGCTGCTCTCGGAACCTTGATCAACCCCTGGATGTAAGACTGACACATAAAACCATGTAGATATGTATTAGATTTACCAGTAGTTTAACACTTCAACATTATGAATGTAATTTTGCACACAAATTAGATATAAGAATGTATAGTAGACCATTGGGGATGAAAAAAGCAAATGTATTGTGTTTTATGGGCATCATCTAGGCCCTATATACGTCATTTAGGAGTCTAACCTCATTTAGGCCATACCTCATCTAGGCTCTTCTATATACCTCATCTTGGCCCCTATACCTCATCTAGGCCTCATTTTGATCATCTCTCTAGTGTGATATATGTGTTTTCAGGTCAAACAAGTCCCATGAAAAAATTTGCAGTTGGAGCCTCAGGGAAGCCTTCAGAAGTGAAACAAGACTTACTCAAATTCTACCATGAATCACATACTCAGAATCAACAGGTACTTTTCATATTATACTAGTTCTAACCTTTGAGTTGTTCCCTATGTACAGTATGTAGCTCAACATGAAACACATACATACTCAGAATCAACAGGTACTTTTCATATTATACTAGTTCTAACCTTTGAGTTGTTCCCTATGTACAGTATGGAGCTCAACATGAAATACATACACACTCAAAATCAACAGGTACTTTTCATATTACTAGTTCTAACCTTTGAGTTGTTCCCAATGTACAGTATGTAGCTCAACATGAAACATATTCATACTCAGAATCAACAGGTACTTTTCATATTACTAGTTCTAACCTTTGAGTTGTTCCCTATGTACAGTATGGAGCTCATTATGACACACGCGCTCAGAATCAATAGGTACTTTTCATATTACTAGTTCTAACCTTTGAGTTGTTCCCTATGTACAGTATGGAGCTCATTATGACACACGCGCTCAGAATCAATAGGTACTTTTCATATTACTAGTTCTAACCTTTGAGTTGTTCCCTATGTACAGTATGGAGCTCATTATGAATCACATACTCAGAATCAATAGGTACTTTTCATATTACTAGTTCTAACCTTTGAGTTGTTCCCTATGTACAGTATGGAGCTCATTATGACACGTGTGCTCAGAATCAACAGGTACTTTTCATATTACTAGTTCTAACCTTTGAGTTGTTCCCTATGTACAGCATGGAGCTCATTATGACACGTGTGCTCAGAATCAACAAGTACTTTTCATATTATACTAGTTCTAGCCTAGGGGGGGGGGGGGTATGCTTGACCCTTGAAAGAATGTCAAATGGGTTAGGAAACCATGAGGTCTTACAGTATGCCAACAAACATTTTTAGATCTTTAGTGAGATCTATAGTGATGTATTACTCCCTCAATGGTTCACTTTTCCATACTCCATTTAACATGAGGTCTTTTAATGACTGGGATATAACTGAAGCCTCATTTATGATCATGGAAAGTAAAATCATAACAATCAGTTGTAGTCTTGGATAATGATGTCATAAAACAATGGACCGTGAGAATTGTTAATGTTATGAAGTTTCTCTTAATGACCCTAGAGCATAAATGATAGACCACCCAGTGATCTCCCCAGCATCAAAGCAAGTGGGGCAAGGGCGCAGCACCCACCTGAGATTTTGAGAATAGGCTTGCACCCACCTGAAAATCCATTCGCACCTACTTGAAAATGAGAAAAATCATGAACTTTTGGCATATGTTGACCAATTTTGGTCTAAATTGTGAAAATGAGAATTTTGCACCCACTTGAGAAAAATCCTGGGGAGATCACTGCAACCCTTATGCATTTATAATAATGATAGAAATGTCATGTCAGTAGTTAACTTCTCAGTATTGTGAGCAGTGAGATTTGAAGAAAGACTTGCACCCACTTACACATATCCATTTGCACATACAGTAAAACCTGTCTAATCTGAACACCTCTGGGACTGGTCAAAAGTGTTCTCATTATGAGGTGTTCACATTTCAAGGTTTTATAAAGTACTAAAATTAGCTGTCACGTTAAACATGTAGGTTCACTATTAGCTACTGTGTGAGATTATAAATTTAGGAAGAAAAGTGTTTATATTAACAGGTATTCGGATTAGATATGTATATAAGTTTCACTCTACTTGAAAAAGAGAAAAATGATTAAATAATGGCAGGTTTTGGTCAAAATGTTAAACAGTCAATACATGTACACTTTAAAGCATGTAACCAAGTCTTAATCAGTTAAAATAAACCTCTAAAATGTTGTTTATTTCATATTCGAACATGACTGTATTCACGCCTTCTATAAACTGTAAACAAAGTCAATGCTTCAGCTGGGTTATATTCGAGATCAATAACCCAGATGGGTCGTAGTAATGGCGGACCATGATGAATATTCGAAACAATTTGGTGAGTTTTCATGTTCGAATCGTAATATAGACCTCAGATCAGGGGTAATATCGTTGAATACACCCCTTGGGGCTAGGCACAAAAGCTTTCGAACCCCTCACTCCCTTCGGTCGTTCGTGGTACAGAAAACGTTTGTGCCTAGCCCTGCGGGTTGTATTCGACGATATAACCCCTGCTTTTCGGTCTATATTTCTTAATTAGATCCAGATTAGAATAGAACTAGGAATGGTATCATTACTTCAAATAACGTTTATTAAAGTTATTAAACTTTTAAGTAGACCATGTTGTAGGAAGTGTTTCTTTGTCAAAAATGAAACTTGACAGGTATATACTAATCTAGGGAAATTCTTATTTCAAATCTAGTTATTGTCATTTATAATAGTTTTCTTTCTTGGTTGATATTATTGAAATTATACCCTTTGCATTCGTTTGACTTCACTTCTTAAAAGAGAGCTTTGTCTTGTAGTTTAACTAGACTCTGCATGCAGGGTATTGAAATTATGGGGTAATTTTATGTTTTTTTAATTGATTTTCTCTTATGCTTACTAGACATATATTGTAACTTGTAATTTTGAGTATTTCCAGATTTTATGCTTTAATAAAGTTTGTGTCAGTGAATGGTATTCATACATTCTTTAGGGGTTTCACTAGAATTTCTCACAACAGGCTAAATAAATGAAAACAACAGGCAAAATTAATGGAAATCATGAGTTTAACATGTAAAAATTGATAGGACTCTAAAAACAACAGGCAGTTTTGTGAAAACAACCAGTGAAAATCGCCTGATGCTGCTATTAATGAAACCTCTGCAATCCTGCATTCATATTAGAACATGTCGATTTTGAATGTGAATGAAAAATAAAAAATGCATTAATAGCAATAATGAGGAATTTATGAAATGAAATGATTTTGTGTAATTGTGAACTCAATTTACTTGGGGCAAAATGTAATATTGCTCCATGCTCACTTCATGGTAACATTACACGCCCCTCTGGTAGTGGTATGTTCACCAGGTCTCATTATGGATGTACAGTTGCAAAATATTTGAGCAAATCTATGAAAACCCAAAAAATCAAGCAATTGTAGTTAACATATTAGGGTTTAGTATAGTTTTGCTTCGAGACCCCCCCCCCCTTCATACTTTATGAAGTAGTAGATAAGGGGGGGGGGGGTCCAGGGTCTACTCAGAGTTTTAAGAAATAATTCCTTTTGTCAACCATCTTGAGAAATGCTTTTAAATATTGAATATAAAAAACAATTCCCAATTAATGCACATTTCTTTTGTATTGTAAAACTTTAAAAGTTATTCTCTTTTCCCACCTGTTGATTTTAAGTATAAATGAATATATATGATCGCATTGACAGAAAGTTAAAAAATCTGAATATGTTTTTCTATGGGATATTAGCTGTTTTTGTCTTATTTGTGGCAAATGGTTAAGGTGACCGTTTTAACCCTTTGGTGACCTCAATTCATGAAAATTGATATCAGATTGATCAACATTATTTTTTGGCTTAATCTTGAATTTGTTTTTGTATTTTCCAGCCTAAAATTATTGAAGTTTAAAGCATCCTCCGTATTATGCAACCTACATGTTTAAATAAAAAACATTAATTGTTGTCACTTTTGTCACTTTTTTATTGGACTTTAAGTTCAAAAATTTAATTTACTATTAATTTGTTTAAGAAATTGAAGTTATTCAAAAAATAAAGGTAGGCCTTGGTTGATACATTTTCACCAGTTGACTGACAAAGAGAGATAATAAATTGAAACTCCGAAACAAATTCTAATTCTAAACTTGTTTTATTTTACCAAGTACCAACAATGTACATCAACTACTAAACACAACTGCACAAAATTCAAATTTCCTAATCGCCTGCTACTTAAAACAAAGGAAGTTATTTTTGAAATCAACAGCTGGATTTTGATAATATATAAATGCTTTCGTTTTTGGTCTCAAACATATAGCTTTAGGGGCAGAAGAAAAAATGTGAGAAATATTTTCATTTTACTTCAGCCTTGTGCACTACAACCATGCTGATCTAAAATCTCCATGAGAAGGCTTCTTTGATATAGGCTTGATTTCTTTAAATGCTCTAGCTATTCAGTCTAGTCTCTCTCTACACTGTTAACCTCTATTCGATTGATCCCCCTCCCCCCAGCTCAGTTTGGGACTTTGACAGAGGGATTTTGACACAGTACTGGGACGAAACATTTTGATGAGTTATCATGTTCGAATCGTAATATAGACCTCAGAGCAGGGGTAATATCGTCGAATACACCCCTTAGGGCTAGGCACAAAAGCTTTCGAACGGAAAACGTTTGTGCCTAGCCCTCCGGGGTGTATTCAACAATATTACCCCTGTTCTTCGGTCTATATTTCTTAAATATTAAACAAATAAAGAATATCAGCTGTGAAATTGTATCACTATGTACCAATCTAAATATAACTCTGTTGAAAAGATATACACGTGGCATATATGATATTTATTCCATGGCTACTGCTTTCCCTCCCCTACCTTCAGACTAGAATATCCAGACCTGGATTTCCGCGTAATATATGTTCTCAGCAGGTATGAATTAAAGATAAAAAAGCAATAATGCAGCCAGTATTTCAATGATGTGCTTCATAAATAAATAGATAGAAGGCTCTCGTTACAATTCTTTGGAAGACAAGACAAACTCATAAATTTAGATATTAAAGCTCATACTGAATTCAATACAGTAAAACTGGTTTAGTGAATGACAACCTAGTGAATACTTTTCCTATGTAGTGTATACTTCTCAGAGCATACTTAGTAAACATTTATTTAAGTGAATACTCTAGTCTAGCTACAAGCCCTTGTGAGACCCCCCCCCCCGCCACTACGTCAACACTCTGTGAGAAGGTGTAGTCAAGTAGATGGGAGGGGGGTCACAGAGACTCTATTGCATGCTCCAAAAGGTGTTCACCATATGTATGTTCTCCTGTACCACATTTCTTTAACACACATGTCTCATAAGCTACCCTTTGCATTCGTTTGACTTCACTTCTTAAAAGAGAGCTTCATCTTTAACTAGACTCTGCACGCAGGGTACTCATAAGCTTGATTCGTCTCAAATACAATAACGTCTGAACCTAACTAACCTGAAGTCAAGTCATTCTTGATCGGAATGAAATAGTACAATTAAACATACATTTAATAGTACGTTCATTGTTAACTTCCCATGCCTAAAATTTCTTTATGATCTTACAATTTTATTCTAGCCCTGGCAAAACTTGATTGGCGTATCTGATTTTCTTGCATTTATGTATAATATAGAGTATTAACTACATGTCTGTTTGCTCAATTTCTTGCTAATTTCTTACATTTATCCTAAATTTTTGATTTCATAATATAGCTGGTCTGACAATTTTTTTTTAGACTTCACATCATAGAATAGGTTCATTTGATTTTTAGTATCATATATCAAGATGTGCGTCATATCATATAGACATATTTCATTGACGTAAACCTATTCTTCATTAATATGACACTTCATATTGGTTTCTTGAATACGTATAGAAATGGAAAAAGCATTTTGTAATTGACTTTTCACCCCAATGTCGCTTCATGGTAGATTTCTCCACTAGTCTGTTGATAATTCAACAGTTACATATCACCCTTTTTAAAGTCTGTTTGTGCCCTGAAAAAAAAGTATTGAGACATTTTAATCAGAATGGGTGTGAAATTGAACCAAGTTTTAAGAAATGTTACAATGTTCTAATTATGATTTCGAATAATTTTGATTTTCTTTCATTTTGTCTGTTGGCAAAATTCTCATGAAATGCCAGTACATGTATTTAGAAGAATACAGTCTTAAGTAGGAAAAAACACATTTTTCCAGTTTTCTCATGCTCTACCCATGTTTAGTATTTCTCACTAACATTTCTTTATTTTCCTGAGGTAATACACAGGTTCATAACCAGTTTTTGCAGAGGGGTTCACTTTTCAAAGAATTTCAAGGGAGTCACTTTGGACAATGCTGGCCCATAATCACTTGAAAAGAGCTCAGAATGGTGAAACTGCATAAAACAGGATAAAATTGAAAGAATTTTTGGTCAGAGGGAGGGGGGGTTGCTGGCTGAGGGCCCGATGCATAATACTGTGTAAAGGGTGACGATGACATACATTGTGTACATATACAAGAGCAAAAAATGAATTTATCTAAGACAAGCCAGAAGTCAGGAAGTGGCTCATTAAAACCATGTGTTTTCTTAATCTAAATGACATTCCAAGAGTTTTCATCAGGTTTGTCAGATTGAGTTTCATACTGTCTGATAAAATTTGGAAATCTGTTTTAATGCATGGTGTGATGCCTTTCATCTAGTTTGAACACCGCCCCCCCCCCCCCTCCCCCTACCACAAACACACATAGTCCCAAACCAGTATTGAAATTCATTCCCTTTTCAACTTCCGGTGAGTAAATTGAAATCACCTAAAAATTTTATGTTATGTTATATTGTTCGGTGGTTGGTGTTTGGAGTCTGTAACACATGACAGGTGGTTCATATTTAGAATTGACAAAATTAAATTTTTGCACCAAGTTAAGAAAATACCTTTGGGGGGGGAGTATGAAAAAACCTCATCGGGGGGGGGGGGGCGTACGAATAAACCTCAGTGCAGTATGACAACATAAGATGATAAAATCTGTGACCAATTCATAAACATGCACCTTAAATTTACTACTTGTATTTGTATTTTGAACTGATAATTTGCAATAAAACAAACTAATTAATAAAAAGAAAAAATATATAGACAACAACAAAAAACATTAGACAGAAACAAGAAGTGATGCCACAATGTACATAAATAAATTAGTATAGTATCAAAACTTATATTATCAGTGATCTCCCCAGCATTAAAGCAAAGCAAGTGGACGTAGCACCCACCTGAGATTTTGAAAATAGGCTCACCCATTTGAAACTGAGAAAAATCATGAAAAATTGGCATATTTTGACTAATTTTGGTCTGAATTGTGAAAATGAGAATTTTGCACCCACCTGAGAAAAAATCATGGGGAAGTCACTGATTATTATGAGAATTAACCTATTTTGGTCAACCACTTCCTAGCTATTTGTGGTCAATCTATCAATTATCAAAATTTCAGTACATGTGTACTAAGAAAGCACATAGGAGTAAAATACCAAGCCTGTAGTCAGTTTTTTCAAAAGGGGTGGTCACTTTTAAGAAATTCTAGGGGTTTCACATTTGATCATTTTGGCCTTAAAAATCACTAGGATAAGTGCTTCAAAGTGGAAATTTTTTTTGCAAGGGATGAGTTTCCAGATAAAAAGATGATTCAGTACCTGTTGAAAAAAGTCTTAATGATAGCTTATGAGTTCTCAGGTGTTTGAAAGGAAAGAAGTATACAGATGCCTTCTTCAAGACCTACGCTCACCTTTCTTCCACCAATCATCGAGCTTGAAGAAACACGCGCCAAAATAAATTCTGAATTGTCATTGGTCAGAAGGAGTGACCATATATAGAATGTCGGTAAAATTTGGACGACGAGCACTGATTGGTGCGGTGAGTTCACAGGTTTATTTTAGTTTGAAAGAGTGAAGACGGAGCTCTCTTTTAAGAAGTGAAGTCGAACGAATGCAAAGGGTAGAGAAGGTTTTTAACCGTAACTTGAATGATTTTTGAATTTTGAGATTAGCAAAAATTAGAGGCTGTTGATTCTATTATTGGTCTACTCAGGCCCGTATCCAGGATTTGCCAAGGTGGGATTCCGTTTTCAAAAATGTCCAGGGGAGGTTCACATTTGACAATTTTGGCCCTTATATGGCTAAAATCACTTGAGAAGTGCTCAAAATGATGATTATACAACTAAATGGATCACAATAACATATATAGCAAAACTAATCTTAATGTACTCGCCCTAAATATCTGATTGTAAAATATTATGGACTCTATGACCTTGACAGGTGTATTTAACTCATTGTTTTAATCCTCATACAGATGTTTTTTTCTCAATATATTTTTACTGTCATTTGCATGCAATGACATGACACCCTTGTAAATAACACTACACCATTTGCATGCAATGACATGACACCCTTGTAAATAACACTACACTATTTGCATATACTGGTAGATTGTCATGGGATAATAGAAATATTTGAATTTGGGTGATTGATCATAAACGTTAATGTTGAACATATAAAAAATGCATTTCAATTTCGATGCCGTTTTTTATGCCAAGATGACCCTTGATTGTTTAGAATTGAACTTTTTTCATCGATACAAAGAGAAAATAAATACTTGGTGATTTGCCTGTATGCTGGTAAGTAATTTAAGTGTTTGTCACTTATAACCAAAGCAGGTGGACTGGTATAAATAACTCACATTAAACTCTCATAAGGCCATGCAATGCTTAATCCAGTGTGAAATTCTCATAGGTGTTTGTATCAATCATGTGTTTATTTGGTAAGTAAATTTGGAGGGAACTTACCATCTCTAAACAAAGAATATTTCACTTATCTCTAAAGAACTGGGGAGATTGCATAAATCTCAGATGCATGTGTATGATGCATAAAGAGACAAAGGATTAAAGACTGTAACTAAAATGCACTGCCGATGTGTAACGATTGCAGAGTTTTGACATATCATGTTTACTTTGGCAGGATTATTTGGAATCGAGGGTTGTGACAAAAATAAATGGAAAAAATGAAATAAAACATAAGAACAATTATCTATTTTGGGTTTTAAAGTGAAGCTGAACTTAACATACTAGAAACAGATTTGTTAGCTAATTGCATAAGACACGCTTCTAGAGTAACTACTAAGTACCGTCAAAAATCAAAGTGAACCTCTTCAAAATAGAAACTGGATTATGTAGTTCGAGGAAGTAGGATTGTATATCTAAGAGTCTCAATTAGCGTGCTTTATCATTATGGGACTCATTGAGAATATGATACCAGATCCATATGTGTAGAATCACTCAAAAACATATGAACTTAACCTATATCAAATTCAAAAGGCACAAGAAGGACATGACATTGAATGTGTAAGCCTTGGAATAGTAAGAGGTAACGAGGACATTGCATGGACAGTATTTATTAGGATATTTGTTATTCAAAATGCCTTCTTGTGATTTTGATTTAGAAAACATATCCTTCACAAATGAGGATTTGAATATCTTGGTAGGTTTATAAGGCTTTTTAGTCATTGTTTATTTTAAGAAAGTTTAAATTTCAAGGATAAATGGTCCATGTTAAATATTAGGTCTTGGTAAATTTGAGGGTTGTTCAATTTGTATTAGTACTCTCTTGCTAAATTATTGATCCATTATAAAAACTGGTAGTCCTTGATAAATTCTGATAAGTCTTGAGCTCCATTTTAAATTTTGAGCTCCATGTTTAATCTTGAGCTCCATGTTAAATCTTTAAGTTCCATGTTACATTTTGAGAAACTTCATGTTAAATTTTGAAGCTCCATGTTAAATATTGAAGCCTCATGCTAAATATAAAAACTCCATGATGAATCTTGAAACTCCATTCTTAATATTTGAGCTGCAATGTAAAGTTGGAAGTATTTTTAAGCTTTCATAGTAAATCCCCAAGCTTTGTGTTATAAAAACGTCATGCTAAATATTTCTTATTTTGTGTTTTTCAGGCAGGTATCTTAGACTCAGGAGGGCAACTAACAGAGAATCAACAACCAAGACAAGGTCAAGGTAAGTCACCTCAGGGTTCTCATCAAAAAATGTATAGAAATATCTAAGCACGAGTGCCAAGGTGAAAGGACCAAAAGTTGTAATGGAACTTAGCAAGAAAAAGCAAACTCTAAGTGCATACCAACGAACCCCATATATCCCAAAACCATGATCTAACGTGAAAAGAAACAATGTTTCCCCCACCATTCAAGAACCTTGAGAAAAAATGGCAATTTGCACAACTAGCCCCTCAAAAAATTTTAAGATAGAACCTGGCGTAAGTTATGACAATGACACAGGCTAGAGAATGGTACAGTCAGGTTTGAGCACTAGATGGTACTGCGCCAGGTTCTAAAAGCCTAGAGAAAATCGTGCAACTAATATCCTACTGGAATGATGGCCAAATATTACCTGTGCAAATAAATCAACAATTTTGCGTCTACGCGGTAGCTAGGCGTCGTCGCCAGTCCAAAACAACAACAACAAAACAATGAGTGTTTGTAAAATATAGTCACTTTTATAATTGCGTTACAATTAGGTACTAGGCCAATCTTGGTCGGCGGCGTGCGTTTACGCGGTAGCTAGGCGTCGTCGTCAGTAAAAAAAAAAATTTGTTTGTTGTAAATAGTGATCATTTTCAATTTAACATTTACACAATTTGTATACATGTATCTCCTTTATATAAAGGGCAATAAATATATACATACATACAACAGCCTTAACTTCATTTTGGGGGAGGGAGGGAGTTCAACAAAATCAATATCATTTTTACAACCATTGAATTAATTTTTTTTTTTTTTTTTTTTTTTTTTATTAAGATAATTTATTTCATTACAAGATATAACATTATACATCCCTTCAATCGCCCAATGGCATTATAGAAGGGTACAGTAAGATTATACAAATACAATATGAATAAGGTCAAGGTAATACTGCACCTGAGGTTTACCATGGGGTGGACCTATCTCTGTGGACAAAATTATTTAAAGTACTGTTAAGGAGGGGAAAGAGCTCATAGGTTTGTTTCAATGAATTCTGCAATTAGGGTTTGGAGTTTTGAATTTAAATCAAGAGAAAATTTTTCAGAACCATGTTTCATTAAGTAAAGCAGATCATTCTGAGTTGAGTGTTCGTCTGAAGAACCAGTTGTATCCATAATATCAGTTTTTAATTTGGTTATACTTTCTTTGATGAGAGGACATTGAAAGAAAAAGTGTTTTTCTGTCTGAGGAGCTCCACAATTACAATTTGGATTATCAATATATGTAAAATTATGTGCATAAAGTTGGGCTTTGAAAAGAAGATCGGCTCTAAATCTGTTAATTAGAATTTCATGAGATCTTTTCAGATTGAGTTTGGAAGTGCTAATAAAACTTTCTTGATTTTTAAACAAGATCTTTTGGTGTTTTTTAAAGGATTGAAAAGTTTCCATATTACGTAATCTTTTAGGTAATTGTGACCAGTTTGATATTGCAGATGGTACTGATGAATTTAAAAACCTCTTTGAGCACCTGGTTGGTAAAATAAAGTCAAATCTATCGCGCAAATTTCGTGTTCCAGGATTTTTGAACTTCTCAAAGATTTCATCTAGAAAGGGTGGATTTGGCCCATTAACTACCTTGAACATGAAGTTATTGATTTGCATTCTTCTTGTTTCTAAGGAAGGCCATTGAAGGAGATTTAAAACCTTATCAGTATTACTGCCATGAAGACAACCAGAGCACACAAGAGCAGCCTGATAGTAGATTTTATCAAGTCTATTGAGAAGATTTTTTGACGCATTATTAAAAAGAGCAGTTCCATAGTCAAAATGAGGTCTTATAAAGGAATTAAAAAGCGTTTCAAGATCTCTAGAGTTTAACTTAGTTTTAAGATTTTTCAAGGGATTTATCATTTTTCTAACTTTATTGTATATTTCCTCAATGTGATTTTGATTCGTTAGATTATGATCAAAAGTATATCCAAGGTGTTTATGTACATTTGTTCTTTCAATTTCAGAGTCACTAAGGTAGGATTTGCTTACATTTTGAGGATTAGTTCTAATTCCAGAGAAAATTACTTCACAGCTCTTTTCTGGTTTAAATTGTAGCTTCCACAATTTGGACCAATTTTCTATCTCAGATAGATCAGATTTTACTAATTCATCAATTTCTTGGGGCTTTTTGGGGTCAAAAATAAAGTGAAGTGATGTGTCATCTGCATAGATGTAGCATTTTGAATTTACATTATCTGGGAGATCGTTGATATATAAAATAAATAGAAGTGGACCTAAAATTGATCCCTGTGGCACACCACAGTTTAGGAAGCCTGCTTCAGTTGTAACTGATGACTCACCAGAAATGTTTACAAAAAATCGTCTATTTGTCAGATATGAATTTAATAAGTTTAGAAGTTGGCCATGAATACCATAGGCTCTTAGTTTGTGAAGAAGTAAGTTATGCGGAACACGGTCAAAAGCAGCCGCAATATCAAGAAAAATTGTTTTAGAGGCTTTGCCTTGGTCAAAATTTGTAAGTAAGAAATGTTCAATTGCCATTAGTTGAGAATGGGTGCTATGGCCTGGTAAAAAACCAGACTGATACTTGAACAAAAGATTATTTGAAATTAAGTGTTTTTTAATTCGATCGGCTATAATTTTCTCAAATAGTTTTGATAAAGTATTTAGTAATGTAATTGGTCTGTAATTGCTAATCTTTGATTTATCATGTTTTTTAAAAATAGGACAGACACTGCCAATTTTCCAAGTATCGGGGAAAATATTCTTGGCCATGAGTTTGTTGAAAAGTTCCGAAAGTGGTTTAGAAAGTGAATGTGCAGTCAAATTTAACATTTTATTTGTTATTTCATCTGGACCACAGGCTTTGGAGGGATCAAGAGTCAAAATTAGTTTCATAACTTCAAACTGATCAGTTTTAGCTGAAATCAGCAGTGAGTTTGTTCTCATTCGAAAATGTGGCAAATTTTGATTGTCATTTTCATCTAGATGATTCTTATTTGCAAAAAAAGTCAGAAATGAGTTAGCTTTATCTATGTTTCTAGTGAGGGGTTGATTTGAATTTTCATCTATAATTGATGGGATATCTGATTTTGTATGCTTGTTACCAAGAAAAGATTTGATTATTTTCCAATAATTTTTATCATTTTTGCTCAAAGTTCTCATTGATTCCAGAGTATTTATTTCATTTTGATTCTTAGCTTCTTTTATTAAAATAGATAAGTGTAATGCTTGTTGATCATATTTTATTCTATTATCATCACTTGGATTTTTTATCATTTGGTTGTAGTATTGTTTTTTCTTTTTAATTTCTAACTTAAGTTTGTCGTTAAACCAGGGTTGATCATTTGCCCTAATAATAATTATTTTGTTTGGAATATGAGTTTTGTATATATTTGTTAATTTATGGACAAAATCTTCTGTAATTTTATTCATGTCAATTCCATTATTAATTATTTGATTCCAATTTTCATTTCTTATTGCATTATTTAGGTTTTCAAGATTGGTTTCTTTATATTTCCATACAGTTTTTCTTATTGATTTTTTCTTATGAACTTTAAGATTAATTTGAGTTATAATAGTACTGTGATCAGTTCTTCCAATTGGGTCGGTTATTGTCCAGGATTTAAAAATATCAGGTGATTCTGTAATAATGTGATCAATACATGACTTAGAATGACTTGTAATTCTTGTAGGTTTGTTAATTAATTGTACATAGTTAAAGTCATCAATACATTCTAGAAGTTTCACTCCAGCTAAATTGCTATCATTATTATCATACCAAGTAGAATTTTTTGCATTTAAGTCACCCATGATCATAACATGATCAAAATTTGGAACATTATTATTAATCTTTTGAAGCTGCCGCTTAAACAGAGAAAAGTATTCACGGGTTTCATTAGCATTCATACTTGGAGACCTGTAACAGGCACCAAATAAAATTTTCTTTTGATTTATCATTAATTCAGCAAGTAGACAATCTAAGCCTTTAATGTAAAAATCTGAATCAATTGACTTAAAAGCAATCTGATCATGTATATAAATAAAAAGACCTCTTCCTAACTCGGAGTATAGAGTCCGATAATTTTGTATGTCAAAATTCCCATTAATAATGTCATCTTTTGATGGAGTTCCAGCCTCACAGAGACCGATAACTGAGGGATTTACTTAATTAACTCTAATTTTCAAAGATTCAAATCTTGCCCCACCATCTGCGGTAATACTGTTTATGTTGGAAAAAAGACAAGACATATGTACACTATCTGGTCCTGGGTTAGGATGCACATCTCCAGATAGAACAAGAAAAAGTTGAACAACATTTGGAATGTAAATGAGACTATAAAGTCCAGGTAATAGTATGGTGCTCAGAGCTAGTTTAGTTGTCAAAATAACAGAGTAAGGACTTAGAATGCATTTCACATGACGTTTTATGGTGAGTATAATCACCATTGGAGTCAGTATATATATACTGCAAATAGAAAATAAATATAGAAAGACCAGTATGGACTTACAACAAGACTTAAGAATGCAAAGTTCTAATGTGTTTGATGATAATAGCATTGTAAAACATACCAGAAGCATCATAAATATTGTACCTGAATTATATGGAGCCCTAAATGACAAATCACATTTATTTTTACACAGGTTCTTAAGAGAAACAATTCCTGCATTAAAAAGACCTATAGCAGCCCTCCATTGTAGAATATTATTGCCTATCCTATACCTCTTTTCCACAGTATACCCCCACCCCATGGTCCCCCAGAAGTGCAGTAGTGTTTAACCTCACATGTAAATGAACAGGTTGAAATCATAGAGATAAAAGGCAATACTTCATAGCATTAGATATTCCAGTTAGATTTAAGTTTTTTTTCATAAGAAACCATGGAATATTAAATGAAAAGTAAAATAGATAATAAAGGCTAATTGACAATCACTCGACAAATCACTCAATCAGGTTTCAATATATAGCAAAATAAACTCAGTAATATGTACACTTGTAACATTATTAACACAAAAAAAGAAGTCAGCCACTTGCTTCAAAATTTGCAAGACCCAAGAGTACCATAATGAGTCATGGAAAATATTAGCAAAATAAAAAGAGTATAGGGTAAATGACAATGAGTCTATCACTCAGACATTCACACAATCAAAGTCTGAATTCAATATTTACAGGCATAAATGATAATAAAACAAAAAATAACAAAAAGGAGTTTGACACTCACTTCAGATTTACATGTCCAAAACTGGAAGCACAAGGTTTTGTTTACAAATAGACTGCAATGACTCTTGGGTAATAAATGTACTACTCAGCACAGTTAAATATATGAAAAGTAGTTTTATTGTTTATATTAGGCTTACTAAGCAGCCATAAATAGCCATACACAATCACAAACTGTTATCAAAGTTGTAAGCTGATGAGTGTATAATTCATAATATTAAGAGAAAAGTGAGCTTTTCTCTATTTTGAATTCTGACCAAAGAGCCTAAAAATGCATGAATAATAAACTTATACACTATGCTCTGCTACACCCAGACACCTACAAGTTTACAGAATGCAAAAAATCAAATTCAACGTAAATTGGCTTGTTTGCTAACTTTTTGAAAAAAAAAAAGTCTTATAGGCAACCGACTCATGTTTATCAAATAAACCTGTTTACGGATGAGCATATGTAAGAAAAAACAAAGTAATCGGGCACTCATGAATACAGGGTTCCGGTGTAATAGAGCACAGAGTATAATAAGATAAAAGTCAGAATGGTCATTGAATTAATAAAGTACTGGTATCGGTTTAAGATCATTGATAAAAATGACACCGAGAAATTCCTATGATACCACATAACTAATCAATGACTTGGATATAATTTCAATATAGAATCATGGGTTTAGATAAAGTGTGGTTTTGTTTTGATATTTGGATATATTGACAATCTAACAGTTGTACTTTGAAGGTCAAGTATAAAGTTACTACCGCATGTACACAGTGCTGTCAAAGGGGGTTGGCTCCCAGAATGCTATCTCGATATTTTCCAGCAATGAAAATTTTATCGTCTGACAATAAACAGGCTATAAAATCATAATCAGTAATCCAAGGTTTGAGCTAATATCATGATCACTTTTTGAATGTTTTGAAATTTTTTGTTATGTAATAAGATCAAAACTCATGATTCAAAATCTGAATTGAAAAATGGCGGTTTAATTTTGAATTTCGTAATCTGATGACTAGTGGAGCAACGATTGATTCGTGGACTCGAATAATGCTCACCAAACCCTGTAAATACGATTCATCGATTGGTAAATTCTGACTAGAATTGAAAAAAAAATGAAAAAAATGATGAAGAAAATGTGATTTACCCACCTTTCAACCGCAATTTACGTAAAAAACACATCCAATGTACAACATTTCTGTACAATGTTTAGCAATGATGCCTTCCTTAATACATAGCATTGTAGTATGATACATTAATTTTGGAATAATAAATCAAATACAATAATCTTTCTTGTGTTTGTTTTTATTTATCGATTACATCCGGTTGCGCATGTACAATGCAATCTTTAACTAGGTCAAACTAATTAGCGTAAATTGCTAAATTTTTTACTTTTCAATGCAATACAAGAACATATAAAGTGTATTGAGTTATTCTATTTGAATAATTTGATGAGTATGTTCGAGTTATGCAAGGTAGGCTGAGCCGAGAACTCTTGAAAACATTGCTGCCGGAAATGAAAGTTTGTAACTTTCCAAAGAAAGTTTTTCTGAACTTTTTCCCAAATCATTCATTTTAATCGCGAATAAATCGAGTGTTCAATAGCCTCTACTCGAGTAGGATAATTCACATGAGTCATCCTTCAAGATCAGGCTTATTCAAGAGTTTGTTCAATACCCGGGGCTTAGTATATGTATGAAACAAAAGAATATGGAGATTGCATTCTGGGAGTCAAACCTCTTTGATGCTGTAAATTGTATATCGTAAATTTACAGTTAAACCTGTAAAGTGAAACTTCTATTACTGAAACACTTTCCCGTTATCCATTAACTCAAAAATATGAAAATTATCTTTGAAAGACATTCCACTGGTGTTCTACATGCAACGTCCTGTTGTCAATTTCCTTAATGTTGAAAGTTTTTTGAAAGTAAAGTAAAACCTGTTAAGTTGAACACCTCTGTAGGTGGAATATCTCAGTAAGTTGAACACCTCTTAGGTGGAACATCTCAGTAAGTTGAACACCTTTGTAGGTGGAACATCTCAGTAAGTTGAACACCTCTTTAGGTGGAACATCTCAGTAAGTTGAACACCTCTGTAGGTGGAACATCTCAGTAAGTTGAACACCTCTGTAGGTGGAACATCTCAGTAAGTTGAACACCTCTGTAGGTGGAACATCTCAGTAAGTTGAACACCTCTGTAGGTGGAACATCTCAGTAAGTTGAACACCTCTGTAGGTGGAACATCTCAGTAAGTTGAACACCTCTGTAGGTAGAACATCTCCGTTAGTTGAACACCTCTGTAGGTGGAACATCTCAGTAAGTTGAACACCTCTGTAGGTGGAACATCTCAGTAAGTTGAACACCTCTGTAGGTGGAACATCTCAGTAAGTTGAACACCTCTGTAGGTGGAACATCTCAGTAAGTTGAACACCTCTGTAGGTGGAACATCTCAGTAAGTTGAACACCTCTGTAGGTGGAACATCTCAGTAAGTTGAACACCTCTGTAGGTGGAACATCTCAGTGAAGTTGAACACCTCTGTAGGTGGAACATCTCAGTAAGTTGAACACCTCTGTAGGTGGAACATCTCAGTAAGTCAAACACCTCTGTAGGTGGAACATCTCAGTAAGTTGAACACCTCTGTAGGTGGAACATCTCAGTAAGTTGAACACCTCTGTAGGTGGAACATCTCAGTGAAGTTGAACACCTCTGTAGGTGGAACATCTCAGTAAGTTGAACACCTCTGTAGGTGGAACATATCAGTAAGTTGAACACCTCTGTAGGTGGAACATCTCAGTAAGTTGAACACCTCTGTAGGTGGAACATCTCAGTAAGTTGAACACCTCTGTAGGTGGAACATTTCAGTAAGTTGAACACCTCTGTAGGTGGAACATCTCAGTAAGTTGAACACCTCTGTAGGTGGAACATCTCAGTAAATTGAACACCTCTGTAGGTGGAACATCTCAGTGAAGTTGAACACCTCTGTAGGTGGAACATCTCAGTAAGTTGAACAACTCTGTAGGTGGAACATATCAGTAAGTTGAACACCTCTGTAGGTGGAACATCTCAGTTAGTCGAACACCTCTGTAGGTGGAATATCTCCGTAAGTTGAACACCTCTGTAGGTGGAACATCTCAGTAAGTGGAACACCTCTGTAGGTGGAACATCTCAGTAAATTGAACACCTCTGTAGGTGGAACATCTCAGTAAGTGGAACACCTCTGTAGGTGGAACATCTCAGTAAATTGAACACCTCTGTAGGTGGAACATCTCAGTAAGTGGAACACCTCTGTAGGTGGAACATCTCAGTAAGTGGAACACCTCTGTAGGTGGAACACTTTCAGAGTCCCATGACCAATTGATTTAATGTTAAATGAACCCCTGTATGTAGAAAACCTCTCAAGTGCAACATTTATAGAGGTACCAAGGTGTTCTACTTATACATGTTTCAATGTAGAACACTTATCAGTGATCTCCACAGGATTTTTTTTTCTCAAGTGGGTGCAAAATTCTCATTTTCACAATTCAGACAAAAATTTGTCAAATTATGCCCAATTTGCATGATTTTTCTCATTTTCAAGTCGGTGCAGACAAATTTTCAGGCGGGTGCAAGCCTATTTTCAAAATCTCAGATGGGTGCTGCGCCCACTTGCTTTAATGCTGGGGAGATCACTGCTAATGGTGAAGACTTTTGTAGAGCCTTCATGTCCATTAACTGCATATAAAATTAGCGTTTGTATGTAGAACACCTCCTAGCAGAATGCTGGGTGTATTAAATTAACATAATAGTTTATTTCTGAATTTATTTCATTGAGCACATTGTTTCCTTCTCCAGGTGTGATGATTCCCGTCCAAATTGCATCCCCGGTGAAGTCATCGCCTTTTAAGGAACAAGCACAGATCCTGCCCAAATACGACGGATCTCCTATGGTTAGTATTTCCACACCTAGTACCCTGCACACAGAGTCTAGTTATAAACTACCCTCCGCCTAGTATAGACAATATTACAGTTTAGCAGCCCAACTCTGACGACTGGTGGCTGTGACATCCCTGGTCATGAATCATTTTAAACCTACCACGCTGACCTTTTTTTCAACCTATCAGAGAACTGGAAGGAACGGGTATTAAATGCGAGCTCATTAACTCTACGATGATGTCGGAGAAAATAACCATATATAGAAAGTAGTCTGTTTTCGACGACGAACTCTGACTGGTATGGTGAGATCAGAGATTTATTATAAACTGAAAGAGTGAAGACAAAGCTCTCTACAAGAAGTGAAGTCGAATTAATGCAAAGGGTACCCACCTTGTGACATGATTGGTTTATCTTTAGTGAAGAAAATCTCAGTCTTGTTTACATTTTTTTATGTCAGGACCACAAGTCATGACATATTGTTAAAGTCTCCAACTTTTTTTGTAGATGGTGTGCGGTGTAACAAATGACAGGTGGTGACATTTTGCTTTTAAATGGCTTGTATAGATATCGGTTCAATGTATCACATTCACTTCTTCAATCGCCCAATGGCACATAGTCTCGTTACAAGTCTTGGGACCCATCCCCGTTCCCGGGGAGGTGTATAGTCAGGTTGATATTTTTGGCCGTCCTAGAATAAAAATATCTGAAAATCAAAAATGATCATAAATTCTTGTACCCAATGTCCAAACTAGATGGATCAAGAATTTATACTGGAAACTGAATGGTTTAATATTTTTTTATGTAGATACTTGGCACCCCTCAGAGAGCAGGAGGTGGACTGAACCAACATGTTGTAAGCAGTCCTCGTACCCCTCAGTATATCCAAGTAGAATCTCCCGGAGGGTGGCCAGGACAGCGGAAAAGAACATCAGAGTTCCTAGATGCCGATTTCTTCGCAGAATTGTAAGTAGTCTCTCTAATATGCCACACATTCCATATTTTCTTGTCTCTAATTGCCGCACATTCCATATTTTTTCGTCTTATTGCCACACATTTCATTCCTTCCTAGGCCCATATGATAACTTTAACACGTTTAAAAAATGGACCTTTCCAGGAAAGATCAAATTTTAAAAATATTTTGATAAAGTTATTGGATGTCAAGTGTTAGTTGAAGAACCTGGGTGTCTTATATAAAATCTGAAATACTTACCAGATAACAAGTAGCTGAAATGGTGAAAAAGTGTTGACTGATAGCCAAGGTTTACAGTCAATCTTTAGATGATTTTAAACAAATTTCGATAAAATTATTCTGCTACTGGGAATAAGTTAAGCAGTGTTATCAAAATAAAAACCATTTTCTTATAATTTGAACCTAATCACTTTGTTTGGTATTTTTGAATTCATTAACAACAGCATGCCAGGAAATGATATCTAAATTCATATCATAAGAACTTTTACTGTATCATTTGCTCTGGGAATAATAAGGAAACATTAGTTTGACTTTTACTACGTTTACTACACCTACTACGTGTGTTACGCTTGTTTTTAGCTCACATGGTGAGCTTTTGCAATCACTCACTTGTCCGTCTGTCTGTCCGTCCGTCCGTCCATCTGTCTGTCCGTCCGTCCGTCTGTCCGTCAACAATAGTGGCACATTTTAAAACCTCTGTCGATAGGATTCCTGTTTTAAGTTATTTCTGTTCAACATCAATACAGAAAACCCCCCTATGACTCCTGGTTCAAAAGCTCGCCTATTTTCAAAATGGCCGTCACTTTTGTCTCGCGAAATTCACTTTTAGCCCATTTCCTAGCTAACCTCTGTCGATAGGATTCCTGTTTTAAGTTATTTCTGTTCAACATCAATACAGAAAACCCCCCTATGACTCCTGGTTCAAAAGCTCACCTATTCTCAAAATGGCCGTCACTTTTGTCTCGCGAAATTCACTTTTGGCCCATTTCCTAGCTTTACAAATAATTTCAGGTGTCCTACATTGTAAAAATCCATGTCAATGTAAAGATTAGATATATGTAATAATTTTGTTACAAAAAATCAGCGAAAAATTGTATCCATTTTTTTATTTTCAGCCATTTTAGTTAACATTGATTTGTCTATCTGACTCGCGAAATCCACTTTCTGTGGCACGTTTTAAAACCTCTGTCGATAAGATTCCTGTTTTAAGTTATTTCTGTTCAACATCAATTCAGAAAACTCCCCTATGACTCCTGGTTCAAAAGCTCGCCTATTTTCAAAATGGCCGCCATTTTTGTCTCGCGAAATTCACTTTTGACCCATTTCCTAGCTTTACAAATAATTTCAAGTGTCCTACATTGTAAAAATCCATGTCAATGTAAAGAGTAGATGTATGAAATAATTTTGTTACGAAAAATCAGCGAAAAATTTTATCCATTTATTTATTTTCAGCCATTTTAGTTAACATTGATTTGTCCATCTGTCTCGCAAAATCCACTTTTGGACCATTTACCTTAAACCCTCTGTCGATAGGATTCTCATTTTAAGTTAATTTTATTCAACATCAATACAAAAAACTCTCCTATGACTCTTGGTTCAAAAGCTCGCCTATTTTCAAAATGGTTGCCATTCTTGTTTCGCGAAATTCACTTTTTACCCATTTCCTAGCTTTACAAATAATTTCAGCTGTCCTGCATTGTAAAAAGCCATGTCACTGTAAAAGGTAGTTGTATGAAATAATTTTGTTACAAAAAATCGGCAAAATATTATATCAGTTTTTTTATTTTCAGCCATTTTAGTTAACATTGATTTGTCCATCTGTCTTGCGAAATCCTCTTTTGGACCATTTGCTTAAAACCTCTGTCGATATGATTCCAGTTTCAAGTTATTTTTGTTCAACATCAATACAAAAAACTCCCCTATGACTCCTGGTTCAAAAGCTTGCCTGATTTCAAAATGGTCGCCATTTTTGTCTCGCGAAATTCAATTTTGGCCCATTTCCTAGCTTTACAAATAATTTCAGGTGTCTTGCATTGCAAAAACCCATGCCACTGTAAAGAGAAGTTGTATGAAATAATTTTGTTACAAATTATTGGCAAAAAATTATATCCGTTTTTTTTTTCAGCCATTTTAATTGACTGAGAGACAGATGGCTTGAAATAATTTTGTAACAAAAAATCAGCAAAAAATGTGACCATGTGAGCCCAGTACCCACGGTACTTATTTTTTAAACTTTGGCATTGATCTTGACCAAAGTGATTAAGTTATCTCAATTATATTCAGTCCAACTACTTTTCTGCTTACACCTAGGGGATGTCATCAACTACTTTGGGTGATGTGGTCGATGCCAGTTGTTTAACCAGAAATTTCAACATTTTCACACAATTTATTTTTTAATTGAAAAGCTTCTTATTCGCAGAGAAAATGAACCAGCAGATGCAATGACTGTTAATTTTGCTTCCACACGAAATTCCTCGGAAGTCTATTATGATCCAATACAAAGTTACTAAAAAAGGTGCGAACATCCTAAGCTCCTATATAATCATTTTTCTATTATAACTAAATCTATTTTAACGAAGGTTTCCAATTGTTATCCCGGATAATCTAAATATAAGCCAATATATACAGATGTAAATATTGTTTTGGGATGATTTTTGTGAGAAAATAGAAAGAGGTCATTTGGACACCTTGATATCTTTTACTAAAGTGAAATAAATACCGGTAATTGGCAATAGGAAAGCAATAACGAGTATTTCCATGCCTTTGATACTCGTTCTCTCATTGGTCAATTAGATACCATGTGACTAAAACTATATAGACGTATTCCATGTCTCCCTGCTTAGAAATGTGTGAAGAGTGTATGCCCCGGCAGTGACGTCATTTTTAGTGAATACCACTATATATTCAATTAAAATGACTTCACATCAATAATCAAATTTGGACATAAAAAGACCCAATCACTTTCCATCCGTTTTTTCAATCGTCATTCCAGGTGGGTTGACATGAGGTATCTGATCATGTGGTACACATTTTATTTATTGATCTGTTATAGACTGACAGTTAACAGAATAGGGAGTATATTAACCCTTTCCCGACGTGAATATAAGAGGAAAATGTTGGCCCTGGTGACGGATAAGTAAGAGCGGTTTTTAGGGGAAAACTGCAAATAACCTACACCCCGTGACCTATACCTTGGATTTTATCACTGAAATACAATTTTTAGTAAGGATTATCAGATTAGAACAACTTGTCAAAATTTGGTGTAAAAATACTGAATAGAACTGGAGATATTGTCATTTCTTTGAGGTATATAAATAAAAATAATGGTGCCAAAAGGAGCCTATCGTCCTGAAAGGTATTACATAATAGGGCTCCATATGGAGCCTATCGTTGTGAAAGGGTTAATAATTTAAATATTTATATTAAAAAATGTTATTTGGACATAAATACAATAAACAGAAATACCAAAATAGAAACAGATATGCAATGATTTGAAAATAATGAGTGTTTTTGGTTTAGTTGAATTAAATAATTTCATGAAGCTAGGAAATTCTGTCTCAATTTATATTTTTTGAACTCTTTCCATAGTTTTTGCTCTTGAGTACAAATGAGGCAACATTAAGGATATAAGTTGAAAGTAATTCTTGAAGTTTCAAGGAATTTTGGAAACTTTGGTCCTTTTTGTGACCAAAGTGTGTAATTAAGTGCTGATATTAAACAAATACTGGATGACCATGAGGTGGATATGCCAGAATACCTATCCGAGGAAAAAATACTAGGCGAGGCGAAGCCGAGCCTAGTATTTCTTTTCGCGCAAATCAAATATGTAAGGTACATATATGATTGTAGCTACCATGTCAGGAGAGAAATAGTCTGGCAAGGAATGTTTAAGTATTCCCTCCATATATAATAAGTTTGGCCGATGCCTTATCTAGCGCCACCTACCTTTTGTGAGTTAATCACAGGAAATTGAATAGAAATCCCCTTCTCTCATATCACGCAAATCATTTCTCCCTCGCATTCGTCTCAAATTCAACATGGAAGAGATATAGTCTGGCAAGGAATGTTTAAGTATGTTTAAGTATTCCCTCCATGTATAATAAGTTTGGCCGATGCCTTATCTAGCGCCACCTACCTTTTGTGAGTTAATCACAGGAAATTGAATAGAAATCCCCTTCTCTCATATCATGCAAATCATTTCTCCCTCGCATTCGTCTCAAATTCAACATGGAAGAGATTCTAAGAAAATGATGTCATCGACAAATGGACTCGTCGAAAGTATTTTTTCGAGGATAGGTATTCTGGCATACGGGATGGTTGGAGATCTCGTTGCTTCAATACTGGATAGGACGAGATCTTGCTGCCACGTATGGCAATATACCCTACAGCTCTTTAACCAATCAGATTTGAGTATTTTCATGAGGTGCATAATAATTTGCGATAGTGGTTGATGGTAGGGCATTCAACATTTATAACATACGGCAGGTGGTGACATTTTACAATGTTATTTTTAATGTTAATGTACAATCCTACTACATTGAATAATTTGCCTCATATCAAGATTGAATTATCTCCAATTTACTCCAATCTGATTGGGTGCTTGGGTTCAATATCTTTGACAATGATTGTATGCTTACCAAGAGACAGTGGAAAATTCGATACTCAGTAAACATGGTATAAATTACTCATAAATTCAGATGATAAACTCGAAAAAGATGTATTTTAACATGATTAGGACTATAATTGATAATTTTCAAAGAAAGGAAGCATACAAATACGAATTGTTTTAAACTATTGATATGGTCATAAAATTTGAGTCTGCAATATACAATGATGGTGTGGGGCAAGTGATGGCGCATTTGCCTTTTACAGCATCAATACACGCTTTGAGAGGTTGGAGGTTCAATTCCCGGTTGTGGCAATCTTTTTATCGCACCCTCGGGTGCTATATTGTAATCAGTTTGCCGGTTAGGCAGGCGGGCGTCCCAAATAATCTTGTCTACAGGTTTCCAGCCAAACCGTTTGACGGATTCATTTGAAATTCTCAGGGATGTTTCTACCTATGAAAGTTTAGAACTGATTAGTTTTTCGGCATTCTGGGTAAATGTTAAGGTGGCCATTTTGGATTTTCCGTCCTAAAATCTTGTCTGTCAAGGCTTGTCTACAGGTTTCCAGCCAAACAGTTTGAGGGATTCATTTGAAATTCTCAGGGATGTTTCTACCTATAAAAATTTTGAACTGATTAGTTTTTCGGCATTCTTGGTAAATGTTAAGGCGGCCATTTTGGATTTTTGTCCTAAAATCATGTCTGGGAAGGCTTGTTTTAGAAAATAAAAAAAATTTTCCCATTGAGAGCAATGTTAAATTAAAACTTTTTTTTAGAAATAACTAAACGGTCAATCCAATTTTCACATATTTTGTAATACATCAGTATATCTTTTACCGAAAAGTGTATTCTGTTCAAAGGTGCGATTCTGTTCACCGTGTGGCTTATTTATTTTTGTTTTTAACCAAACCACACATATTTCTTGATCCTCTTTGCTTGCAATATTTATTTTCAAGGATTTTAAAGTATAAAGGAAAAAAAGATCTAGGAGCATACTTATATCTAGGGGACTGGATATCTTTAAATATATTGAATTATTATGGTTTCTTTCAGGAACACATAACCCATTACATATTTAGTCTACATCTTTCAGTTGTGCACAAAAAGTGCAATAAAGTACCTACTTGTTCAGTATTAGTTGTGGGTAAATATTTTTCTCAAATATTTGAAACTAGAAAATTCAATGACCTACTTTTTAAAAGTAAAATTGATAATATTCTAATCACATATAGGGGTTTCACTAAATTTCTCACAACGGGCTAAATAAATGAAAACAACGGGCAAAATTAATGGAAATCATAAATTTAACATGGAAAAGTTGAAAATTCCTTAAAATCAACAGGCGATTTTGTGAAAACAACTGGTGAAAATCGCCTGTTGCCTGCTGCTAATGAAACCCCTGATACAGTAAGACCTGTATATTCAAACACCTTTTTAAAAGTAACATTGATAATATATTCTAATCACATGGTATGTCTTTTGTATATTGCAGAAAAAAGGGCAAGAAAGGAGAAAAGGGTGGCAAAGGCCTTCGTCATTTCTCGATGAAAGTGTGCGAAAAGGTCCAAAAGAAAGGTGTGACGTCATATAATGAAGTTGCAGATGAACTCGTACATGAATTCTCAGACCCAAGGAATATATCGCCAACTGACCAGGTGGGTTAAATTTTTTTAGCAATTTGGCATTATTTTTGAAATTGGCAATTTAGCATTATTTTAGTAATTTAGCATTATATTAGCAAACAGGATTGGTCATTCTTGAGACTAGTTATCCTATTTTATTATGTGGACTTTGCTTTTTAAAAATGATAGTTCACTTTTTATCAAATAAATAGATGATATGAATTTAAGATTTCTACACATTTTTAGAGTAAACCTAACATTTTGCTATATACATTTCGTTTGTAAAAATGGCAGCCATAGCTGTTTGATGGGATTTGCTACGCTTTGGCGTTTCTGTTGTCTAGTTCTCTATTGGATACAAACGGAGAAGTTTTTATGTTTTTTTTTTCATTATTTATTTAGTATTCATACAGTACATATATACAATAAAATATTTTCTGAGATATAGCAGTGCAGTATCCTTGCATCCATCGTTCCATCATAATGATAAGCAGTCCTTTTTTCATTCAATTGCTTTGTCTCCCTCAAACTCTATACAGATCTCGTACCAGGTACGCACTTTCTTGGGGGTACATCTGTTATGTATTCCTCTATCTGATCCCTCGAGTGCCCATAGTAGTCCTTTTTCTGGAGCCGCAACTTTCAATTTTGAACTAGCACTTGGATGTATGAGATTCATATTCATGTCATTTGTTGGATACATAGGTGGAGGGCATTTTTGGAGGTCTTTATCTGGAAGCAGAATATACAGTTTTTGTTTAATTTGTGGAATATTATAATGAAAGGTCTTAAAAGTGCTTTTCAACTTCTTGTAGTTCATTTAAGCTGCAAATTCATTAAAAGCATTATTTACTTTTATAACATACCTATGATGATGTACAGTGCAAAGTGTACACAAGACGGCGGGCCAATATAAGTTTTGAAAAGCCCGCGCCCGCTAACTTTCTGATTGGTCAAGGCGCTGACGTCATAACCAATCAATCGAAGATAAAACTGCGCGAGCAATTTTTCTAAACTCATTTCAATCATTTTCAAACCATTTGTTTGTCAATTCTTTAAGAAAATGGTACTCTCTGACCAGTCTACATCATTATAGGTATGTTATAAATCGTTTATGTCACTATCGTTGCACATATGCCCTCGGTTCTCAGAGATCAATGTCCCTCCCAAGGTCGGGCCATATATCACTGAGACCTCGGGCATATATGCCACGATAGTGACATAACCTCTAATTATTAAATGGAAAGATTTTTAACTGTTAATTTTTTCACCTTTCATTGTGTCTGCATAATATAATTATGTAATAAAATCTTACCATTCACATTCTTGTCTCTTTTGCTTGTGACCAGCACACCCTTGGCTATAGTTGCCAGTATCAATATGCCGATTTCAATCATGTTTTGAAGATTCAAAAGCAATATAAAGTTTATCCAGTAGTAGAACAAGATCAAACTTTCAATGTTTACATTAGCAACCAAAAGTATTGTGATGCCATAAACTGTCCCTGTGACATCATAATTACTGTTTGTGATGTCACAATTACCAATTGAATTTTCTTACTTTTGAATTATTGTGATGTAATTGTTGTTTTAGTTACATTGTTTATGGCCATGTTTTTGGTTACAGTTTCTAGGTAAACAAAAAAGCACTGTGACATCAAAGAAATATTCTGTTGTGCTTGTCGGAAATATGTTCCCAAAGCAACATAGTTGTATTTGTATTATATTCGACAATCAAAATTGATAATTGCAAAATTTCCCATAATGCTTTCTGATATCCGATAGGTGATTGGTCAGCCCTTAACCATACTGGTAACCATAACAACACACATTTTTTTCTCAGTAGTATTGAGGTTGTGTGATGAAATAGACATCCATCTGTCCATCTGTTGTCTGTTCATCTGTCTGTCAGTTATCATTGATGTCATATGTGTAATGTATTTTCTTTTCTTTTTATTAGGTCATATCTTCATTCATATAATTCATATAAGTCAAGGCATATGGATTGAATAAATAATCTTTTTTAAAAATATCATATGAATTTCTACACGTTGTTAACTTAACATAAAATTTTCTCCTCTGGATACATGTAATTTTTTATTTGATCTCATTATTTTTTATGAACATAGTATTAAATAGTATATATAATTATAAAGTCCTTTCTCTCAGATGTAACAATATATTACCATCCTTTCTTTCTGATGTAACAGTATGTTACCATCCTTTTTATGTCCATGATATTAAATAACTGTCCTTTTTTCATTCAATTGCATTGTCTCCCTCAAACTCTATACAGATCTCGTACCAGGTACATACTTTCTTGGGGGTACATCTATTATGTATTCCTCTATCTTGTCCCTCAAGTGTCCATAGTAGTCCCTTTTCTGGAGCAGCAACTTTCAATTTTGAGCTGGCACTTTGATGTAGGATGAGATTCATGTTCGTGTCATTTGTTGGATACATAGGTGGATGGCATTTTTGGAGGTCTTTATCTGGAAAAGCAAAATATACAATTTTTGTACTTCTTTGGAATATTATTTATTTAAAATCTCATTGATTTGTTTTCCAATCAGTGTGATTTATTTGAGCTAGAAATCTCAAATTCAACCCTTTCAAATGATTTGATGTTCTCTGTTGCAAAGGCATTCTTTATTTAATGAAACAATTTTTTGTTGATATGACCCCCCTGTCATATTTGCCTGTATAATTGAAAGAATGTTATAAAATCTTACCATTCACATTCTTGTCTCTTTTGCTTGTGACCAGCACTCCCTTGGCTATAGTCGCCAATATCAATATGCCGATTTCAATCATGTTTGAAGATTCAAAAGCAATATCAAGTAAGTTCTTCTAGTATCAAGATCAAACTTTCAATGTTTACATTAGCAGCCAAAGTATTGTGATACCATAGACTGTACAGCTGACATCATAAGGACTGTTTGTGGTGTCACAAATACCAATTGAATTTTCTTACTGTTGATTCATTGTGATGTCATTATTTATGGTCATTATTTTGGTTACAGTTTCTAGGTAAATAATAAAGCATTATGACATCACAGAAGTACTTTGTATTGTTTGTGAGAAATGTGTCCCCATAGCAACAAAGCTGTATTTGTATTCAGTATGACCAATCAAGATTGGCAAGTCCTTTCTTTATTGATATTTTATTCTATATTGATGTTCTGGCACCCAATTGGTCATTGACTAGTCTTAACAATTTTAAAAAAAGCATGACCTTTAACCTTAATGACATTTTGATGTTTTTCCAGGCATATGACCAGAAGAATATTAGGAGGAGAGTATACGATGCTCTAAATGTTCTTATGGCCATGAACATAATCTCTAAAGAAAAAAAGGAAATTAGGTGGATAGGTACGTAGGATTATAATCATTAAATCAATTTACAACTAATTAAAACTTTTCTTATAATGATATCTAGAAAATGACCAATCAAAATTGATAATGTATTTTTTTTTATATTTCATCATTTATTTATATTACATAATTGATAATGTATTTATTTGTTTCTAGGTCTGCCTACAAACTCAGCTCAGGAGTGTCAAAACCTAGAGTTAGAGAAACAACGGCGGATTGATCGTATTAACCACAAAACTCAACAATTACAGGAATTAATATTACAAGTAAGTGATAACAATGATTCCTTGAATTAAACTAAAATAAAGAAAATAAAAAAGTTCTAAATCTGAAAGGGAGGGGTGAATATTTTAGCACAAAAATAATGAATTATTTAGAGCATGGAGCAATTTAGATTAAGTAGTTATAAATTGCTTGTTGTAACTTCTGTTGTGTTCGATTTCAGCAAATAGCATTCAAGAACCTCACAGAGATTGACCAAAAGTCCAATCATAATGCGACTTATTGTTGTGTTCGATTTCAGCAAATAGCATTCAAGAACCTCACAGAGATTGACCAAAAGCCCAATCATAATGCGACTTATTGTTGTGTTCGATTTCAGTAATTAGCATTTAAGAACCTCACAGAGATTGACCAAAAGCCCAATCATAATGCGACTTATTGTTGTGTTCGATTAAAGCCAATAGCATTTAAAAACCTCATGAGTAATGACAAATTATAATGCCACTATTGTGTTCTATTTCAGCAAATAGCATTTAAGAACCTTGTGGAGCGCAATAAAGCTCTAGAACGGACCCAAGGTCCACCAACCCCCAACTCAGCCATCCAACTCCCATTTATCATTGTGTCTTCTATTTCAGCAAATAGCATTTAAGAACCTTGTGGAGCGCAATAAAGCTCTAGAACGGACCCAAGGTCCACCAACCCCCAACTCAGCCATCCAACTCCCATTTATCATTGTGTCTTCTATTTCAGCAAATAGCATTTAAGAACCTAGTAGAGCGCAATAAAGCTCTAGAACGGACCCAAGGTCCACCAACCCCCAACTCAGCCATCCAACTACCATTTATCATTGTGTCTTCTATTTCAGCAAATAGCATTTAAGAACCTAGTAGAGCGCAATAAAGCTCTAGAACGGACCCAAGGTCCACCAACCCCCAACTCAGCCATCCAACTACCATTTATCATTGTCAACACCAGCAAGAAAACAGTTATTGACTGCAGTATATCAAATGACAAGTAAGTGATAAGAATTTCTCCGTTTTTTCTGGTTTCTCTGGGTAAATGAACACACTTTGGAGTAATAATTGCTTTGATTTTAGAATATCTATAATTTCATTTTCTTAAAATATGAAAAAGTTGGGCGGTTTATTTGTTTTATTCAATTTTGACATTCTCTTGTTTCAGATATAATTCATTCAAATTTGACATTCCTGTTTCAAATATGATTATTCATTCAAATTTGTTTTTTCAGATATGATTATTCATTCAAATTTGACATTCTTCTTTTAGATATGAATATTCATTCAAATTTGACATTGTTTTCTCAGATATGAATATTCATTCAAATTTGACATTGTTTTCTCAGATATGAATATTCATTCAAATTTGACATTGTTTGCTCAGATATGATTATTCATTCAAATTTGACATTGTTTTTTCAGATATGATTATTCATTCAAATTTGCCATTCTTCTTTTAGATATGAATAATCATTCAAATTTGACATTGTTTTCTCAGATATGAATATTCATTCAAATTTGCGATTCTTTTTTCAGATATGAATATTCATTCAAAGGATGAGTCTGGGAATGAATCTGGGTATCGACTTAGAAAATATTGAAAATTGTAATGTCTGAAAAACCAACTCAATTACACATATTATTAAACTTCAATATCTTATCCTTCTTCTGAGATTACAAAAATATTAATTTGTATCACAATTGATGAAGAATATTGGCATCAAAGACAGTGCATATCACTTTGTCAGAATTGAAAAAAAATCAAAGGCAAATATTAAATGAATTAATTATGCAAAAAGTTTGAAACTTATCTTCCAAAACATTGGTTACTTTCTTTGTATAGACATTGAATGGTATTTCTGGATAAGTGAATTGGTGTTTATCTGGGTAATCAAGGGATTATAGTCACTCAAAGTTACTGAGCATTTCAGTTTTGAGACTTCAATTGTGTTGGTGAAGTTACACATATTCCAGTCAAATTCATGCTGAGCACAACATTCCGGTTTCAATTTTATAATCTCTATACGTGACCCTGGTGATGAAGAGTCAGAATCAGTCAAAAAACCTAAACCGGAAAACTGTGCTCATTGTGAAAACTAAAAGTGAAGCAACTTTTTTCCTGATATTTCTCATATCAAATGGCAACCATCTTGTTTTTCCCCCTTCAAATTAAACTGGCGGGAAATTCAAAAATTTGAAAAAATGTTAATCCTTAAATATATTTTTCAAAAATATGATTTTCTCTTTAATTCTTCATGGGTCTTAAGTTATTTCTTCTTTGTATGTCATACATGTTGCCATTGGTGTTTTTTTCTATGATAATGACTATTTTTTTGTTTGTTAAGATACTTATTCTGACTCTCAGTAGGGGGTTAATTATGCATCAAAACTTGTGAAAAAGTAAATATACTTATCAAATATAACTAGGTCAGTAATAAAAACCATATTTCACATTCATTTGACTGAGGGACCAAAAGGGCATATACCCAGACACATCCTTTGACATTCTTCTTTTAGATATGAATATTCATTCAAATTTGACATTGTTTTCTCAGATATGAATATTCATTCAAATTTGACATTGTTTTCTCAGATATGAATATTCATTCAAATTTGACATTCTTTTTTTCAGATATGAATATTCATTCAAATTTGACATTGTTTGCTCAGATATGAATATTCATTCAAATTTGACATTCTTTTTTTCAGATATGAATATTCATTCAAATTTGACATTGTTTTCTCAGATATGAATATTCATTCAAATTTGACATTCTTTTTTTCAGATATGAATATTCATTCAAATTTGACATTGTTTTCTCAGATATGAATATTCATTCAAATTTGACATTCTTTTTTTCAGATATGAATATTCATTCAAATTTGACATTGTTTGCTCAGATATGAATATTCATTTAAATTTGACATTGTTTTTCAGATATGAATATTCATTCAAATTTGCCATTCTTTTTTCAGATATGAATATTTATTCAACTTTGACAATACCTTTGAGATCCATGATGATATAGAGGTTCTCAAGCGTATGGGAATGGCCTTCCAGCTAGAGAAAGGCCAGTCCACCGATCATGATTTAAAAAAAGCCATCAAGATGGTACCCAAGTCACTGGAGCCTTACGTATATGGTACGTTAACATTTTTACATTGCTGAAATGAGTTCAGCACAATAGAAAATAAGAAATCATAAAATGTTGCACAAAAAAACTTGAAATCATAAGAAATCTTAAAATGTTGCACAAAAAATCTTGAAATCACAAGAAATCATAAATGTTGCACAAAAAATGACAGAATCCCAATGTTGCTCAAAAAGTTAGAAATTTCTAAAATGCACTAAAAAATAACAAAATTCTCAACACGAAAAATTCCTCTGAGAGCACTGATCCTGTATATCCCACCAACACCCTATGCAGACAGAGCCTGTGGGAAATATTGGATGCGGCGCAAATGAGCGGAGGGTGCGGAGCTAACGGTCATTTTTGAATTTAGAATTGGGGTATTTCTGAAACTAAGCCGTTTTGGGACTTCAAATATACCAAGATATGTGTATTTGACACCAAATATCAATAAAATTGTGAAAATAGTAGTGCAATTCATTTTATAGCGACGCAGTATGCCTTAAACATTTCCCAGACCTATATATTTTGAGACTATCCTTTTAATACTGTGTCCCCAGCATTCATAAAAAATGGTGTTCAAGATACACTACCCATGCAAATTATTATGGCTTCCAAGATGCAAAAATAATTTGTATAGATAGTGTACCTTGAACACCATTTTTTATGAATGCTGGGGACTCAGTATTAAAAGGATAATTTCAAAATATATAGGTCTGGGAAAGGTTTAAGGCACACTGCGTCGCTATAGAATGAATTGCGCTACTATTTTCACAATTGTATTGATATTTGGTGTCAAATACACATATCTTGGTATATTTGAAGTCCCAAAACGGCTTAGTTCCAGAAATATCCCAAATTTAAATTCAAAAATGACCGTTAGCTCCGCACCCTCCGCTCATTTGCTCCCCACCCAATATTTCCCACAGGCTCTGTCTGCATAGGGTGACCAAGCTATCTATAAATCTTTTTAACGTGTGTTTCCAGCAATGGCAAATGTAGCGCCAGGTAGCAGTTCTAGTTCTTCAGTAGCTGGGCCTAGTGGTATCCACACCTTAAACCCAACTATATCTATAGGGCAAACACAAAGGTAAAATGATCACACTACTTAGCACTTATGACCCATTCAAAGGTTTGCGTTAGGCCACCCAGGTGGGAAAAAAGGGGGGATTTTTTGGCAAAACAAAAATTTGGTTGTCAAATAGGACATCAGATTTATCTTATTGTGAAAATGATGAAGTAAAATAGGAAATCCTAATTATTCAAGCAATTGTTAATGTTTAAGTTATTTTAATGGCCAACAAACACAGAGACAAGTTGACAGCAACTTAGTATTTCTTTCTTTACTTTTTTTGTGGATATTGCTCGACAGTTGGTATTCAGCAGTGAATGTCTGTTAAAAATGGCAGGTGGTGGGTGACATTATGAACGTAAATGCCTTGTATTTATTTTTATATTTGTGAAATAAGAGTTAAAACATTTGTTCTATTTTATTGATTGTATAATGTGTTGATTGTACATTACATTTTTGTTAATTGTACATTTTAGTTTGACATCAATGGGAGGATCGCTCTCTTCAACTCAGGATTCTACTGATGCCGAAGTTGCATTGACGGTTGCTGGATCACATGATATGTCACATGACCTCACAATGGCAGACATGATGTCTGTGTCACGTCAATCTAGCGTCGGCTCATTTTCCCGATCAGAAACTCCACTTGATAATTATAGTGATGACGATTCGGAGCGATCATCCCCCGTGGAGATTAACTGATTCTGATTGGTTAAAAATAGCAGATTCCGATTGGTTCTCCTGAGCTGGTATATCAGGTTCATAAATTCGCAGATTAAAATCTGAATTTAGACTTGTCGTATGTTATGGAAGGTATACTACTACTGTATATATATTTTTGAGAGAAGCGCTAGAATATTTCCAGCCGAAAGTGAGTGAATTGTGGAGTAGATTTTATGCAAGATTGAAGCGGGACACAAATGTTGCATGCTTGGTGATGAAGTAAATTGACATTCAGGAAATGGTGTCATGTTACATTGATGTCATGTCACTTTGATGTCATGCTACAATTTCACTATCATGTGAAGTTGAATAATTCCAACTACTGAATCTTCAGAATCATGATCAGGTGTGGAGCACCCCTTTATTTACCAGTTAGACTCTTCCACTTTGCATAGAAGAGGCAGGGGAGATTTAATTGAAGGTTTGTCAGCAGTTGTGTCACAGTTTTTGAGGAATTATGATAAATCAGGGAGAGTTCATTTTTAAAAATGAATATGAATATTTGCATGGATTACTATATCAAATAACCAAATATTTCAACAACAAAAATTGTTAATCAGCATTTTGCAAAAACAAAAGTCTAAATTAGAGAATATTGTAAAGTTCTTAAAACAGGAAAAGATGCAACATTATTATGACATATCACTGCATTGAAACAATTCCATGCTTTTGGGTAAGTTGAAACATATTAGCTTGTCCTGAGTCCTCACTGGATCTAATAACATTGAAGTCAATGGGACTGAAAATGTGTTTACATTGAGGTGTTTACATTCTAAAGGTGTTCATATGTTAAAGTTTTACTCAACTATGGATAACTAATTTTGTTGAATTAATTGAAAGAACATGGTGTTGTTTTAAAGTTGTTGACTCAATGGTGCATTGGACCGTAACACTGTTATTTTGGTACTTTTTTAATTTGGTAAATCTCATTTAAAAGCACTTGTCTGGTTTTTGATCATTGTAATTGTTGCTAAGGTGACCAATGTAATTAGTTACACCTTAGAAGTCCCAATTTTAACAAAAAATTAGTTTCGCTACATTAAAATATGTGTCAAAATGACCCTGTTTACAGTCTTTAACAATGATAAAATGGGAACATGTCAAAAGAGTTCAAATGAGTAGAGTAAGCCAAAAGAGTTCAAATGAATGGAAGATATTACTAGATGCTCAGTGTTATGAAGTAACAACTATCTGATCTCCATGTGTGTATCTGGAAAGGAATATTTAGTATTTTGGAATTTAAAATGTATTTTTTTCTAGCTTTAATTTTTCTTGTGTATATTACATGTGTACATGTACTTTAAGTGCTGCAGTTTCTCAACTGTATATTTTTCACAGATCTTTTTGAACGAGGTCACAAGAATTGTAAATTTGAGCAGGTTGAGATTTTAGTTTTGAGAAAATGATAATGCACGCATAGAAAAATGAAAAGTGTTCAAAAAGTAAGTGGAAATACAAAATTTTAAAATTGCACTCTTTCTTTAAAACTTTTTGAACACTATAATTAGTTGTGAAAATTTTTGGAAGAAGTCAGTTTTAATGATTTCTTATCACAAAATGATACACAGATTGAGATATGAAAATATTTATAGAGATAGAGCTGTAGATAGACATGTTACCATGGGAACATTGCACAATATTATGTTGCCTTTGCTTTAAAATCTGAATTTCAATTCTGTTCAGATTCATGAACCTTTTGTAAGGGCACCCCAGACTAAATACAACCATTGATCAAAATAAGTATAGACTTATTTTTGGTCAGGAATAAGTACGTATTGATGGGATTTAATATCTGCCATTATTTTTTTCTAATCAGATTGTCCTTATCGAGATTTCATGTTCAGGGTCCAGGGATATTGAAGCCTTTCATTTTCAGTAGGCAGTTAGTTAGATGATGAATCATGCCGTTAATTGAAAAAAATTTCATGAGCAAAACAGAATTCTAGAAACGGCTCTTTGGTATTTTAACACCTTAGATGTATACCAAATTATGAAGTTTTGATTTTAATGGTCCATTATTTTCATGAATAGTGTGAAGTCTTGTGAATTGAAAAAAATTATGTACAGTAAAACCTGTGTACAGTGAACACCAACGTTTCAGGTGTTCACTCCAGAGGCAATTTCATAAAGAAGTCAGTGGACTATGTGCTGAGAAAGGGTGTTCACTAGACGAGGGTGTTCACTACAGAGAGGTGTTCACTAAGACAGGTTTATGAGTAAATGCAGTAATTCCAATAAATGGAGAAACTGTTCAGAAATAGTATTTTTGTGTGTGAATATTAGATAGAGATACAATACGCATTATATGTTTTGCCATATCTCCATGGTTACGTGCATTCAGTGCTTTCCTGCCTACCCCTGCCAATAAAAAATTCATTTATTCCAGGGAATTTACTCTCATTGGGATATAATGTCATTCAATTGAAATTAAAGAGTAATGACTAAAAATTTTTATACATTCATTTCTTAACAACAAAGTTCAAGCCTGACTTTCAATAGCAACCACTTTTCAATCTTGTCAATGGTTGAAAATTGATTGATTATTTGGCAGTACATTGAATGCCAATGTTCTACACTGTGGCAAGGAAACCTTTGCTTAATAGCGTTAAGTGTATCAAAGTTACTAAACTACCCAACTTTCGAGAGAGGCGCGATTGCACTGAATGAGTTCCCCAGAGATTGATGCATTGTATTTTCTCAATACGGGTCAAGTTATGAAATTGAATTTTGGGTAATGGTGTACATTCTCCTTTGATAGTATTGCAAATGTCAGTAGCTTTAATTTGCTGGTATTGGTATGTAGAGCTTTTGATATCTTAATGGTTTTTGGGACACTCAATAGATGGCGCAGAGTTCATTGGGTTGAATTGTATATATTAACAACATATTAGAAATTCGTAACCTCAGATATCATGAAGAGAAATTTCACTGATGATACTTAAGGCTGTTGGTATTGAATCTTCAATATGTTTGAAATCTTAATAGAAAAAATATACACACATAGACCAATAGGACAAATTGAAGGACAGCCCATTTGTGTGGGATTTTGTGAACTGCTATCTATATGTGCCCATCAGACCCATTCTACAAATTTACCATGTGACTATGTCAACTTAAGATTAACTCTAGTTCTAATCTCGATTTTTCATCAAATGTTAAAGAAACATGAAATTAAATTCATCTCAGTCTGGTGTTGTAGGTATCTTTTTTAGGTTGAGTTATTTCCTCGTTTAGATTCATTTTTTGAAAAAAAAAGATTTCAATTCACCCGATGTTTACTTATGCTTTATTTCTCAAAAATGTTGTTTTTAAGCAATAAAAATGAAGCATCTCAAAGTTTGACAACATACAGAGGGACCTGGTTATAGAATGATAAAATCCGGCTCATTTATGGTGAGCATGGACTATACATAGAACCTATTTTATTATGTAGATTGTAGGCATGTGTAAATATTTGTACTTCTATAATCTCTGAATGTGAACAAGATTAATAAATTGAGTAATTTAGACTATAAATATAAAGTCTGTTTATTCTTGTATCCATAGCAACTAACTTATGTAGACCATGCATTGAATGAGTGAACCTGAACATAGGACCCCTGGATGCCCGATTGAGTTTATGAACATTTCATGTCAAAAGGCCTACAAAAAGTGGAGCCTCATACTTAAAATGGAAATGTCCTGCGTAATTGAGGAGTTCCCATATTACCTATGAAATCTCGCTAATTCTCATTTTTCATGAGATTTTAAGAGATTTGCACTTTTAACCTCTAACAAGTTGCTTTTCTTAACGCATATTTGAATTCAGTGAAGTTTTCCATAATAATAACATTGATTTATACAGTTATGTCATTTAAATCATTTTCCATAACATTTTAAAAAACTTAGCCTAATCTCCATTGATGCAAAGCTAAGATTCTTTAAAATCTTGGTTTATTCATTTGACAACGAAAACTTTCATCTTTATTCCCATAGTATGCCATTTGAGTTTCCAACAGATTCAACCAGCTCTTTTTCATAAATAATTAAATAAGTTGACCATTGCAAGTTTATAACATGGGAGGCTATGGCAGTCTGGCCCAAGCAAAACAAAGAATGACAAGGATGACATCTATTATGTCAGCTATTCTATTAAAATAGTTCTGTAAAACACTCCCTTGTGTCAAACTTTCCATCAAGTCAAAACTTTTCCTTGTGTCAAACTTTTCCATGTGTCAAACTTTTCCTTGTGTCAAACTTTTCCATGTGTCAAACTTCCACATATGTCATGCCGAATACCAGGTACTTCAATTAATAAATAGTCAGTCAATAAAAATGACCGCACAGTTTTCCTTAATACTATGATAAACACAATATTCAGTGATACAAATAATAATAAAAATAAAATTAATTAAAAAGATCAAAATCAATTTCACGAAACTCATCTTTTTGAGTTATAAGAACAAAACAATATTAACATTTTCAATCCATTTTATTGAGTATTCACAATCATTTATGTATTTATAATATACAGGGTGTCACAACTGACAGCACATGAGGACACCCTGTATGACCAGAGTATATCAAACATCCCTTTTATATACATCCCCATTTTCTACTTATTTGGTGCTGCTCAATTTGGCATTATTTCAAAATTTTCAATGAAATAATATGGCATATCTAAAGTAGGCGAAACCAAAGGACAAAAATATGTGCTAAAATAAGAAATCTGGTTGGACGACTAGGGAATCGTCAAAAGTAAATCATTATTCTCTGAAGTTAATGAACTTTAGTAATTTAAGAAATATATATTTACAAGGATGTGTCTGTGCCATGTCATTTGTCAAATTATAGCAGCTTCCAAATTAAGTAGAATGTACAGGGTGGGCCAAAAAATTTTGCAACCTTTTTAGAAGGCAAAAAAGTATCATAACATGTGTAGTCAGAATTAGCTTAAGTATTTGAATGGTAAAATATGCCTATCCTTAAGTTTCTGTCAAAAAAATTTCATGTCAATACCATAATGTTATGATACTTTTTTTGCCTTCTAAAAAGGTTGCAAAATTTTTTGGCCCACCCTGTATATGTTATTTTACTAAATATTACAGACATACTTGTGTGTTACTGTTAACTTTGACCGTGGTGTAAGACAAAGTTTATGCATCTCAAGTTTATAATCCAAAATAAGTAAAATATTTTATGTGCGCCCTATTCTAAATTCTGTTTACTACAATGGTTAATTTTGACTTTCACTGATTTTAACGTAACCACTTACACTTGACTTAGTAGCATCATTTTTGAACTGGCATTCCAGGGTTTTCGCTAGAATTTCTCACAATAATCAAAATAAATAAAACAATGGAAATTATAAATTTAACATGGAAAAGTCAAAAAGTCCCAAAAAAAATGGGCGATTTTGTGAAAACAACTGGTGAAAATCGCCTGGGGCGGTAAATTCGTGCGATCCACGATCCGATCTGGATAAATTTTGTCATGGTAATGATGCATTGTGGGATTAATCCAAGAATTTATCAAAATATCGGTGAATTCGTACGATCCTGGGATTAATCTCAGGATAAATCTCAATCCATCTCTTGAGGTGGATTATTTTTTGGATATATTTAATCTGAATTCCAATGCAAATTGGATAAATCTTGGGGATTCCCCCTCATAATCCTCGGATCGTACAAATTCACCAAATATTTATCGGATTAGTAATCCAAGATTTATCCCAAAAGATAAAATTTATCTGGATTGGATTGGGGATCGTACGAATTCACAGCCCCTGCTGCCAATGAAACCCCTGCATTCAACAATTCAGAGTCAGCAAATGGCTCCTGTAACAACTGGTTAACCTAGTTATTACAGTAGGTGGTTACATTTTATCATATTCTTAAATGTTACATCTTCTCTTATTCATGTTCACGAGAAGTAGTCATTTACTTTTTTTATTACTTATCAGTACCTTGTATTAAGTTGTTACAGACAATAATTTTTGCAGCATGAAACCAGTAGAAAATTATAACTATTGACCTCTCCAGAGGATTACAGTCAAATTTATACCCCAACACTAGAGACACAGAAGTAGAGGGTCTCAGTGGAGGAAAACAGTTCTGACTATCAACCAAATGGAGTCTATAATTGCTTTGTTAGTCTGACGAAACTAAAGAGAAAGGTGTCTAATATAACAAATAAAAATGTTCACTGCTCTCTGACCAATCAAAGTGGAGTAATCAGGTTAAGTTAAGTTAAAGAAAATATTTCACACTTTTCTAATGTAAGGATTTTGGAGAATTATTCGAATTCACTACATACAAATAAACAGCATCTAGTCAAACCATCATCATAATTCACAAAATGCTCTGAATACAAGGAGTCCTTCTGAGGTAGATTCAATTGTTAAGTCTACGCTCTCATTGGCTGATATAAATATGACAGACCCCTTAGAAACATTCAAAGGCTGTCCATTGAGAGTCCTGTTCTGTCCTGTGGCCTTTCCTTCTACAACCAGGACTAGACTTGCACTGTCTATTGCTGCCATTGTGTATTGTTTCGTACCACTCGGAACCTAAAAATGAATATATTCAATAAATCATATATTTTTATACAGTTTTGAATCATACAAGATTTGAATCATGCATTATTTAAGAAATATAGACCTCAGAGCAGGTGTAATATTAACGAATACAACCCGCAGGACTAGGCACAAATGTTTTCTGTAAAAGTGTTTGTGCCTAGCCCTAAGGGTGTATTTGTCGATATTACACCTGCTCTGAGGTCTATATTATGATTCAAACAATTCAAAACGTCCATCTGAGCTACTCACCCTAACTCTTGCAACTGCGAAATCAGGCACAGGTGGGTTGTATATCGTAACACATGGATCTTCCTTATCTACTTGTGGTTGAAACATGTTTTCACTGGATGTCTTTGACTCATACTTTAGCATACTGCACAGGTTGGGTACGTCTTTGAATTTGGGGGTCAGGCCTGCCCGAACCACATTATCTGAACACGCCATAGTCTCGATACAATCTGAAAATATAAACAATATCTGACTAGAAATTTTAGATTTCATATCTTTTTCTTTTAAAAATTAATAGTGCAGGAATGACGCTAAAAATTTGTATACCCTTCGATGTGCTGATTACATGTCCATATATGGTCTCAAATTCACTCAATTCATGGTTCATGTACTTACTAGTCTAAAATTTCATAACAAACCAACTGCCAATTGTTTTTTTTCGAAAAACGTGCTAAAAACCGACTCAAGGAGACTCTATCTATGGCCCGCACTTATGCCACATACTGTTCTGACCCCTTAAAACACCCCATAGGCCACCCCCTAGGATAACCACTTGATTGTACTTACTCCCAGAGAGGTAAGCGTGCGGCAAGTTTGCCTCGAGGAACATGGCCTCTCCGGGTTGAAGTCGCATATGGTTCAAGAAGAATACGCAGAATATACCGACATCCCCCGGAAACTGTTGATTCAATCGTAGAAGCAGCTCTTTCTCTAGTTTGCCATCTAGGTCATCTACAACACAAAGAACTTTGGAACTGACAACAATGTTACATTACATCACCATGGAAACACAGGGAAGCTCCTAACTGACACAATTTTACATTACCATGGAAACACAGAGAAGTTCATAACTGACAATAATAAGTTCACAGTTCACTAAATGTATTGTATATTTATTGCCTCATTTAAATGAGAGATTCGATCATGACTGTACAGGCCCGTAAGACACTTTTCTCCAAGGGGGGTGCGGTTTTTACTAAAGAGAATATAAAATTGTCAATTTTTTGCCGCGTAAATCAAATCGCCTAAGTCAGAGGGGGGGGGGTCGGTTACTCCCTATATCGGTTTGGCATTAACAAATGCAACTTCAAAACGTTCCAATCGTTTTGTGGGGGATGTGAGGAGTTGTCCACTCCCCCTAGAAAATTTTACAGTTTTAAGATGCTATTTGGTGCATTCTGGGCACTTTCAAAGTGTATGAGTCTATAAGAAAAATGTGAATATTTTTCAAATTCTTTTGGGGGTGGCATAAAAGATGAGAGGGTGAAGTGGGGCGGGGTGCCAGAGGGGGAGCAAGGGGTTGTCCCCCAGAAACATTGACCATATCAAGGTGGGGGATGTGAGGGGTGGCTAACTCTTCTAGAAAATTTTACAATTTAAAGATGATATTTGGTGCTTCTAGGCACTTTTAAAGTGTATTAGTCAATAAAAACATTGAAAAACAAAACAATCATAATTTTTTTCAAATTTTGGGGGTGTCAAAGGGGAGGGGAGGGAAGGGTGCCAGAGGGGGAGGTGGGGTTGGGGTGCCAGAGGGGGAGCAAGTGTTTGTCCACCGTATCTGTCCCCCAGAAACATTTACAACATCAAGGTGCTAGTCGATGAAGTCTGGGCACTTTAAAAGTGTCTGTGGCCTATTTCCCAAGAAAATTTTACAATTTTAAGATGCTATTTGGTGCTTTCTGGGCACTTTCAAAGTGTATGAGTCAATAAAAAATTTGAAAAATCTTAATTTCTTTTTCAATTTTTTTTGTGGGGGGGGGGGGTGTCAAGGGGGATGCCAGAGGGGGAGGTGGAGTGGGGATGCCAGAGGGCGAGTAAGTGTTAGTCTCCCAGAATCATTAACTATATCAAGGAGCTATTTGATGATGTCTGGGCAATTTTAAAGTGTCTGAGACAATACATAAAAAAAGGCGCTAGTCGATGAAGTCTGGGCACTTTAAAAGTGTGTGTGGCCTATTTCCCAAGAAAATTTTACAATTTTAAGATGCTATTTGGTGCTTTCTGGGCACTTTCAAAGTGTATGAGTCAATAAAAAATTTGAAAAATCTTAATTTCTTTTTCAATTTTTTTTTTGGGGGGGGGGTGTCAAGGGGGATGCCAGAGGGGGAGGTGGAGTGGGGATGCCAGAGGGCGAGTAAGTGTTAGTCTCCCAGAATCATTAACTATATCAAGGAGCTATTTGATGATGTCTGGGCAATTTAAAAGTGTCTGAGACAATACATAAAACAAATTCAGAACTTTTCCATTGTTTTGTTTGGGGTGTGAGTGGTGGCCCACTCCCCCTAGAAAATTTTACAATTTTACGACGATATTTGGTGCTCTCTGGGCACTTTCGAAGTGTATGAGTCAATTAAAGAATTTGAGAAAATCACAACTTTTATCAAATTAATTTTTTTTTTGGGGGGGGTCAGAGGGGGAGTTGGTGTGGGGATGCAAGTGCAAGATGCAAGAGGGAGAGCAAGTATTAGTCCCCCAGAAACACTAACTGTATCAAGGAGCTATTTGATGGTGTCTATGCACTTTAAAAGTGTCTGAGACAAAACACTAAAATAAATTTAGAACTTTTCCATTGTTTTGTGGGGGGGGGTGAGGGGTGGCCAATACCCGTAGAAAATTTTACAATTTTAAGATGCTATTTGGTGCTTTCTGGGTACTTTCAAAGTGTATGAGTCAATGAAAAAAAATTACAAAAAAATTTTTTCAAAAAAAATTTCTTTTTCAAAAAATTTTTTTTCAAATTTTTTTGGGGGGTGACAAAGGGGGGTGCGGTCGCACCCATCGCACCCCCCCCCCCATCTGACGGCCCTGCTGTATTCATGCCTTCTTCTGACGTCTATAAACTGTGAAGAAAGTCAATATTTCACCCGGTATGTATTCGTAGACACTTCACCTGGTAATACTTGTAATGTGTGATGTCATAACGGCCGGCTGTAGAAATGGCAGGCGATAATGGATATTCTAAAGATTTTGGTGCGTTTTCATGTTCGAATCGTAATATAGACCTCACAGCAGGTGTTATATCGACAAATACATACCTTAGGGCTAGGCACAAAAGCTTTTGAACCCCTCACTCTCTTCGGTCATTCAAGGTACAGAAAAGGTTTGTGCCTAGCGGTGCAGTATGTATTCGTCGATATAACACCTGCTCTTCGGACTATATTTCTTAAATACGTTTTAATATAATTTACGTAAAAGATATATAAATGGATAAGATTAAATTATGTGATAAAAAGTTCTTATTTTGGAAAGTATCTGGCACTCTCTCACAGATTGTCATTATCTGACACTATCAATTACTCAGATGCGAGTAGGTAGTTACCAGTTCCGTAAAGGAAAATGTTATCTGCCCAACACAAGAAAATATATTTCACTTTTTGTGATTTTACAACATGGGGTCTATGGGGAATCTCCCCGACCTAGAAGTCACATTTTCAAAGAAAATTAAATTTTCAAAGTTGATAAAATTAGGATCAAAGAAAAACAAAAATAACCAATCACATTACTGTATTTCTTAGATTACCTATAGATAGGAAAGATCACAAAAAATATTCTCCTCTTGATCTTAATCTTATAAGCTGATTACCCCCAGGGGGTGACTCATGTAAACATAAGCCGGGATCAAAGAAAAACAATAACAACCAATCAGATTGCAGTATTTGTTAAATCCAACTGATAAAAAACATTACCTTCTGAGGGGCAAAGATCACAGAAGATAATCTCTCTTGATCTTAATCTTTTTAAGCTGATTATCCGCAGGGGGTGACTCAGAGAGAGATCAGTTAAGATCAAGAGGATCAAGGGAAAACAAAATCAACCAATCAGAATGTAGGATTAATACATAGATGTATATAAGGCAGAGTATTTTTGTAGAACATCAGACTTATGTCAATGATCTATACAGTGAATACAGCAGTAATATACAACATTAATTTTGAAGAATGGCCTACAAGTACGAAACTCCAGCAAGACGTGCTCTGTTTGACACAGCCTGCAATGGGAACACTCCAGTCTCTAAGAGAATTCCACACACATTTGAGTCACCATTCTCAATCCGTAGCCTGCTGAACCTAGGCGATGAGACAGCATCACAATCTACGCAAGCAGCTGAAGAAGCTTCCAGTGGCAACATCATGTCAAGCCTGGCGTCCGTTCCTGCCTTCGCTGAGCTAACAAAGACTCTTACTACAGATATCAACACTCAAGCCATGCCGTCACAGCTGATCCAGACTGTATCACCTCAGCTGATTCCAGTGCCAAACTGTATCTCTGCTCTGGAGGAGCGTATCTACTCACTCAAGGATCAGATGCATGATCAAACAAAGCTGCTCGAACTAGAGACCTTCTTCCATGAACAGGCCCACCAGGTGGAGTGTGAGCGTTACACACATCTCTCCAACTGTCTACCAATGCATCAACACGCCATCAACATCCAGTGTGACCATCAACTTCGACTCCTTATTGGTCGAGTAGAACGCAGCATCAGACTCCTGGAGACATCTATCATCACAAGGGACAACATTAGCGACAACCTTGCTGTCTTTGAAACTAGGAACTCCTTGGAAAATTGTGACTTGCCTCCACAGCCAATCATGACGTCAACTCCTAAGAAGAACACAGAGAAAACCAGGAAACCCCGTAGCCGTGCAGTATACAGTCGTCAAGCCAAAGATCTGCTAGAGACGTGGTATGCTGTCAACTCACACAGCCCCTACCCCAGCAGTGATGTCATCACCTCTCTCGCCAACCAGACTGAGCTCACAACATCACAGGTTCGCAAGTGGTTCTCCAACAAACGACTCCGAGGTGGACGTGTCAACAAGAATCTGGTGCGCCATCTATATCAGCACAATGAACTCTTACCTATCAGCTCTGTGCAATCTTGGATGTAAAATCCTCTAATGGACTCTGCTAATTATATTACCAAATTGTATATATCATGACTGTATATATTGTTAATAATGTACATTGTAAATATTAAATGATATATTTTTATAAAATAAATATTGTAAAATGAATTAAAATTTTCTGTTGTGTATTTGACCTGTTTTGACATCGCAATTTAACACATGGTTTATCCGTGTGATCCTAAACATCCTATAGCCCAATGACACTAAATGTCCCATTTTTATTGCCCACCCTGTATATATTCTGATACGAATAAATACAATACTCCTCGCTTCCTTCTTCAGAAATGTAATCAAACTACACCTTAACCTCCCCTCTCCATTAAAAACTAAAATCCCTAATTCAACTCTAGAAAATTCTCATCCGAGGTTTAAAGTTGATATCATTCCCAGGGAGCGTATCAGTATATTAATATACAATATCAGCTGAAAGCGATTACATTTTGAGTTCACCCCTCATCCATCAAAAAAACCGAAGGTGATGATAAATAGTTGAGAATAGTTGATAAATAGTTGAAAGTTACCTGGTTGGGAGATTTTGATTAATGTTTTGTTGGACAAACTCTGATTGGTTCGGCGAGATCAAAAATTTATTGTAAACTGAAGGAGTGAAGACGAAGCTCTCTTTAAGAAGTGAAGCCGAATGAATGCAAAGGGTACCCACCAGTGTGATGTGAAAGAAATGATATCTAATTTTCAGAAAATAATTCCAACAGTTTGATTTTTTTAGAGTCAGATTGGTACTTTTTGTGTTTTTATAACATGGGGTCTATGTGGAATCTCCACACACTAGAAGTTACATTTTCCAAAAAAATAAAATTTTCAAAGTTGATAATTATATTGATTATCATTAGGATGAAAAATGTGTTAGCATAGGGGAAATGGTCCTAATTATCGCACGGTCCTAATTACCGCACGGTTGCCCTAAATAGCTAAAATATGCACTGTATATCTTTTAAACCAGTGTTCATAACACCAGCTCAACACCATTACTCCAAATCTTCATGATTTATTAATATATTTAGAAATATCTCTCCATTTTTTCAAAATTATTTACTTCCGCTATTGTCATAAATCCGATTGCGCAAGAAGTGAAATTCGTCTGACAAAGTTTGACCCCCTCCAAATAAAGACAGAAAAGTAAGTGAATTATGTAGATTTTGTTGATAGTTTACACTAAAACTGATAGAAAAATGATTGTAGCATATGTATACATCTATTATTAACAGTGAAATGTATCCAGTATCATGAAATAAACTCAAAACACAACTGTGCGATAATTAGGACCAACACACATGCGAGTCTAAGGGGTCTTAAAGTGTAAGCGTTCGGAGATTGAGAAATGTCAAACACAATTTAAATTATAGAAGGAAGGTTCATCTTTCGTTTCATACCCTCAAAAAAAGTTGAAGTTATCATTTTTGAAACAGTCAGTAGCTTTCCAGAGAACCCGTGCGATGATAGGACCATTTCCCCTACATCATAGCATTTTTATTGATATTTAACAGCATTAACAGAAATTGTTCACATTGCTGAATTGTTATCAAAGGAAAACAATAACAACCAATCACATGACTGCATTTTTTAGATCTTATAGATTATTCTCCTCTTGATCTTAATCTTATAAGCTGATTATACCCCCAGGGGGTGACTCATGTAGAGATAAGCTGGGATCAAAGAAAAACAATACAAACCAATCAGATTGCAGCATTTGTTAAATCCAACTGATAAAAAACATTACCTTCTTAGGGAAAAAGATCACAGAAGATAATCTCTCTTGATCTTAATCTTTTTAAGCTGATTATCCCCAGGGGGTGACTCAGAGAGAGATCAGTTAAGATCAAGAGGATCAAGGGAAAACAAAATCAACCAATCAGAATGTAGGATTAATGCATAGATAAGGCAGAGTATTTTTGTAGAACATCAGACTTATGTCAATGATCTATACAGTGAATACAGCAGTATACAACATTAATTTTGGAGAATGGCCTACAAGTACGAAACTCCAGCAAGACGTGCTCTGTTTGACACAGCCTGCAATGGGAACACTCCAGTCTCCAAGAGGATTCCACACACATTTGAGTCACCATTCTCAATCCGTAGCCTACTGAACCTAGGGGATGAGGCACGATCACAATCTACACAACCAGCTGAAGAAGCTTCCAGTGGCAACATCATGTCAAGCCTGGCCTCCGTTCCTGCCTTCGCTGAGCTTACCAAGACTCTTACTACAGATATCAACACTCAAGCCATGCCGTCACAGCTGATCCAGACTGTATCACCTCAGCTGATTCCGGTGCCAGCCTGTATCTCTGCTCTGGAGGAGCGTATCTACTCACTCAAGCATCAGATGCATGATCCAACAAAGCTGCTGGAACTAGAGACCTTCTATCGTGAACAGGCCCACCAGGTGGAGTGTGAGCGTTACACACATCTCTCCAACTGTCTACCAATGCATCAACACGCCATCAACATCCAGTGTGACCATCAACTTCGACTCCTTATTGGTCGAGTAGAACGCAGCATCAGACTCCTCGAGACATCTATCATCACAAGAGACAACATCAGCGACAATCTTGCTGTCTTTGAGTCGAGGAACTCCTTGGAAAATTGTGACTTGCCTCCACAGCCAATCATGACGTCAACTCCCAAGAAGAACACAGAGAATCCCAGGCAACCCCGCAGCCGTGCAGTGTACAGTCGTCAAGCCAAAGATCTGTTAGAGACGTGGTATGCTGTCAACTCACACAGCCCCTACCCCAGCAGTGATGTCATCACCTCTCTCGCCAACCAGACTGAGCTCACTACATCACAGGTTCGCAAGTGGTTCTCCAACAAACGACTCAGAGGTGGACGTGTCAACAAGAACCTGGTGCGCCATCTATATCAGCACAATGAACTCTTACCTATCAGCTCTGTGCAATCTTGGATGTAAAATCCTCTAATGAACTCTGCTAATTATATTGCCAAATTGTACATATATTATTGTACATAGAATTCTGTAAATATTATTGTTTATAATGTACATTGTAAATATTAAATGATATATGTTAAAAAATAAATGTTATAAAATCAATTACAATCTGTTCTGTTGTTTAGCCAGTTTGTCGCTATTTGATTTGTTACGTGTAGCCTTGTCATCTCTATATAAAGGGGCAGCAAACATCTGTTTTTGTGAAATCACAATCAAAACTATATTTTGGTTTATAACACGTGATTTATCTGTATGATCCTAAATATCTTTAAGAATGATACAAAGTGTCCCATTTCTATTGCCCACCCTGAATATATTCTGATGTTGTTTTTTTTTGTTTTTTTTTATTAATATATTCTGATGGTATTAAATTCAATTGGGGGGAATAATCCCAGTGTTCAAAGAAGACATACGTCTAACATGTAAATCTGAATTGCGAAGACATATCATCCTGATTGGTCAAATCGACAGACAAACAATGACAGTTTCAAAATTTTCGAAAACATATTTCTAATAATATTATGTTAATTTCTTCAGAGAGTCCCCCTCTGTTTGGTCCTGATTTATTTTTTGTTGAAGGATGATCAAAATGAAACGGATTCTAAGGATAATTTGGTAAATTATGACTTAACAATGCTATTTTAAAATTATCTCTACATGTATATAATATGGGCAATAGATAATATAGCTTATGACCTTGTGATCTGATTAGCTGTGAGTATTCACTTTGATCTTACCCCCCCCCCCCCTTCTAGATCTGTATGATCAAGAAAATGCAGTCATCTGATTGGTTGTTATTGTTTTTCTTTGATCCCAACTTATCTCTACAGGAGTCACCCCCTGGGGGTAATCAGCTTATAAGATTAAGATCAAGAGGAGAATATTTTCTGTGATCTTTCCTATCTATAGGTAATCTAAGAAATACAGTAATCTGATTGGTTGTTATTATTTTTCTTTGATCCCAACTCATCTCCACACAAGTCACCCCCTGGGGGTAATCAGCTTATTAGATAAAGATCAAGAGGAGAATATTTTCAGTGATCTTTATGTTAGTGATCTTTGCTTTCATGTTTTTAATCTGTAAGATCTAACAAATGCTGCAATCTGATTGGTTGTTATTGTTTTTCTTTGATCCCAACTGATCTCTACATGAGTCACCCCCTGGGTATAATCAGCTTATAAGATTAAGGGAATACTTCATGGTGATCTCTAAATGACCCCCTAGGGATAATCAGCTTAAAGGATTAAGATCAAGGGAGATTATTTTCTGTGATATTTCCTCTAAATTTAAGTTTCCTACAATTTCACAATTCATAAATCATATTAAATATTGAAAATTATAAAAAGAATCATTAAGTCACAAGGCATTAACATGCAACATGTCACCACCTGCCACACCTTCCAAACAAATTTAATACTTTAACAAAATGTCACCACTTGGGGTGGTGACATAAAAAAATTGAAAAAGACCCCCACCAATATCCAGTGATCTGTAACAAATTCCATGCAAGAAAATGTGAAAAAAGATATCTACTTTTCAAAAAATAATCCCAACATTTTGAAAAAAAAGTGTTGATATAATTTTGAGAGAGTCAGATTGGTATTTTCATGATACTGGAACATGTTGTTTAACCTCTTGACTACCTGGAGTGACGAGATACAGTCTGGATCAGCTGTGACGGCATGGCTTGAGTGTTGATATCTGTAGTAAGAGTCTTGGTTAGCTCAGCGAAGGCAGGAACGGAGGCCAGGCTTGACATGATGTTGCCTTGAGACCCAGAGTGATAAAAAAAACGTTAGAAAATTTTTCACTAAAATTGCTCTTATTTGAACAATTTTCATCCAATTTACACAAAAATTGTTTCAAAATGTGTAAAAATGATCTTTGCCGTCTACTTTTACTAAGTTGAGCATCTAATGTTGTATAGGTATGTAATAATGTGTCAAAAGGTGACAAAAAAGAAAAGATCTCTGGTTTCAACCGATTTTAGAGACTGGGATTGGAAAGGTTGAATAATTAGCATTCCTTTAGAATGGAATAGTAAGGAATGAAATATTGATATAAAATGCATACTCGAAACACAAACAAACTATAAAACAATATTGTTATATTTCTTTAATTATCAACTTTATTATATATTTCATATAACATAAATTATATTACAATTTACATAATTTTATATACAATTATAATACACATATATACAATTTGGCAATATAATTGGCAGGATACATTGAGAGTCCATTAGAGGATTTTACATCCAAGATTGCACAGAGCTGATAGGTAAGAGTTCATTGTGCTGATATAGATGGCGCACCAGGTTCTTGTTGACACGTCCACCTCGGAGTCGTTTGTTGGAGAACCACTTGCGAACCTGTGATGTTGTGAGCTCAGTCTGGTTGGCGAGAGAGGTGATGACATCACTGCTGGGGTAGGGGCTGTGTGAGTTGACAGCATACCACGTCTCTAGCAGATCTTTGGCTTGACGACTATATACTGCACGGCTACGGGGTTTCCTGGTTTTCTCTGTGTTCTTCTTAGGAGTTGACGTCATGATTGGCTGTGGAGGCAAGTCACAATTTTCCAAGGAGTTTCTTGTTTCAAAGACAGCCAGGTTGTCGCTAATGTTGTCCATTGTGATAATAGATGTCTCCAGGAGTCTAATGCTGCGTTCTACTCGACCAATCAGAAGTCTGAGCTGATGGTCACACTGGATGTTGATGGCGTGTTGATGCATTGGTAGACAGTTGGAGAGATGTGTGTAACGCTCACACTCCACCTGGTGGGCCTGTTCACGATAGAAGGTCTCTAGTTCGAGCAGCTTGGTTGGATCATTCATCTGGTGCTTGAGGGTGTAGATACGCTCCTCCAGAGCAGAGATACAGACTGGCACCGGAATCAGCTGAGGTGATACAGTCTGGATCAGCTGTGACGGCATGGCTTGAGTGTTGATATCTGTAGTAAGAGTCTTGGTTAGCTCAGCGAAGGCAGGAACGGAGGCCAGGCTTGACATGATGTTGCCACTGGAAGCTTCTTCAGCTGGCTGTGTAGATTGTGATGGTGCCTCATCCCCTAGGTTCAGCAGGCTACGGATTGAGAATGGTGACTCAAATGTGTGTGGAATCCTCTTGGAGACTGGAGTGTTCCCATTGCAGGCTGTGTCAAACAGAGCACGTCTTGCTGGAGTTTCATACTTGTAGGCCATTTTTCAGATTCAATGTTGTATAATACTGCTGTATTCGCTGTATAGATCAATGACATAAGTCTGATGTTCTACAAAAATACTCTGCCTTATATACATCAATGTATTAATCCTACATTCTGATTGGTTGATTTTGTTTTCCCTTAATCCTCTTGATCTTAACTGATCTCTCTCTGAGTCACCCCATGGGGATAATCAGCTTAAAGGATTAAGATCAAGGGGATCATCTTCTGTGATCTATTCTCTCAAAAGGTAATGTTTTTTTATCAGTTGGATTAAACAAATGCTGCAATCTGATTGGTTGTTATTGTTTTTCTTTGATCCCAGCTTATCTCTACATGAGTCACCCCCTGGGGGTAATCAGCTTATAAGATTAAGATCAAGAGGAGAATATTTTCTGTGATCTTTCCTATCTATAGGTAATATAAGATCTATGAAATACAGTAATGTGATTGGTTGTTGTTGTTTTTCTTTGATCCCAACTTATCTCTACATGAGTCACCCCCTGGGGGTAATCAGCTCATAAGATTAAGATCAAGAGGAGAATATTTTCTGTGATCTTTCCTATCTATAGGTAATATAAGATCTATGAAATACAGTAATGTGATTGGTTCAGGTTGTTGTTGTTTTTCTTTGATCCCAACTCATCTCTACATGAGTCACCTCCTGGGGGTAATCAGCTTAAATGATCAATACCAAAGGAAGATTATCTTCTCTGATCTTTTCTCTCAAAAGGTAATGTTTTTTGTCAATAGATTTTAACAAATGCTACAATCTTTTTGTTTTTCTTTGATCCTTGCTCATATCATAATAAGTCACACCCCCTCCCCTCCCCGCTGATAATACTTTTGTAAGATTAAGATCAAAAGGGTATCATTTCTTGAGATCTAAGCTCTAAGCATCACCTGGCAAAACTATGAAAACAATGCCAAAAAATTAAATCGACCCCTCAGTATACTTGGTTACTTCTAGTTCAATATATCTGAGCCAAGTAAAAAGTGAACCCTCTGAATCAAAAGTTTTTTAAATCTCAAATAATTTTAGTAAATGACCAGTAAACTTAATGAAACACGTCATACATAATTTAAGGCGTATTATACACATTATATGTTAAGCAAAAGAATTGTAATTCTCTATTTGATACACAAACAATTATAAATTAAAATCTTAATAAAAACTACTCTTTGCAAGATTCAATCACAATGTCTCATACTCTTACTCATACCTAGTAAACATCTGGACTCCCCAAGCCAATCAGGTGTTTAACTGCTCCCTCAAGTCAGTTCTCTGTATATATAAAAGTATAAGTGTGGCCCTACACTGCTCTTTGATTGATTGAGCCTTATATTTTCAAATTATCATTCTTAATCAGAGGGCAGTACACTAATTGATGAAATCAGGGTACTTGGTACTTACCAAGTGTTTGAAATCTTTGAGTGACCCTCTCAAGTTGTTCACTTAGAGTACTAGGATGGCAATTCATCAGATTTGTAAAGCTTTGTTTTAATAAGTCAGTTGCTGTGGTAACATCTTTGGTCTCTTGAACTGTGGAGATGAATTTTTGTGCCACATCTGTGTTGACTACAGCTGCAAATTCTGGAACAGCTGTAAAATAAATGTTAAAAAATATGTCTCTCAAAATATTGATCAAACAAGGCATTAAAATGCAAAGTGTCTGTAAGGTATTATGATGTAGTAGTGTGAGATGTTTGGATTTACTTTCATAATTAGATTGTTTTATAGTGAGTGAGTGAGTGAGTGAATTATTCACTAGTGCATGAATGGGTTGACTGAGTTGAGTTTAGTTTGAAAGTATTAGTGGAGTGAAAGACATGTATGCATGTAGTAGAGCAGAGTGTTGTATTTTAGAGAACATTTTATCAACTGAGTTTTAGACTTTTAAGATGAGATGAGATGAGATGTGAATATTGAAGTGCAATAAAGATGAGAACATTGACTGTCAACTACAACAACTATTATTATTTATTATTTTATTATTATTTCACATGGTGGCAGTGAAACTACGAAGTTCACGTCGTCGATTGAGACATATCTAAAATTCTGAGATAAAAGACAGATATTGAGTTGAGATGTAGATATTGAATTGAGTTGGTATCAGAAAGAACCAGTCATAGCAGACTAGATCCAAGACTATTGAATCCAGCATACAGCCAAAGAGACGAGTCGCCCAAAATGATCTCAAACATTTATTATATGATGGAAGAGGAGCGCATCAAAATGAGAACCGTCCATTATAGGAATGAGATTCCAAATGTGGACATTGAGTTGAGCTGAGATTAACCATGCATGACCATAATGAGTTGGCTCATGTTTTGGATATTTAAGGACCAGTTCAGGGGGACACATGGTCCTATTGAGCATCCTACGATGACCTAAGAGAGATCATCCGACGGATATATTTTGAGTCGAGCTGAGAATTTGCATTATACGGATGTTTTGGAGGACATCAATTAATTGAGTTGAGCTGAGAATTTGCAATACCGATGTTTTGGAGTACATCAATAGAGACATTTTGCGGCACTTGAATTCAAACCTGTATTGAGAAACAACTTCAACCGTCAAGGAACAGTCGCTGTAACTACCTACCAAACAAGACTTGAGACATTGTTTTGAGCAGTTATTTGAGATATTTTAAGAGACACTGAGATTTTGACTTTCAGAGACATTTTGATTTTCTAAGAGTTTATTATTTTTGATTCAATTTTTCAAGAGATGGTTCAATATTTATTGAACAAAAATAATCTCCTGAAGGGGGAGGATGTAAGGTATTATGATGTAGTAGTGTGAGATGTTTGGATTTACTTTCATAATTAGATTGTTTTATAGTGAGTGAGTGAGTGAATTATTCACTAGTGCATGAATGGGTTGACTGAGTTGAGTTTAGTTTGAAAGTATTAGTGGAGTGAAAGACATGTATGCATATAGTAGAGCAGAGTGTTGTATTTTAGAGAACATTTTACCAATTGAGTTTTAGACTTTTAAGATGAGATGAGATGTGAATATTGAAGTGCAATAAAGATGAGAACATTGACTGTCAACTACAACAACTATTATTATTTATTATTTTATTATTATTTCACAGTGTCACTACCTGCTATTTGTTACAGATGCCGACTGCAGATGGCCAACTGCCAAACACCATCCACAAAAAAAGTTGGAAACTATAACAATATGTCACCATTGCTGGTGGTGACATAATACTATCAGCAGGGAAACAGCTTGAAATGTAAGTGAAATGTTTTAAATGATACAATCTTTGAAATGGAGGAAATTGTGCAGGGACAGAAACAGTTGAAACACATTTCAGGGTTTACTTACCAGGCCCGTAGCCAGGATTTGCCAAGGGGGGTTCAGTTTTCAAAAATTTCCAGGGGGGTTCACATTTGACAATTTTGGCCCAAATATGGCTAAAATCACTTGAGAAGTGCTCAAAATGGTGAAAAACTGAATGATTTTGAAAGAATTTTTGGCCAGGGGGGGGGGGGGGGATCGCCCGAACCCTGCGTACCCCCCCTGGCTACGGGCCTGCTTACTTTGCATGAAGAAAGCTATTTCTTGCAATGGTCGGAATCCACACATTCCCTCAAACTCTGTCAGGGCAATGGCCATCTCTGGCTTATGGTTGGCATCAGGATACTTGTCAGGATTGGATAGATGGAGCTGTTCTGCGAGATTCTACAAGGATAGAAAATGGTGTCTCAGAATGATAAAAAGCAATCTTTTAGTCCTGCTTCTTGTATGATAAAACTTGTGAAATTTGGACCGCAAAGTGTGTCATTTATAGGAGTTTCATTTACATTGGGTCACAAAAAATTGTTAAGTTAGACATGTTTAGTTTAAATATGTCAGACATCTCTTTATTTGGTGAACATTACCTTATTAGGTCAACATACCTTATTAGGATGAGCTTGTATAGAGAGGGCTTTGTTCACCGAGAGTACCTTGAACAAATATGGAAGTTGACCCTTGAACCTGTCCTTGACCTTTTGACCCAGGCTTTCTCCATTTACACTGATCCAGTCAGCCAATGAGGTTCCACTTTGACTGCTTGATGCTATCACTGCAGGACCTTTTGGATGTGTGCCCATCCATAACTGCAATAAAGGTTTAACTCATGTACAATAAGTTTGTTTTGTGAGCAAAAGATGTAAATACAAATTTGAATCAGTAGAAACTTTCAAATGGCAATTCTAATATTTCCCATGATTGTTTAAATATATTTCGAGTACAGTCTGAGAAAGTCTATTAAACCTAAAAATAAGCAATCAAAGGAGCACAGTCAACAGTGCTTTCAAGGGAGTAGACAGAAAAAGTCAAGGCAAAGGGGTGCAATCTTTTTGGTTTGCATGACTGCCAACAAAGCGCGCCCCAGAAGGGGATACGAGGCTCACCCTCGGAAAATTTTAAAAATTTACATTGTATATGATGCATTCTTTAAGCATTTCAAAATGTAACTCATTGATGTTTTTTTAACAAATTTTACAAAATTCCTTTTTTTCATTCTTGTGTGGATGGGAGGAGTGTGATCACTCCCATAACCCCCCCCCCCCCCCTGGAAACGCCCATTCATGGGCGTAGGGCTATATTTTGAGTTGGTACGCACACTCGGGGATGCCTGATTGCGTGGCCGAAGGCTGCGCATCGCGGGGAGTCCAGGGGTATGCTCCCCCGCGAAATTTTTTTCAAGGATGTTATTTGATGGAATCTAAGCGCTTTTATCAACTTTAAATGTTGATAATGGTAAACATACAGATATGATAAGAAGCATCAATAAATTCGCAAATAAATTTATGCATTTTAACACATTTTTAATTGTTTTCAAATTCATTTGGTACGCCTGTGCGTATTTTGCGTAATAGGCGCTACGCCCATGCTATATTATATACAGGAAACAGATTCATTTTTTTAGATGCAAAAGACTTGCTATCGTGAATGGCAATAAAGCTTTTTCAGCCTAACGATTTCAAACACATGTTTATCTTTCATTTACCTCAGCATATGGGGTTTCTTCTTGAAGATCAAATGTTACATCTGATGCCTTTGACAGTCTTGCTACTTCACTGTCACTCCCTAGACGACCCCAAGCGTAAGTCTGCACAGGACATTTTAGCGGAAACACTGTCATAAAACAATGAGGTGCCTCATAAGGTACATTGGTTGTATTGCTTGATAAATACTAAACGAAGAGTTACTTTTGAGGTTTTAGACATATGTGCCGTTTTTCAAAGAAACCTGTATATGTAACTTGTACTACTTTTTGCAAGGCCTGACTTCGTCGCTAACATGCTAAATATAAGAGTTAGCTGACGTTTGGGAGTCTGACTTACCTTCTAAAGGTTAGAGCCCGAATCTTAATGAAACCATATCACCTTTGTTGCGTCGATGATGATGCATAAACATAGCATTTGATAGAAATTAGTGTAAATGCTTTTCCGACTTTTTCATTTTTCATCAATGTTGAATCCGGGAAGGCGTTGTAGTTATCACGAAATAGCGCATTGACCCTTGAACTTTACTTTGTTGACGTGTCAACCAAGCATGTCTGGTGTGAAAATTAAAAGAATATTAAGCAATGTTCTACATCCGCCAAGCTAAGTGAAGTAGCCAATATTCAAAATTACCAATTTCAAGTGAAGTACGCAATGAACGAAACTGCGTGATCTACAGTCCCACTATTTGTCTGAACGAAATGCTACGTAGAAATATGAGCCGTCTGCTGTATTAGTCGATTAATAGAGTAAGACCTGTTGGTGATGCTTTATAATTTAGACCAAAACATTGAAGAACATACGAACCTGTAAATCGTGAAAACAACGAACAAATATTCGGTTTTCATATATGTTCGGTAATTTTTCGTATTGAAACTTCCGGAACTTACAAGGAAATCATTCATTTTCTCGGTCCATGATTTACCTCTTGGATGTTGTGGCAAATGCTCCATGGTTGACGGAACAAAGGTGATATGGTTTCATTTTATCCCGTTCCCGGACTATAGTCCTGCACTGAGCGCATTCATTTGCCTGTACGATTACAACTTGGGAGAATTATCTACGCCCCTTACACTTAAGATACCTACCTCAATGCATTATAGAACTCAAGATGTAACTTCTAATATATTGGAACCGCCGATTGTCTGGGTATATCGGCAGAACGGGAACATTTCTCTTTTTCATCGAGAGAGATTCCATCACTTTTCAAAATGGCGGTTGGATTTAAAAGGGGAATCCCCCGTTTGGCTGTCCCGGATGTAGCCCGGAAGTACCAATATGGAGGAATTTGACGGTTGAAATAAGTTAAATGTTACACGCAAATATTGCGATCAAAAACGAAAATGTCTTCGTTCTGCCGATAAACCCAGACAATTGTGGATTCAACTACACGCAAAGAATGCTAAATTACCAAGGAATCTATTGAAGTAGGTATCAGAAGTGTAAGATGAGTAAAAAATTCTCCCATGTTGTAATCGCACAGGCAAAAGATTGAGATGTTCACAGGACCATAGTCCGGGAACGGGATAAGTTTCATTAAGATTCGGGCTCTAACCTTTAGAAGGTAAGTCAGACTCCCAAACGTCAGCTAACTCTTATATTTAGCATGTTAGCGACGAAGTCAGGCCTTGCAAAAAGTAGTAAGCTGGCTTCTGAGCCAGTGAGTTTCAAAAATAAAAATTATTATAAGTATTTTCTAGGGTTTCATATTGCACTTGGAGTAATGTCAGCTTGTCTGATTAAAAAATATACTTCAATCTTACGCAAATAATTGATTTCATGACGAATAAACGGCCTGTTAGCTATTTATTTGAATATAAAGTTGGAGAATTCAGTTACCTTTCTCTGTTGACATTTTGGACGTGGCGCATAACAAAATGGCAAACTCTGAGCGGAAAATGAATTACAAATACATTAATTTCTTATTTTCCTAAATATAATATTAGTTTCAAAATATAAATTAAGGTTCTTTGATAATTATTGAATGTTCAAATCTTGATGTAAATAGTTATTGAATGATGTTTGATAATTATTGATGATATTAAATTCGTTGGCTGGGGTTTACTTTTAGACCACACAAAATACATCCGGGACCTCTTCACAAATTTACAGAAACTTTCTGCATATTTTACTATTTTTATTCATTTATCCGCAAATTGACTTAATTTTGCAATCGATTAACTATAAAACATTGTCTAGAGACTTATTTCGGAAAGTATAGAAGTAATTGCAATATTAGATAGAGAGTCATCCTCGTTAGTGTATTTCTAAATTTTCTCGATTTTTCACGGCCAATCAAAAATCAACAAAAGCAGGGCAATTTTGTAACAAAGATGTCAAATCCGTTCGCATTTCTTGGACTCAATATTGGATCTCAAGGTAATATTGCGTTTCTGTATCACCTTTAGATAGTGATCATCAATCATAACCTTATTCTTCGGCCACAGTGTGACCTTACGCTAAGCCTTACTCCCGTCGAGAGCTACTTAGATTTTGAAAGTATAGCTCTCTATCGCTAGAATCAACAGCTTAAGAATCCTCACTTCAAAGAAAATTCCAGGGAATTCAGCTGACTCATGTTGCACATTATATACCTGAAAATGTATTCTACATCGCCATCTTTCATTCAGCTCAACTATAGAACGTCTCACTGCCCTATGTATCGATCAGGACTTCATTTTATTGGTCGTGTCAAAAGTTTTGGCCAGGTATATTCAATATGGCGGCTTGACGTTTCCCAAGTTGCGCATGCGTCGATAATATTTCCGTTTAACCGCCATATTGGAAATGGGTATCAAACAATGAATTCAAAAAACGATTAGAACTCCTGATCGCCATAGAAGCACATCCGCGATCCTACATGCACGGGAAAGTAGACACATATGAGCCCATATGTAGGCTACAGTTTGAGACGAACAGTAAGCCGCTGAATGGCGCTGATCAAATTTAGATGTCACAATTCTTCAGCTGGAGATCCTCACGATGGAGAGCTATACTTTCAAAATCTAACATGGTAGCTCTCGACGTGAGTAAGCTAAGCCCTGTTTGTTTTATTGCTTTTTTATGCTATCCCGTGTGGACTGTTGCTTGAATTAACTAAAATGTAATAAACATACCTTCATTGAACTCAGTATGTAGTCTTAGTTCATATGACCATCTACATCGGCTTTTATTTAGTCTTTTCTAAGAGCAATCTTTTGGAAAAGATCCTTCTGGAAAACGGCCATTTTGTTTGCTAAAACGAGATAAAGATCAACCTCAAGAGATGTTTTTATAAGTAGCAGACCAAATGATTTTAAGTTTAGACGAAAGCATGCAATCTCACAAAGGACAGTGTCCGTTTGAATTCTAATTGATCTTAATCTTTTTTACTCGAGAATAAATGTTTTCACTAGTGCACGGTGGTCCACATACCATGTCTTCTAGCCTGTCTTTTTACAAGTTTGTACCCTCACAGAACTGATTGCATTTGTGTACAAGGATGAAGTCATATTTCACGTCATAATGACATAACTGTTGTATTACATAGCATTATTCCTACTTTGTATCAATAACGTCACACTTCTGTGTGTGAGTAGAATTTAATCAAAATCAGACATGACGTTGTGATTTTGTCATGGCTATTAAAGAAATCTTATATCTTTTATATCTTATAAGCTTATATAGGAGGGCTATATCGGGGCAATCGGGCTATATCGGTGGATATAGCCCGCTAACTTTCCCATTGACTTCCATACAAATGCTTTGCTAGGTATGTTATATTCCATTTGTGAAATTCTTTAAGTTATCAGCTGGTTTTGTGTAGCTCAGGACTTGTCTTTATCCCCGAGTAGACATTTTCTAGCAAGAAATCAAAATTACTATTTTGGCAAAAATTTACGAAGCCTTTGAAATCTTCAGTAATTTCCTCATGAGAGCTGCCTGAAGTTCAGCCATTTTTAATGTTAATTCAGAAATCACCGGACACTACTTTGTGAATTCACGACGTCAAACAACAATTTTGATTTCTCCCTACATTTAGAAGATTTCTAGCTGTAATTTTACACATAGATTTCAAATATGATATCACTTCAACTAAATTTTGAATATTAAATGAAAAAAATCAAGATCATTTCTACTTGCACCTAGTGATGTACATATAGTGCTTTGTTTTTTAGCAGGAGGTCAAATGATGCCCCCTGGTTCAATGCCTCCAGGAGGAATGCCACCTGGGATGGCCCCAATACCTCCTCCACAGCCAAGGATGATGGGACATGACCCACTTCAGAGTAAGCTCTCTTTAAAGGCAATTTCCTTTAAAAATAAGTAATAAACATATTCACTTTGTGCAGTACAGTGAAACTGGTATATCGGAACACCTAAGCTTTTCAATCCAAACACCTCTTTATATGAACACTTTTTTTTTTAAATCTCAAAATGGGAACACCTACTGATCCAAACACTTTTATCAAATCCCAATAGTGTTCAGGTATTATTATCAGATTGTGGACCAACTTTTGCAATGCTAAAACTGCTACTAAAATATGTTGCTTTCAATCGTAACCTCCAAGTTTATAATTTTCTCATCTCCCTCCTTTGTCAATCAAATGAAAGGTCTATTCATAAATTTATTAGAATGTCTGTTTTACTTACATCATGACTTACTTTGCACTAGATCCGTAAACAAGACTTCCCCTATCTTCGGTTTGGAGAAACAAAAATGAGTCCTAGACAGGCAATACTTCCCTTCAGACTACCAGTGCTTTCGTGTTAATGTTTTTTCAGATACTGCTCGACAGCATATTCTTAATCCAAAATCTGTCTTTGTTTTATTTCCCTCACTCTTGCCTTGATTTATTTTTAGATAATGCACCATTGCAGTTCAACATGAATAAGGGGAAGCCCCCAATGCCAGTGATGGGTCAGAGTGGAGAAGTGATGCCAAATCAGGATGGTGATCAAAGGCAACATGGTAAATATATATAAAGCATGCAGATAAATGTCATGTTTTTCAAGGCAAATTCCATGTACATGTATGAATAAATTACCTAACTTTTAGAAAAAAAATTTTGTGATTTATATCAGTGGACATTTTGAAATTGGAGTATGATTGTAGCATGGATATAGGTTTAGCTCTGTAAAATTCATATGATGTCAGGACTCAGAAGACTAAGTGATATTTCATGTAACAAAAAATCATTACGCAAATCTTCAAGCATTGAGTGTCTTTATTTTTAAGTCAATTGAGTTGATATTGAATCAGGTTTGAACTGAGCTTGATTTTCTCAAGCATAGTTTTCATTATTATATACAGTTTTGACTGATCCTGTTTTAGATGACCGGGGTGGCGGAATGGCTCCACAAGGAAACGGTGGAATGGGTCCCGGAGATGGAATGGGTCCTGGAGGTGGACCTGGTCCTAATAATATGCAGAGTCCAGATAACAATATGATGGGACATCCAGGCAATAACATGATGAATCAAGGCATGCAAGGTGAGTTATGTTTTGTTTTTATCACATCACCATGGTGACGTGGAATTCACTTTCCCTTTGTTGTTTCCAGGAATTCATTTACCCATTATTATATTTCCAGGAATTCATTTTCCCATTGTCATATTTCCAGGAATTCATTTTCCCATTGTCAGATTTCCAGGAATTCATTTTCCCATTGTTATATTTCCAGGAATTCATTTTCTTTTCCCATTGTTATATTTCCAGGAATTCATTTTCCCATTGTTATATTTCCAGGTATTCATTTTCCCATTGTTATATTTCCAGGAATTCATTTTCCCATTGTTATATTTCCCGGAATTCATTTTCTTTTCCCATTGTTATGTTTCCAGGTATGGGTAACAACATGATGGGCTCCATGATGGGTGGTATGCCCCCAGTGAATGGAGATCCCAATCAGATGATAATGATGAATGCAATGGGATACAATCAGGTAACCATCATATAAAGAAAAAATGTAAATATCAAAACTTGTGTTTTCTTTAAAGGTCTCATGTAATGTTTGAAAATGTTAAGCTCATCAATAAGCATTATTTCTTGAGACTAGAATTTGCTCTGTAACGTGGCCCACTTCTATTAATTTATTACGCGAGGGCCATTTTGGGTCAATAGGTTGTATCCATATGCAAAGTTTTATTACATGATTTTAAGGCATCGTGGAATATAAATAAAGTGGAATTTTGTAAAGTAATGATGAAAAGTTAACGTATTATGTTAAACTGTCATGGAACATTACAAATTATGGGCTAACTACATACGCAAAGCCTCTGCATAGAACTCCATCTTTGTTGAAAACCATTGTACAATTTTCTAAAAAAACAATTCATGGTACATGTGTACATTTTCTTTGCAGTTTGGTGGCAACATGATGCCCATGCCTGAGCCCCCCAGAGAACCCATTCATTTCAAGACATTCACATTGCTGCCCCCGCCACAAGGTAATTATATTTTTACCTTCAGTTGTGTCCAAAGATCAAGATGAAGTATCGTGGGGTTGACTATTTTCACATAAATGTTATTGCATTTGTTAATGTTATGAGAGCCACTGACATTTGGCATTTGTAGTGACTGTCTGTAACATATTGTTGTTACACTTTTGTAACGATACAGGTGGTGAGATGTTGTCATGTTAATGCCTTGTTTGATATCCACATTCAATGCAACTCAGATTCAGTGCATAAGAGTTAAGCAGCAAAAAGCAGAAATATCAACTTTTGTATATTCCATTTCCAAATAGCTTAATGAGTGATATGATATTACAAACTTAATATTTACCTAATTTCTATATTACCACATATGTGTATTGTTAACGTCTCCAACTTTTTCATGTCACCACAGGAAGTGGTGACATAACAAATGGCTGGTGGTGATATTTTGCATGTTCATACCTTGTTGTAATTATTTCAGGGGCCCCCAGACCCTCTACCCGAGAGAGACCCCCTGGCTGTCGCACAATCTTCGTTGGAGGCATCCCGGACAACACAACAGAAGACATGATTCGGGAAATGTTTTGTAACTGTGGAGAAATTTATAGTATACGACTCAGCACAAAGAATTTCGCACATATCAGATTTGACTCCGAGGATGCTGTGGACAAGTCCTTGTATCTTTCTGGTACGGTTTTGTATTTTTGTGTGTTTTTTACGAGATCACCCAGTCGACTGTTCATCAGTTTGTCATACAAATTTAATACAAATTCAAACTGCTATAAGTATGCACTGTATCTGTTTGGCAGATTGTGTCCATTAAGTCCTCTTGATCTCAAATTTTGAAAAACAGTTCACTGTTTGAGTATAGAGGCAGTGGGTCCTTTGATTTAATTTACAGGCATAAGCTTCTATCCAGAAGGCTTCAATAAATTTGAATATCCACGCCAGAATTTTTCAGGATATATAGCATAACAGTTGTTCTAAAATTATTTGATCAAAATATATGTCTTAGCTTAACTTAATTTTTTTAAAAATGCATGCCTCAGGATGAATCAATGTATTGTGATTTTTCAATGTATGCAGATAGAAAACAAGAAGCCTTCAATAAGTTTGAACATACACACCAGAGATTTTCAGGATTGTACCATAACAGTTTTAAAATTTTTATTTAGATATTTTCAAAATAAGTAGCTTGACTAAACTGAATTTTCCGTATCTTCCTATGAAGTTAAAAAATACATGCCAGAAAGGACCACTCACGATGAACCAATTTATCAATTGTGATTTTTCAATGTATCAATTTCAGGGTATCGTATGCAGATAGAAAACAAAACAGATAAGGCAAACTCTGGAAGAATCCACGTTGACTTTGCGCAAGCTCGTGACGATCTTTACGAGTGGGAATGCCAACAGAGGGCTCTGATGAGAGAACAGCGTCATCGCCAGCGAGTCGAAGAGGACAGACTCCGCCCTCCAAGCCCGCCACCTATTATACATTTCTCAGATCATGAAGCTAGTATCCTCTCAGAAAAACTAAAAGGTATTTTGAAGATAAAGGACATGATTTTTTACTTTTTATGTACACCTCCCCTACTCATCAAAATATGAAATTTTAATACATTCCGCAAGAAACTTTCTGGCAGTTTGATTGAATTCATTCAGATAAAAATCTTTTCTTACTTCTTGGCTAAATGCGTAGATTAAATCCCTTGGATATTTATTTTTACTTATTTATTTTGAAACTAAGCTTTTACAACAGCGGCACACAAAATTGCAGCATCAACTTATGGTACTACATGTATTTATATAAAGCATTGCAGTCATAATATATTCTCATTAACTAAAATTACCTTGACTAAATCTTTGTGTATTATTGATTATAAAAGTGATTAAAATAGTTTCAACTACATTTATAGAGCAAAAACTTCCTCATTTTGTTACATTTGATGTGTCTTTTATTACTAGGTCTGCATAATGTTTAATAAACAGTAAGATGATTTACACTGGCAAATCACTGGCAACAATCACTGGCAAATCGGGCCCTTGCTCTTTTTGCATGCATTTCTAATTGACATCTAAAACATTTTATTTTTCTATCCAACTTTAGGAGACGAAACATTCATGTCTGCCACACAAGCATTGGTTGCTTGGCTAGAACGGGGAGATTGTAATAAACGTAACGCCAACACTTTCTACAGTATGGTACAAAGCGTCAACTCACACATTAGACGGCTCCTCAATGAAAAGCAGAACCAGGAAGCGGAACTCATTGAAATCAAAGAGAAACATCGAAATAGGATGCAGGGCATTCTCAGACAATGTAAGAGCCTTTTTTAATTGTAATCCATGCTTGCCTGTATAAGGAGGACTGTAAGTTTATTTGGACTGTAAGTTTTGCATAAAGCCCTTGTGTTGCCCTTCCAAAATATTTCTCAGGCACTGGGAACTTGAGGTAGATTTTAAATTGTTCTTGTATTTTGATGCAAGGGTGCTATGTTATTTAGGCCCTTCCAATTTAAATGCTTGTTTAGAGGTGCCTGGAATTTTAGGATGTTTCATTCATTTTGATTTTGATGCAGAGTAAAATTTTAAATACAGGCTTGGAACAGGTAGTTAAACTGAATGAGGAACCAAAGGGCCAAAGCTACATAATATAGAGTTAATTCTTACTTTCCAATTGTGGAAAAACAAAGTAACTTAATAGAAAATACCCCCCCACACACGCATGTAAGGTAATTTGAAAATTTCACTATTTTGTGATGTGAGTTTCACATGAATTTTTGGGAAAATTAATACCGTTCACCTATGAAATCCATGATAATACTATAGATTGGGTTAATTTGGCGCCCACTTTAATTTGGCGAAATTGAGATTGAAAAATTTGCCAATATAAATCTTCGCCAAAATTTAGAATGAATCCCCGGGAATTATCGAGGGTATTTTGTCCAGTGTATTTAGGTCACTTCCGGTTTAGTTTTTTCCAAAAATATGAAAAAATGTCTCTCATAAATTGGCTCAGAACTGGTCAGTCACTCATTAATACTCAGGGAAAAACTAGAAAGGAAAAGCGCGGTATAGTAGCAGCATCCATCGAGGTGCAAAATGTAAAGGATGATCTCACAAAAATGTACAAACGTGGTGAATATCGCCAGTGGTCCTCAAAAGAAATAATGAACATAGCCAAACATGCCTATTTACATGGTAATTCGCAAACAGCTCGTAAGTTTAACATTGAAGAGATTAACATAAGACGGATTGCATATCTGCCAAATTAAATAGCCGCCAATATGCCAAAAATGGCAAAATCGGCAAATTAAGTAGCGCCAAATTAACCCAATCTACAGTAGGTTGTACACTCCAAATATTTGGTAGGGTTTATTGGAAACTTTGTTCTTCCACAATTGCCGAAATTTTGACACACTCCCTTTAAAGTGTGTAGTAAAAGATGATTATATGATAATGGTGAGAAAGCCCCCATATGGAGCAGGTGATTTCCAGTATTTAGTAAGAAAGCTTATTGTGATGTCATCATGTGGAAAATGTGATGTCATTCTGTGGAATCTATATGATGTCATATTGTGGTACAGTACTGTGAGACCATCTGTTTTTTATTGATTTTCATTGCATTAAACTGACTATTACAAATAACATGATTTTTTCTACATTCAGTCAGCCAAACATACTATGATGTCAAAATACTATGATGTCATGCTGTGGAGCCTATGATGTCATGTATTTAGTAAGAAAACCAAGTGACCCTCGATGTCATGATGTGTGGAACAAAATATTTTTTTAAATCCCAAAAATCAAGACCAGTAGGTATATATATATACTGCTTGTTTGAAAGTGCTCTAATAAATATTTTTATCTGCATTTAGTAAGAAAGATCAATAGCCTCTCCGATGTCAGACTGTGGAAAGTAATAATGTACATTCAGAGTACAGTATGATTACAATATATTTTATACATGTTTGTGAGTTTAAATGGATAATACAGTTTAAATGACATGTTAGTGTCCATGTGACATATAAGATGGTTCTAATGATGTCATAATGATGTCATAATGGTAAGCACTTATAATATCATAGGAAGTGAACAAAACTGTTGTTCACTAATTCTGCTGGACCTATCTTAGTGGGTTAACAGAACAGGTAAATTTTGGTAATGGAATGAATAATCAGACAAATCTGAACAACCAAACATCTTAGCAAGTTCATGGCCCACCCTGTAAATTTGAACAAACACACTTTTCATTCTGGTTAAAAGGTAACGATTTTTTCAGCCTTCAGTTTCATTAAAAAAAGTTTTATACCGAGCATTGTGCTAGTGGTAGATTGTGATTATGGTTCATTGGGGGGGGGGAGTCAAACACTTTTGTTAGCTCAGTTAAAAAATGTTCATGAGTCCTGTGGTGTTTGGGTTGTTCAGGTTTTCTATAGATACTCTGAATTCCAGCATTAATAAGAAAGCGCCTTAACCTATGATGTCATCATGTGGAACCTATGATGTCATGTTGTGTTCTCTTTATTTTGGAAGAAAAGTTTACTCTCAAAGATGTCATGATGTTGATTTAAAGATATCATGTTCTTCACTCCCTGTATTTAGTCAGAAAGTTCAACAACCTATGCTGATGTCATGATGTAGACTTTTGATGTCAAGCTGTTTCTCTTTATTCAGTGTAAAAGTCTTGTAAGCTATGATATGGTATAGAACTTTATGATGTCACACTGTTTTCTGCATTTTGTAAGTCTAGCAACCCACTGTGATGTCATGATGTGGATTTATGGTGCCATGCTGTGTTTTCTCTATATCTAGCTCTATAACTAGTAAGAAAGCTATGATGACGTATGATGTCATGGGGTGGGACGTATGATGTCATGGGATGGAAGTCATGATGTCATGCTGTGTTTTCTCTATATTTAGTAAGAAAGCTGTGATGTCATTATGTGGAACCTAAGATGTCATGACATGTTTTCCTTTTACACTACATTTAGTAAGAAAGCTCAGGAACCAGGGGTGTCACAGTGATGTCATATGACATCAACTCCTGCTGAACCATATTGAGGAAAGTATAGTATCTGGTATCCCTCTTCCCAATACTGAATTGCATATGTGTAAATGTAATGTTTCTCATGTTTTATAAACAGTTGAGCAGATAGACAGTGTCTTCATAACAGCCTGCAAACAGAAAGCCTGGGACCATTTCTCAAAGGCTCAAAGGAAAAATCTAGATGCATGGGCCAAGCAAGCAAAAGTAAGGATCGCTGATTTTCACTTGATAGTCTTGCATCAAGACTCTGGTTGTTAATCCCCCTTGTGGATTTGCCTACTTGGTGTTTTAGAGGATGAAGGGGTCAGGGGCTTGATGCGAGACTTCATGAGGTTTCATGGTGGTCAACTGGTGGATTGATTTGCCTATTTGTATGTGTATGATCTTAAGTCTAAATTGCCATGGTTACCTTATAATCATCGATTCGCCCCTCAACTGGTGCCGACATGGTAATAAAGACATTTGGCTTTTCAGTTACCTGATGTTACCATTAACATACAGGTAAAATATTTGGATACAAATTGACTTCCTTCTTTGTAATGAAAATTCTGAAAATAAAGATTTCCTGAGATGGAAGTTCACTTTGTTATATGACAAAAACACCAGGTGGTAAAGCGTGAAGTGTAGTCAGGAATGAAAGAAGGAATGAAGTTGAAAAATTGAAAAGGAAAATTCAAAAGAAAGCTGTGGATGTCAGTAAACCAATTAAATGTGCATCCCCGTAGCCAGGATTTGCCAAGGGGGGGTTCAGTTTTCAAAAATTTTCAGGGGGGGTTCACATTTGACAATTTTGGCCCAAACATGGGTAAAATCACTTGAGAAATGCTCAAAATGGTGAAAAACTGCATGATTTTGAAAGAATTTTTGGCCAGGGGGGGGGGGTTCGTCCGAACCTTGCGAACCCCCCTGGCTACGGGCCTGATGTGTTTAAATCATGATTTTAATGTAGAGGTAAATTTAAGTAAGTAGGTTTGAAAAAATGAATCACATTCTCAGAGTAAAGAGCTGTTGTTGACCACCATGAAGTTTTTGTACTATTCACCAATAACCAATGGTTTTGTCAAAAGGGTTTGTACATACAAGTTCTGTTTATGATATCCACAAAAGGATGATTGGTTTATCCAGAAAAAGTAAGGGTTACCAGAATCCCAATGGGCAAGTTTTTCCCGAAATTCTCATCCTATAAGAGGAGGTTTGGAGAAAGGTCATTGAAGCTGCTTTACTTCTGGAATCTTCCAATTTTCCTTTGAGTTACTTTGGAATCATTAAAGACGCACATGCTGATTTCCGAGAAACTGGTAGGTATGTTTTAACAGTTTAGATATCTATGAATACATTTACATCCACCAATCAGAAGTGCAGAAATTACTTATTATTAAATTAACATCCATACTTTAATAAATGTATTTTCAGAAATCAGCATGTGTAGCTTTAAAGAGAGCCGCCATTGTATGTTTTTGCAAAATTCAATTTTTTCAGGAAAAAGAATGGTAAGTAGTAAAGTGTAAGTCAGTCAGTAGGATTAAGCCTCACAAGACCCCTTAGAATGCTATTGTAAAAGTTGTTGACTTTATGAGAAGTCAACTGGGTAAATTGTGTACCTCTGATATTGTAGGTTGTTATACTTTTTAAATGTCAGGTAAATCGGATTAGAGACTGAGTCCCTTTAAATATTAATGTAATTTAATTTCTGAAATTGAACCATGAACCAACAGGTAAAACTTACAGCTTGAGTAAGCTTCTAATTTGTAATCATTTATGACACAGTAAGGATAGAATATACACTTGGATGTACGAATAACTCTGGAGATTGGACTTACACGCAGACGTTCATAACAGGATAAGAATGTTGCTTGATCATTTATGATCCATGACAGAACTGTTGCTTAAAACCGAACTTTAAGGATGAAATGATGTTGCTGGAAAGTTATCATATCGTAAGTGAAGTAAAGGTGCACAGATGGACTTTTGATACATATAACACATATCAGGATAAGAATGTTGCTAAAAGTAAAACTTCATGAAATTGATCACTGGCATTCATGACAAAGCTGTTACTTAAAACAGAATGTCTAGGATGAAAATGTTGCTGAAAAAAGGAAATAAAATTGAATCCTTATTGTAAGTGATTAAGACAGTGGTAGATTGGTGAGTATAAAATCAAGTAGGAGGCATACCTGTATATACCAAGTTTTTTCATGTGTCACTTATGTTGTGATTTACAACAATAAAAAGTAAGTCATCAATGTGTAATAATTTTGGGAAATGTTATTTCAATTCTTTATTACTGCAGTGTTTTTTTATTATTTTGAACTATGTGTATGCATTAACCAAAATTTGTTAATATCCACATGAAAATGTGAGAAAAGTATAAAATTGTCATTATGTCAATGGATATACCTTTAATATTTGGACAGGGATATATCACAAATATTTGATGGCTTAAGGTTTTCAGTCTTATACAAGAAGTAATCAAATTGAGTACATGTGTGTATAGGTAATAGAATCATTATTCACAAACATAAAAATATTTTCCCCTCGAGGAAACTTTACTTTTGCATTTTATGTTGTAAAAAGTTGGCAATTACATTGTATTTAAGAACATCTATAAATAAATAAAATGAAACTTTAAAAATCAGGTCAATGGTTGATTCAATGGTTGATTGCAGGAGACATTGAAATCGCAACAAGAGAATGTGTTCGCAGAGAGACAGGATGATGATATGGAACTGTCCGACTCAGAGAATGATGCTCCCGCTACCAAAAAATCTAAACTGGGATACGATCCAAGTAAGAATTCAAATCAATATTTCAAGTTATGTTTATTTCATATATCATTTCTGCAGAGCACAGACATAATTTGACTTGTGTTAAAGGAGTTAGACATCTTGAATTTTTATTTTTTATTTATTCATATGGAGTTGATAGGTTTTCAGAATTTGCCATCAGGCATACATCAGAAAATAATTTTTATTTCCAGATCTAGTTGAAGTGAACAGATTACGAGATGAGAACGAGAGTCTCAAATGTCAGATTGAGGCTTACAAAAATGAAGTTGAGCTACTCAAGCACGACTCTAAGACAGATGACCAGTTGAAGGATAAACAAATGAAGAGCCTTCAACAAGCCCTCCAGGGCATGCAACAGGTAACACCCCTATGGATTGTAATAGACTGGTCCATTCAATCAATTTGGAATAGTCTATTGTTCTTGCAGACGCCATTAGAGGGATGTTACCAGGCAAATCTGTTACATTTTGTTAGCATTAGTCAACTTTATAGAAAGTGAGACATTTAGTTGGAAAATATTACATAATATAAGAGTTCATTGACATAATATGTTAATTTCACGATCACATAGTACAAGAGTTCATTTACATAATATGTTAATTTCATTTTAGGTGGTAGAAAGGGTCTTTTTGAATTTTGAAACAACTGTCAAGCCTCGAGAGTTACATAAAATACAAAAAATATGTTAAATGAAAAAAAGTTTAATAAAAAAAAAAATCTCTTAAGAAATGAATAAAGTTCATTGATTTTTTCATTTTTATTATTTAATGTTGATTTAATATGTTTAATGATGTTTATATTTGATTGCAGCAATTGATCTCTCAAAAGTCTGAAATGAAAAGAGACGAGGAAGAGTTAAAGAGAGTAAGTCGTCATCACCAAATCATCAATTAGTTTTTGTCTTGCTGTCTTTTCAAAAGAATGAGCATTGGTTCAAATCCTTAAAACTCAATGCTCCAATTGTTTGGCCATGCCTATTTGATTTATTTTTCCTCCAAAGTTTATGAAGGAAAACAAAGACTTGAGTTAAGTTAGAGACCTTTAAGTCTCAAACAATTTTTCATAAATTTCCATGTTCATTTTCTAAAAACACCTGCTTTTTGCTCACTTTATTCCATGGTAATACTTTGATATTTCTTGGATATTTCTTGGCAGTAATTTTTAAGAAGTTGAAGTCTCCATTTTATAAATCCAATTTTAATAAATGTAGACACCCCTGCATCTTTAATCTTCAATGGCTTTTTTCGGTCAACGAGAGTGATTCCAAAAAGAATTACTAGATTTTTTCATTCAAATTAAATAATTTTAAATGTGTACTTTTGACAGATTTTATCTAATTTTTAGCTAAAACATAAAATAATGAAATGAATTTCTCCTACGTGACATAATTTTTCAGCTCCGCATTGAGATGCAAATGGAAAAGCAAGCAAAAAAAGTAGAGGGCAGCACTAGTAGCAGTGGCGATAGTTCAGAGTCAGATGCCGTCACAAAAGCAGATTCTAGTCTCACTTCAACGACAGCTATGAGTGATAAAGAAGGGCGACTCATAGGTGTGTCTCCGACCATTCTGATTCTATTTCTTACGATTTCTTTAAAAAGAATTATGGCATTTTTGTATGATTTTTATGTCAGTGAAGAAGTGACAACATATTGTAGTACAGTATGATTCCAATAACAATAGTTTAAGACTTTATTTTCTCAGATATTTTGCATTTATGACTTTACCACTACAGTACATTGTTATAATATTTTTTGATATTTTCATTTTTAAGTATGACTTGTTTTTGTCATTTCAGGACTGATATCAACATTTTTACACGTTCATCCCTTTGGTGCTAGCGTTGACTATATATGGTCATTTTTGAACCGTGTCGACATTACCCTACGATCAAGTGAGATAGAGGATCTTTTGGAAAAATTACCGAACGTTTTCCGGCAAGATTTACATGGAGTTGGAGCATCTATTGAAAAACGTTGGAAGTTTGTTGGATTTGAAGGGTGAATCACCATGGTGAAAACTATCAATGGATGTGGCTGGAAAAATGTGAAAAATGATGGACATTTTTGCTACATGTAGCCAATAACAACTGGTTTTGGGAATACACTACAACTACACAATATATTTCCCACTCGTGTATTTCCAATATAAAGGCTGTGGCATATACGAGGGATGATCAATAAATTTCACAAGTGACTATCTCAGACAATATTTAGAGTCATGTGGAAATTAAGTACAGATTGATTATACCGTGGAAAATGTAATATCCCAGAATAATACTTAGTTACTTTGAAAGTTTTCTGGTATTGAGCTGTAACTAAACATCCAGGAGGAGCATATGGGAATCAAAACAAGGACACTTGAGACACCTGAACTGAGAACAGTTGGTAGTCGGCATAAACACAAGCTTTTTAGAAGCAGAAATGTATTAAGTTTAAGTTTAATTTTATATGTATTGAATCTAATGCACCACAGGTTTCAATGCCAAAATTGATATATTATCGCTCAAGGAAATGGTAGCTACAAAGCAGTCTCAGTTGAATTGACTCTTCGCTTTATCAATTTACAACCAATCACATGGACACTGAGCATGCTGAGTGGAGACTCCCAGAGTGCATTTTTTTAACCAATTTAACCTCTTGAATCCCAGGCTCTAAAATCAGTTGAAACCATAGAATTTTTCATTTTTGCCACTTTTTGACATTTTACCTATTTTTTATTAACTATACAGCTTTAGATGCTCAACTTTGTAAAATTGGACAACTTTTGTGTAAATTGAATGAAAATTGTTCAAATAAGAGCAATTTTAGTGAAAAAATTGTGACGGATTTTCTCGTCACTGAGTTTCAAGGTCATTTCTGATGTGACAAGAAATTTCGTCATTCCAGGTAGTCGAGAAGTTTTAAGCATGGTGTTCACTTTTTTTGACAGTATTCACGATTATGTACATGTATGATAGTGCACAGTAACATTATATAGGCATAGAATAATAAAAGTGGAGCCTGAAAAGTCAAATATGGTGCTATGTTGAAAAGCCAAGAGAAATTCTCCTATATCAGCATATAAAATAGATAGTTTATATATTACCTTGTCATACATCTGGGCTCAAATTATACATGGTTTTTTCATTGAACAGACAAATCTTGAAAATTAAAAATTCATTTTTAACAAATTTTTAAATTGAGGGGTCGTCTCAACAGATTAATTCCAATTAACCATCAATTTCTGTATTTCATAAAGGATAAAGTCATATTTATGTTTGATAATGGTAAACCCTGTACTTCATTAAGTATATTTAACTGTGGTAAATTCTGTATTCAATGAAGTAAACATTTGTTTTTACTGTATTGTTTCATTGGTAGAAATAAATAATTGTGCTATTAAATGTAAAGTTTCACGTTTCTTATTGAACTTCATAATTACTGTATTTTCGATCTTTTGCTGATGAACCCAAAAATGTTCTCATGGAGATAATGGAAATGTTGTCATGGAGATAGTAAGAAACGCATTCATTTGTTTTACTTTAATCTTTCCAAATCCAAGTGTGATTTTTATCAATGTGTGCCTCAATGATCCCCATTTATACCTAAGTTTTATTATGTCACCACCAAAAGTGGTGACATATTGTTATGGTCTCCGTTTTTTTGCGACGGCGTCCGGCGGTTGGTGGTTGGCGTCCGGCGTCCGGCGGTTGGCGTCCGGCGTCTGTAACAATTTCTTACAACTTCCTATAACTTAACAAATACTGTTTAGACTGACTTCAATTTTTTTCTAAATCATCTACATGTTCTCAGAAGTTCAAATCTGACTTTATATTTGACATTTGACCTTCAATGACCTTCTCAAGGTCAAAAAGGTCTTTTTTCAACTTGCTTCACATTGACTAAAATTTTTTTCAAAATCATCTACATGTTCTCAGAAATTCAAATCTGACTTAAGATTTGACATTTGACCTTCAAATCTGACTTTAGATTTGACATTTGACCTTCAATGACCTTCTCAAGGTCAAAAAAGGTCTGTTTTCAACTTGCTTCAAATTGACTAAATTTTTTTTTCAAAATCATCTAAGTGTTCTCAGAAATTCAAATCTGAGTTAAGATTTGACTTAAGATTTGACATTTGACCTTCAATGACCTTCTGAAGGTCAAAAAAGGTCAAAAATGTCTGTTTTCAACTTGCTTCAAATTGACTAAATTTTTTTTTCAAAATCATCTACGTGTTCTCAGAAATTCAAATCTGACTTAAGATTTGACATTTGACCTTCAATGACCTTCTCAAGGTCAAAAAAGGTCAAAAAGGTCTGTTTTCAACTTGCTTCAAATTGACTAAAAAAAATTTTCAAAATCATCTACATGTTCTCAGAAATTCAAATCTGACTTTAGATTTGACTTAAGATTTGACATTTGACCTTCAATGACCTTCTCAAAGTCAAAAAAGGTCAAAAAGGTCTTTTTTCAACTTGCTTCAAATTGACTAATTTTTTTTTTCAAAATCATCTACATGTTCTCAGAAATTCAAATCTGACTTTAGATTTGACATTTGACCTTCAATGACCTTCTCAAGGTCAAAAAAGGTCAAAAAGGTCTGTTTTCAACTTGCTTCAAATTGACTAAATTTTTTTTTCAAAATCATCTATGTGTTCTCAGAAATTCAAATCTGACTTAAGATTTGACATTTGACCTTCAATGACCTTCTCAAGGTCAAAAAAGGTCAAAAAGGTCTGTTTTCAACTTGCTTCAAATTGACTAAAAAAAATTTTCAAAATCATCTACGTGTTCTCAGAAATTCAAATCTGACTTTAAGATTTGACTTAAGATTTGACATTTGACCTTCAATGACCTTCTCAAAGTCAAAAAAGGTCAAAAAGGTCTTTTTTCAACTTGCTTCAAATTGACTAAATTTTTTTTTCAAAATCATCTACATGTTCTCAGAAATTCAAATCTGACTTTAGATTTGACATTTGACCTTCAATGACCTTCTCAATGTCAAAAAAGGTCAAAAAGGTATTTTTTCATCCTGCTTAAATTGACTAAATTTTTTTTCAAAATCATCTACATGTTCTCAGAAATTCAATAATGTCTTTAGATTTGACATTTGACCTTCAATGACCTTGTCAAGGTCAAAAAAGGTCAAAAAGGTCTTTTTTCAACTTGCTTCAAATTGACTAATTTTTTTTTTCAAAATCATCTACATGTTCTCAGAAATTCAAATCTGACTTTAGATTTGACATTTGACCTTCAATAACCTTCTCAATGTCAAAAAAGGTCAAAAAGGTATTTTTTCATCTTGCTTCAAATTGACTAAATTTTTTTTCAAAATCATCTACATGTTCTCAGAAATTCAAATATGACTTTAGATTTGACATTTGACCTTCAATGACCTTGTCAAGGTCAAAAAAGGTCAAAAAGGTCTTTTTTCAACTTGCTTCAAATTGACTAATTTTTTTTTTCAAAATCATCTACATGTTCTCAGAAATTCAAATCTGACTTTAGATTTGACATTTGACCTTTAATGACCTTCTCAAGGTCAAAAAAGGTCAAAAAGGTCTGTTTTCAACTTGCTTCAAATTGACCAAATTTTTTTTTTTTAATCATCTTCATCTTTTCAGAAGTTCAAATTTGACTTTACAAGTTCTCAGAAATTCAAATCTGACTTAAGTTTGAACTCACAATATTGTGAGCAACTAGGTGGTGACATTTTGTCATGTTAATGCCTTGTTTGATTTTGTAACCATTTCACAAACATTTGCTTTCATATAATACTTCGAAATTGGCATAATTTTAATGTTTAAATTGCGTATACAGTTTTTGGCTACTGAGATTATCTCTATCATCATTTTTCATTCCACAAAGGAAATATCAATTATTTTGCCCTGTATTTCAGTTTTAGTCATTATTTTGAAACATTGAATACACGTTTTATTGGCAGTTTAAAATGGTGCTCATTAACCAAGTCCAATATTCAGCGTCCCTTTAATATCTATTTAGGGGCAAATCAATACTAGGCTTGTGCCACATTTGCTCCGATTTTCGCTACGGCGCCCAGCCGATCGAGTATTTTGTTTAAAATTGAATAAAATATTGAACAAAACATTCAATCGGCCGGGTGCCGGCCGATGGATCGGAGCAAATGTGACCCAGGCATTAGCAGGTCATCTGATCCTCAATTTGATTTGAATTGATTCTCAATTGGGACCCATAGGGACTTTGCCCCACCGTTCTTGGTTGAGTTTAAGTCATGGCTCTAATTGGTACAAAAATTAAGTCACCCACGAATGCTGGTTTTGCTCCGGGGCCTTGCCATAACTAACGAAAACAATGGTGTGGACATTTCTGGATTATTACCGGTGTTTCCCTTTGTTGCTACCTCATTCCTCAAAGTATCCATGCACAATATCTTAAATCTGTTGAAAGCCCATGGTCAAATCGACCGTACCTCCTTTTCTTATGATGACCGCGCGCACGAAATGATATAGCGTGGGAACCGACGATACGAAATGCTAAGGAGATTGCATCTATGTATCTTGTGTTTTCAAGTGTTATTTTATAGATGTCCGACAAATCGAAATATGGGTTTGATATCTCGATGTTTCGTTCATTCATTTGACCAATAAAAATCATAACTGCCTGGAAAGATGAATAAAGTATGTAAATAAATGAATTAAAACGCCAAATTAAGAAGCAAAAGTCTTTTCTGGGTCACTGCGAATGGCATGATTTCCTCGAGTCGCTTCAGTTGCAAGGCAACCATACTGGGACCGATTCGCGTCGTTCCACTACTGCCCTTGGTGGGGGCCCGCTACCATACTATAAGACTCCCGCACAGCGAAAAATGGTATAGTATCCGATAGTTTCCGTTGGTATCTCAAATCCCGTATATTTGTAGTATCCTGGAATATCCTAAAATATACCGATACTTCAAATATTCGGAAATATCCTTGAAAGAATATTTGTGGATACTTTAAATATCAAACTTTCAACATATCCGAATTAAGGATATTCCAGGATACTTGTAGCCCACGTATCCAAAAATATTTTTGAGTATCCGTATCATTAAAACATATGAACAATGTTTTTGCTATAAATCAAACAACAAAGGCCTACATGACCTGAAGCAAATACTTGTAAGTTACGTATCATAACTAAATTAATGCAATCCTTATGAAATAAGTTTCTTTACGTTGTATAAAAAATAATCAAATATAATTAAAATGAGATGGGGGGGGGGGGGCGGAGGGGGAGTAAATGTCTATAAAGTGAAAATCCTTTACACGAATTCTTGTATTTGAGAAATGAACTCAGTAACTTAGTAATGTCAACACCTCTAAGAATGAAAAATTGGGAAATTTTGAATCAATCGGACTTTTAAGTATCATCTCTTGTCTTATATACACATAGTCCCCACTCCGTCCCCCCCCCTCCGTCCCACTTTCACGATCACCGGGCGTGAAAAAGAAGTCTGCTTCAAGGCCTCGGAGACGGTATTCTATCCGTATTTGTACTTTCCCGGGTTTTCTCATCGTTATATTACACTGGAAGAAATGACTAAAATCTCAGAAAGAGGCTGACTTCCGATCGTTAAATTTTTCAAAAAGAAGAAGGGAAAACGTAATATTAATCGTCTAAAATCTATCGTTTTATTTGTGCATCTCAATATATAATATTGACGCTGAAGATCTTTAGTTATCGAAGATTTTGTTTATTTGGACGATAACGACAATTACAATGGTAAACTTCACTTTCAA